GGTCATCCTCCGTCGTCTTCTTCTTCTGCTCCCACCGGCGAGGAGGATCAATCGCTCGGGAACACAGAAGAAAAAAATCGACAAAAACAGCGAAGAACATTCGGCACTCGTTTCCACGAGGCTACAGGCGGATATCCAAATTATCTTCGCCACCGCCTCGAGGAAGTATTAATCACGGTGCTCATTAGGATGTCTACACTCAGTCTCGAGCTCCGAAGGGCATCGGACGGCTTCAATTATTATTGAGTCTAATCAGATGAAAAGTCTGAATTCAATCTCGCCCTCGGCCTGGCGAGCGGGCTGATTCACTCGCTCGGTGCTCCCATGCGAGCTCATGGAGTTGGAGTCGCGGGGATCCATTTCGATTTCCGAAGCGCTCCGAGCCTCGGCACGATACCTCCCTCTCTCTTCCCCTACACGAGTGCGACACGTGTTTCCGGACCTATCTACACCGTGCCAACATCGGAGGAGGGGGGGCGATTGTCTTAGTCAGAATGGTCGTCGACAGACAATTGGCACGGAAGTATCCTATTGATTTTCGCATCACAGGACAGGTTTGCTCGGTGTCCTGATGAGGAAGTCGTCATGTCAGCTATTGAGAATAGGGAAGGGGGGTTCCGTCAACATCGGATCCGATCTGGTCTTCTCTGAGTACTGCTTGATTATTATCGACTAATCAGATACGTTTTCGGAGCGCGGGGCGTCAGACACTGAATTCTCTGAATTCACCGCTGGATTCCGCGTGTCCGATCGAGATTCGGGACAGTCTCCGAGGTAGCTCGAGTTCTCCGCGGAACTTGTGCGAGAGCTCGCGACTCGCTAACTTGATGAGGTCTCCGTGGACTCGAGAGGTCAGCCGATGCGACAGTAACAAGTGGCCAATAAGAAAAGGACAAACTCGCTCCAGCTCCCTCGACACTACCGGGAGGCGAGCCACCCCCTAAAGGCAAGTCGCCCGTCCACTACGAGGGTGACGCCAATACAGCCACTTATATTAATACAATTTAATTATCCCGAGACTCGTCAGACAGCTGGTCATCAAAACTCTATTACTCTCTCCCGGGGAGTCGAACAGCCAGACAATACTGCAGTCCGGGAAGGACCAGATGAGCAGTCTTCATGCTCGAAAATCTCCGATGTTGGTTTCCTGATCCGACTATTCCTCCCAGACGTCCATGAATTGGATCGCGAACGGGAATCGACTATTCTCGGACTCGATAGTCGCGCGTTTTTCGCGTCTTCGGGAGCCTCTTCCCCCTCGCGGAGGGATATCGATTTTCGGCTGGTCCCAGCCGCTATCTCTCGTGGATAGGCAGTCGAGGGTCGCTGGCTCAAATGTCTATTCCTCCGAGGAAGACTCAGCTTCACGCACCCTATACAACTTTCGCGAACGTCGCGTCTCCCCCGAAGTTGCCGGGGAGAACCTCAAGCAGAATTCTCGAAAACAGAGAACCCCTAAATACAGTCGCTTCACCGAAGGCACAGTTGTCTCGCGCGCAACGAATCTCAAAATACGAGCTCTCGGGCCGGGCCGAAGAAAACGAGGGGCCGGTACAGTCAACCAGCACGGGATGGGTCTCGTTCTCGCAGGTTTTAATTCTCGGTCATTGGGGCAGTCGGATGGCGGGATCCGTAAGAGGTGCCGCCACTGGTGGTGAGGGCGGTTGTACGGCGGTGCCGTTGGTATTGTCCGAACAAAAAATAGACCGCTCCATTGCGTCCCTCTGTCAATGACAGCCGCAAGAGGAAAGTGCCTATTTGCTGCCTTATTGGAGACGACGAGGGCGGACCTCTTCTTCCCGCGTGCGTGCGGCCGAGTCGACTGCCCGGTCGGCGAGAACGAGATCTCTCGCTTTTTTCCAAGTGGATCCTTGCATGAGAGACTTGCAGCGAACGACCGGCAATCAGCACGGAGCTATAGTATGTCGGCTCCCGCATTCGACATCACTCTCACCGTCTTCCGACCCTAGACGGAACTTCCTTCAGCAGTCATCACTCGATACGCGAAATTGGAAGTGCGAAACGAAAGCTCATTCGAGAGCGATCCATGGCGGGAATTCCATCAAGAGTCGAACGAACCCGAGATGCTCGGATGTCGCCATTTCAAAGTTGTCCAAACGGTGCGTTTGATCGAATGACCGCCCGGGGACCCGACCCGTCGAGACTGTTGATTTTATCGAGTGCTAGTGGACATTCGGCATCGCCACCGAGAGCCGGGGCGGCGTGTTGGGAACAAACGTTCGGAATGGAAACGAGAAGCGCACTCCCCGTCCCCTTGTCCGAGCCGTCTCGTTCGCGGGGTCTCTCCGACCCCTCGCCGGGGGAGAAAGCGGCGGGAGAGAGGGGGCCTAGCGCTTGCCACCGCAGCACCGTCGTCGGTCGGCAGCTCTGACCGATTTCTTAAAGTGACCGGTCGCCGTAGGTGGGATCCGATGGGTAACGCGGGGTGAGGCGGGGTGCAATGGAAATGGTGCACACTCGGGTGTGGGTTCTGTCGGGCTTGTTGACACGAGCCTGTTTCCCATTCGGCGTGTCTGCTGTCAACGAACGTGACCCAGCCCATACTGGTGGCCGCTCGTCGCACCAATAATGGCGGCAGCTTGAATTCCTCGACGGGTTTTCTATCTCTCATCTTCGGTTGGGCCGAACGAAGTCGATGAATTGTTCACAGCCCGGACCTATGTCGAAATTCGTCTCCCTTGCCAGGATCCTCGTGACAGATCTCATGCGCAGAACGAGATCGACGGACTCACAGAGAACTTCTCGCAGATTCTTTGGGAGAGCCGCGGTCGCGCTTTGAGCGACGATTCATGAATCTGACGAGCTTGGTCCACTCGCCTTAAGCGTACCGAATTAGTATTCCAGCTGTGTCTGCGAAGAACGTGCGGCACCGACGTGTTCAGTTCAATGAGGATCTGCAATGGGATGAGCGACAGCCAAGTCGTGAGGAATGAACTTGACCGCTGTCGCACCATCCCTGCTGCGTCCGTAGAAAATTCACCCCGAGCCCCGCAACTCGCAATCCGGGGATTTCGAAACTCGGAACTCGGAAGCCGTGTGGATACAAGTCGGAATCAGGCGTGAATATTTACGAGAGCTTATTTCTGCAAACCTTCATCGCAGCTTAACATTCGTGATACGTTGCACCGCTGGCGGCGCACAATGAAATTCGAAGCCAATTGACCCGCAACTCATGATAAAACGCAGAAGACCGTAAGAGAACAGTGGAGCTCCAACCTCCAACCGGCTGTCCGCTCGAGGAACTCGTTCATCGGCATAGCCTCTCAACGCGATCGAGGACTCCGCAGTTGGACCCGTCGATCTTGCATAACATAATAGCCCACGTAACGTGGGCAGAGCGGACTATCACGCTCGGGAAAAAATGAATTCTGTACCTATATTCATTCTTACGTTAACCCTTAGGAGTGGTGCTCTTACTCAACTCTGAGATCGGTGAGCAGAATATGGAGCTCTTCCCTGGAGTTTCTGTCCGAGACCTACCAGCTCACGCCATCTGTCATTATCCGGGAAATGTTCGAAAGCATTTCCGAACGACGAACACGTTTGTCTCGCCCCGTGGCATTTGTTCTGAGGCCTGAATACTTCATATAACACGCAGAAGTTTCTGCTGAAGCGGATGGTGACGAATGTGGGAGTGCCAACGATAGATGGAGCTCTACGACTCAGTGTAACGATTGAATTGACTCTTCGGGTCCTCATTCGGGGAGTCGAGAACTCAGATTAGTGACCGGGGCGACCCTCCTCTTCTAGCGCGCGGAATTCTCGGCCTTTGAGACCCAGGGCCTCGCGTAGGAGCATCGTCACTTGAGTTTGTCGCCAGGGAGTCGAGCTGTTACGATCGCCTATAAAGCTCGAAAGGAGCATAGTCGGGCAGCATCTGCATTTTCCGCCAACGCGGCGTCCAACGAAACAGCGGGACGGATGAAGAGCATCGGGAAACTCGCTCCCCTACTGCGTGTTCGGTGGAGAGATAGCCGTTAGATCGTTGCGCGGTCGACTCCTCCCGTAACAAGGCTCATCTCATGCTTCATTCTCCAGCGAAACTACTGCACAGCTTCGAAACGAAGGGCGGCCGACGACTCAAGCAATACTGCAGCCAAGCGGCATCCAGCTCGTCGTCAGGTGAGCTCGTCGCTGAGCTCACAAGTCACACCTGGGAGTCGCTTCCTGATCATCTGCACTTCCGTCGCAACATCCGGAGATAGCCCACTGCCAACATAGAAAGAAAATTTTGGGTCCAAATGCAAGCTACGCGAAGTCGACATAATTGCGGAAAGCGAGACTCGTCACGAGATGTCCAAAGCTCCAACGAGTTTCAAGCTTTCCGAACTCTATTAGTAATACGTTTCCGCGCCGCCGTTCGCAATCGGTCTGAGGGCTCGAGTCGAGTCTGGCCGGGAATCCCGACCAAATCCGAGCGTGGTAACCGTGCAACTGCAGTTCAACGAGGCGTGGTAGCCCTTCGCAATTAGGATGGCGCAATTCATTCGGATTAAGACGTTTACAATCGATAGCGAGATTCGGCTCCGTATCCGAGACGCTCACCACCGGAATGATGTCACTGGTGAAGTAAGCCACGGCGGAGAGAATATCGACGCACTTTACGAGGATTGTTCGAGGAAACTCCGAGAGCGCTCAGAGAGCGGGAGCGAGTTTCAGTGGCGAGTGGTGAAACTCGCCACTGAAACTCAGTTAGTGCAAGCCTCGGGCCGCAGCCTAAAAATGCAATTAATGTTCCCCCTTATCTTCGGCGTAGTTTTTGTTGTAAGAGCAGGCATACTGACTGAGTAGATCAACGCCGGACGCCTTCGTCACGCTGCGAGGAAGTTTCTGACCGATGGGGAGGGGGAGACAGAAGAAAAACTCTATGGAAGTTTTTCTCGGGGGCTAGCGACCCACCGAACGCTGGGTGTACCTGACTAGCCGTTCCGATGATTATCAATAATTCCACTCCTAAATACACGGGGGAAAAAAGGAGGCGGTCGAGGAGGCGTTTATTTCGTCCGGACAGGTTTATTTCAACCGGCAACCGGTACTGGTATAGGTACAGGTGGATGTTCGACAGGTTTTCCAGGGATCGGTTTTACTTCAACATCTTTCCTGAACATTCTATCCATGCAGGGCAGAGCGAGCAGCAAGGAATCTTGAGCTTTCTTACGCTCAGCGATCTTGTCGGTCCTATCGAGGATCTTGTTCGCGGCCCGAACGTATAGCTCCGCAGGCGTGAGCGGGATGACTTCGCCCAGCTCAGTGCATTTGAAAGGAGGAGGTGGAGGACCCAGTGGGGGTCGGGGGAGGCTTCTCTCCTTCTCACCGTCGTCAGGGAAGTCCCTCCTGTGTTCTCGCTCTAATTCGGGAATGGGGCGAATCATGTCGAGAAGAATTCTCTGCTGGTCCTCTGGCAAACCAGTTCTGGGGAACACCTCAATCAAACAACTTCTCGTCACTGGAAAATAAAGCACGGATTGAGGAAAGAAGCATGAGTCACTGAACGGGGACGGGATCTCTTCCACGCCGACACCCGCTCCAGCCGACTCCCTTGGTTGGGGAGCGGAACCGCTAAGCTCTGTCATGAAACCGTCTCGAGAGCCCTCCGACTGGGTAAGTTCGCGCGAGGACAATAATTTTCTTGCCTCCGGCACTCCACTCACTGCCACCATATTAGTTAGCATTCGCGCGGCATATGCGAGACTCCTTCAGCAACAACGAAAACAACTTACGGCCGACGAATTGCTGGAACTGGGCTTCGTGCTGCCGTCGCAGGTCGTGGTGCATCCTCGGGATATGGTCGCTTCGACCGTAAACTACTTGATGGTGCACGGCTTCGGCCGCGAGCACGATCGTCGCGAACAAAGCTGCCTTAGTGTACATGGTTCCTCCTGAATATGGAGATCTCACTCATTCGCTGGCCTTTTTGTATCTTGTCTCATTAGGAAGGTTCGAGGAAGAGAGCCGAAGGTTGCCACAGACGAGACCACAGTTCAAGGTTGACGTCAAGGTTGAGTCGCGCATGACATCGCTCGAACGAGCACCAGATGTAGCGAGCTCGATCTCCTTAACAGGGTTCATGGAATGCCGTTGATAAATAATCAGTTACAAAGTTTCAATCTTAACCATTATCCGCGAACGGGACACCGAAACTGGAGACGAGTTCACGTAATAGCCGAATAGAGAGGAAAGTCCGGAAGCCTCAACGTGCGTCATCGTTCCTAGAAGAGGAACGAAAAGATAACTGCATATCATCTGGGACGAACTAGAATGTTCTCAAATTTGGCTCGAGGTGGTCGGCCGACGTATTTGTGGAAGCATGCACACTCATAGAGTTGGACCGTCGCAGACGGTGCTGGTGTGAAGCTTTTCCACGAGAGTACAGTTATCTCCAGCGCTCCGCGCGATCTTCGCGACGCGTCGTCGGGCATATGGAAGCCCGGTCGAGCGCTTCCACAAGAATCGGTGATTCTACACGGAGATCGACCGATGCGGCGATTGGGGACCATTTTCGGCGTTGGGATTCTTCCAGAGGCCGATAATTCAAATCAGACGGTCAAGCGAGGCTCGCAGAAAACTAATATTGGTGTCTCACACAAGCTTGTGAGCTGAGCAGGATTAGACGGCGATCAGAACAGCTGCGATATGGCCATAACCTTGTTGAGTTTCTCCCGTACCAGACCGGAATGCTCGCCTAGCCGCCGCCGTCGCCGTATCTCGATGCCACTTTCGCTCGTGCGGGCAGCCTCAAGCCGACCCAAATTGAACGAAATCGGACTACGCTGCTATCGGACTACCATTACCCGCGGACTTTCCCGAAACTCTGCCGGCCACGTCGGCGCCACCACGCACCAAGGTCGCACGTCCCGGATAGGACCCCGGGACGGAATTCCCAGTCGAAGAGTCAGAAGCCTCCCGGGAAGAACCCACGATGCTGAGTCGACAGGGCGTTGAAGAGCACAGGGAGCGCTGTCCCCGAAATTGCCTCTTAAAATGCACAAAGACAGCCTTTGAAGTTTCGGAGCGGGAGTCGATATTTTTTCAGGAACATCCATCGGCTTAAAAGGATTTCCCGCTTTAGGGAAAGATCGAATTCGAAGTGAAACAATCGATGGAGGAACCGGGAGGATGCTTAGAAAATAGAACTGAATGAACCCCTCTCCGCTCTCTGTACACATTCGACATCGGAAAAGCGGGGGACCGGCGCTCTGTACTGATATTTGATTTGGACCTAGCAGGAGCTCCCGACATGGAGGAAGGAGAAAATTGGAAACGGGTCGAAAAACCATTTTTCGGCACAACGCTTGCTGTCTGATGTCACAAGTCTATCGTCCGCCGTCCCGTTCAATGGACCTCGTCACTCCAGCGTGTCGTCAGCTGTTCTCTGAAGAGCAGCTGAGATCCGATTTCGATAATTAAATTGTCGAAAAGGACAACGCGACTGATAAGAGCTCTCCTCTCGCTCTGTTCTTCAGGCGTTGTCTCGGCTCCGTTTTCCTGCTTCTTGGGTCGACGCCCTGGGCCAGTCATCCTTCTCTTGCCTCTCGTCCACCAGATCATCCTGTGTAGCGACGAACAAACAACTATGATCGGGAAGGGTCGCGGAGCCGGTAGAATTTCCACGTTTGTTCTCCCCTGTTTTTCTTCCCCAGACGTTCCGACTACTCTACTAGCGTTCCGAATCCACTGAGCCTCAAATGACAAACGGAGTGATTCCCGAGCTAGAGCTCGTATCAAGGTTCCGATGGGAAGATGGGAATGCGCGTCAACTCGTTCGTGACTTCGGGCATTCATTGAGACTCTCCCCGATTAGGACTCCATATTCGAAATCCAACGCTTCCGCTCACGGGACTGACGATGGCTTCGTCAGGAAGAAGAAGAGAAAATGATCCAAAAACCGAAATTGGCGCCAGAATGATTCCTCTGCCAGGTTAGCCGCAGTGAGAGAAACTCTCTATCCTCCCTCTGCTGAGCCGGCAAAGCGAAAAAGAGGAAGTGATGTTCTTGTTGAAAACATTTGGCGCCATTCACCAGGCTCATCGAAGTGTCGTTCAGGAACTCAACAAGGGCGTTCGACGTTCTCTTTTCCCCAGGAGCAGCACCACAGTCATCGTAAGGATCTTCCCGAACTCTCCGATAATGGCACCGAAACGTGCGGCGAGAAGAGCTGCATCGAAGACAGACGAGCCCTCAGAAACGGTACAGGACTCCACCGCGGAGATCTCCAAGAAAACGCGCAGCAAAAGATCCCGAAAAGACCACGAAGAAGACGATCTCGTGGAGGAGAAACTTTCAGGAGGGAAGGCTAAAAAGACGAAGAAAACACCGAAACGTTCTAAATCAGACAACGCGGATGTGGATGACTCGAGTAGTACGGACAAGACGCGAATCGCTTCATCCGATTATGGGAGAAAAGGTGAGGAATCGATCCCGGGGGATGATTCTCTCGTCGGTTGTCCGATTGCGATCATTCGAATGCCATCAGGGTACTGTTTTCCATGAAGTGATTCCTATCTTGAATTCATGGCGCCCGAGGAAACTTGGTCCCAGTTCCGTATGCGAATATTCTCCAATGCTCATGCGGTATCGCAACAAGTTCTACGGTCCTCCTTCTCCACAGGCTCGTGGAAGATCGTGACCTGGAATGTCAACGGCATAAGGAGTTGGCTGAAGAATGGAGGTCTGGAGTACATCGAGGAAGAGGATGCCGACGTATACTGTCTTCAGGAAACGAAGTGCAGTGAAGAGAAACTTCCCCCAGAAGTGACGAATTATAAGGGCTACAAGAGCTATTTCCTTGCCGGTGACAAAGAGGGATACTCCGGAGTTGGGATCATGTCGAGGAAGACACCTCTGAACGTGGAATACGGCCTCAGTCTGGAAGAGCACGATTCCGAAGGACGCGTGATCACCTTGGAATTCGAGGAATTCTTCCTCGTCAACAGCTACGTTCCTAACGCTGGACGAGGCCTCGTGCGCCTCGACTACAGACTCACTTGGGATAGAGACTTCAGGTCAGGGATCTGTTCGTGAAATTATGAACTTGAAAGCTCGATGAGATTCTCATGAAAGCCATTCCCTTTGCCCTCAGGAAATACCTCGTGGGTTTGAAGAAAAAGAAGAGCGTCATCCTGACCGGAGATCTGAATGTCGCTCACAATGAGATCGATCTCAAGAATCCCAAAACGAACAAGAAGAATGCCGGTTTCACCGAAGAGGAACGGCAGGGTCTCACGGATCTTCTAGAAGAAGGTTTCGTCGATACTTTCCGGAAACTCTACCCAGAGCGGGAAGGCGCTTACACGTTCTGGACGTATATGATGAATGCTCGAGCCAAAAATGTGGGATGGAGATTAGACTACTTTATAGTGTCCGAAGATCTCATCGATAATGTCATCGATAACGAAATTCGGAGTACAGTCATGGGGAGCGACCATTGTCCGGTGGTTCTTCATCTGAAGTGATCCCCAGCTCGGAGTCATGATCTCAACTTCAAAGAGTAGAAAGGCTCTCAGGAAAATTTGACGAGAATCTCACAAGTTTTAAACGGAGCGAAATAAAGAACCTTCCACCTTTAGGAGCCTGATCCCTTTCTAGTCATTTCGGAGCGAGGCCTGGCCCCGCGGGAGCTCTGACTTCCCTGCTCCCCAATTCTGGCAGCATTTGTCCGCAGGCCTCGTCCGCCGAGGGACACGATTTTCCACCAGATCGCCGCCGGCAGTATCGAGCCGAGCCGAATGAGCAGGATTATTCTGATAGGTTTGGATGAAAATTCTCTCAGAGCGAGTAATCGTCAGAATCGATTGATGTTTGCAAAGCACCCGCTTGCCTCATGCATCGTCGAATATTTCGCGGTTTCAACTTCGTCTATCGCGGCCGATTGTAGATCCATCCGAATATCCTCAATCAGTCAGAGAGCTCTTCACTCTGACAGGATCGGCGATCAGAAGGATCGAGATGATAATCATGGAGCATTTCTACGGGAGTCTCTTCGAATGAGCCTCCCCTTCGCGAGGAATCCTCAAAATCGATCTATAGACACAGAGCTCATACTTTCTAAAATTTGATTCCAAATTCATCTACTGCGAGTGGAAATGGGGAATTCACTCAGGACTACTCACAGTCCGTTGAAGGGCTTCCATACGAGGAGAAGAAAAACAAGATTCGAGTTTTCACAGTGCGCCATAGCAATTTATACATCACGAGCTCCCACTCAATAACCACCTCGACCACGACCGCCTCCGCCTCGTCCTCCGAAGCCTCCTCGGCCTCCGCCACCGCGGCCTCCTCCGAAACCACCACCACCCCCTCGTCCACCGAAGCCACCGCCTCCTCGTCCACCGAAGCCACCGCCTCCTCGTCCACCGAAGCCTCCACCTCCCCGCCCGCCGAAGCCGCCTCCACGACCTCCTCCGAAACCGCCGCGACCGCCGCCGCCTCTACCACCTCTTCCTCCGCGTCCTCCACCTCGCTGTTGGGGAGCCCCTGGGAGGAATCTTTCGAGGGGTAACAACTTGGCGGGATCGATGAAGAAGTTTTCTTTATCGTTGAACGAGTTGGATTTTACATCGTCGTTGAGCTTCACGGATACCCAATAATCCCTGACGTTTCCAAGGATTTCGTCGACGATGCCAATCTTCTCCTTGTTTTGGAGGTAGACGGGGGCGTTGAAGTAAGGAACTTTGTCTTCCATCGTGACTTTCACAACGATGTCTTTCTGAGCACTGTTGTGGAAATATCCTAGCGGCACGACTTCTTCAGGTGGTCCGGCGTCCTGGAAGCTCGGCCGTCCGCCGAAGCCTCCACCCCGTCCTCCACCACCTCTACCACCGAAGCCTCCTCCGCCGCGTCCACCGAAGCCGCCACGGCCTCCACCACGACCACCGCGGAACGACATGTCGTCGAAAGGAGATCAAACCTGAAAAAAGGAAGAGGATTCAGTGCTGTGTGAGTTAAGGAATCGAGGGAGAAGGCGAGATCAGAGAACGAACTCCACGAACTCGGGATCACAACAAGAGAATGCTAGAACGGTGGGAATCGCGGGAACGGTGGCAGGACAGGAATGCGCGCCCCGCCCTGGCGGATTCCATGAACTTTCTGATCCGCCACGAGATCGCCGATCGGAAAGAACACTACCACAACAGTATGTCTGGGGAGAAGCCGGTTCATCAACGCGCAGATTTCATCGTGAACACTAGACTTCGGTTGGCAAGCTGACACCGCCCAAGCGATTTATTCATCGATAAATGAGAGTTTCTGCCGACGAAATATACCGAAAACACTCACGTTTAGACAAAGAGCAACAAGTTTCGAGAATAGGGCAGAATGTTTTGAAGACCACGCGCGAGCCCACGTGCTCGTGAACGCAGAGAGGACCACTATAACACTCGATGGATGCCGGCAGCGAGAAGGTTACGGGAAACCCCAGACATCCGCCAGAAACACATGTCAGCCCGTCCGGGACCCCGAATACCAGGGACTAGGAACCCAGGAGGAAACTACAGCCGCGGAGAAATACAAAGCGAGCCTCGCGAGTAATGACCGCCCAGTGTCTTGAGAGCAACTCTATCGAGAAGATCAAATTTTTCCAATCATCCAGCTAGGTACCATCAGGACACGGGCAGTGGGGAGAGTGAGGCTGCGCGCGGTATTCAAGACTTCCGAGGACTCGAGACAGTTTTGGAATGCATATTCGGTGGGAAAATTCATATAATCCCCGCACGTGGTAGTGAAGCATCGATTCGAGGGTCGGTCCGTTCACACGAGGTGCGATTTATGTAGCTTCCGTCGTTATCAGTCATGGCCAGATTCGCTATTGTCGGATCGGGGGCCTCTAAATCCCACACCCTCCACATTCCTCGTCAAGTTTCTGGAGTCGTCGATGTCTTCGCGTGTTTTGTTATTATTTTTAGATCACATTTTTCTCGCATTCGCTGCTGTAGCTCGGATTCGGACGACAGACGAACCGACAGGAAACGACGCAGGCAAACTGTGGGAGGTGGATGTTTTGAAAGTGGGAGAGGATTCAGTGTCAGATGTTCGAGGAGGCAGGCCTGAAAACATTCCACGAATTTTCGAATTCAATCCTTATAAGCAATCGGTACAAACCGACTCTCTTTTCATCACCCCGTGACGATTTTCCGTTACGTTCTCATCGGGGCCTTGTAATGAACCGCGACAGAGGTGTCAGCTTCTCCACAACAGAAGAAGTGTACGGCTGTGTTCCGGATTGTGCGGCGCGAAGAATTCAGAGTTGCCGACTCCGATAGCGGCACCGTTGAAGATTAGAGCTAGGACCTCGAGTTTCTGGGAAGCAGAAGGTGAGATTGACATAAAGCTCTTATCCGATAATTGTGCGTCACGAGACAGCTTGATTTCTTTCTCTAATCAACGCCGAGATTGCATCCACCCTCGATGACAGACCCACTGAAAGGGGTCCCGTGACAGTTTGGAGACTCAACGCAGAGTCATAGCATGGTCGGCTCCATGAGCTCGTCAATTCCTTGAATCGTCGGAGCCTTGAGAGTAAGACCAAGACTCACGCAGAAAGTCAGAATCAATCGAGCGTTCTCTTTCCAGATGGACGACCTCTCACCCTTGGGGGTCTTCTTAGTCAGACGGGATGCCAACGGGCATCGACTCCTCTTCAAATTCCCGTTCCAACCCCCCAAAGATCCGCGATCAAATTGTGAGTGTCAAAACAGCACAACACGATGCGTAAATACCCTAACAATCTGGAATGCTTCAGTGGTGTCCTTTTGGTCTTCGCTCTCATCTTCTCTACCTGTTTCATAGCTCACCCCAAGAATCCGTACGCCATTGAAGAATCCGAGGAGAACTTCTTCCAATCCAAGATGTCGAGCACCGGGGATGTCCTCGATGGGAATTACGTCAAGTGAGTGTCCGTGCGGTATATGTAGGTCGATGATTGGCTACCTCCAGCACTACACCGTCAGAGCTTCCCGATCGGTCTGAATGCATCAAGACTGGTCAGATCTTTCTGCTGTATGTTGCTCGCAGCGAGCGGGTCCACAATGACGGAAGCTCGGGCTGCTTGCATGATTTCGACGGGATATAAAATTTAGTTCTTTTGGTGTCTGGAGAGCTGCCTGATGCGCTCCACAGGAAAACCAGAACAACACTTCGATCAGATTTCGGAATTACGTCGTTCTCGTCGCTCCTCCGATCCCTTTCGAATTGAATTTCCCTTCCAGAATCACCGATGAGTCCATATCGAACCTCTTCGCCTGTCAACAAGGTCTCTGCAATCAGAAGTTCGAATTGAAGATCAACAATGTGCGGTTCGTCGGTCATCCTATAACATTGCAAACCAGCGTCGACGCCTCGAAGCCGAGCGTTGATCATCAAGATCTATCCAATCAGATGCTGAATGTTGTATTCGCTCTGAAAGCACAGGCCAGCCATGAAATCGTCCATCAATATCACGAACTCAGCAAGAAAATAGCCACTTCCATCTGCAAGTGAGTGCCTTATTGAGTGAGCTTGCATCTGGAGAAAACTCTCTCGCCGACTGCTTCCCAGCCCGGAGAACCGCTGACCCTACCTAGGTCATGAATTTATTCCGAAAATTCAATTCCTGCTCCCGACTCAGACTTTGTCCTTAATCTCTCTCAGGGAGGAAATGTCGTGCCGGTATTTCACGGAACAATGTCGCAGCATGATCCAGATCCTCGACTACGACGGTAACGAATCGGATATATCTAACGAGGAAGACAATCGGCCGACATCGTTCGAGCGCATTCTTCGCGAATGCGACCTTGCCAGAGTTCTGCAGGCAGCGTACGTGGCGCTATGTAATTCGGGAGCGCTCTATCTGAAGATCAACGGGCGAAATCTCACTCCGTTCTGTGTCGTGCACAAAACCCACAAACTCAACGCACCCTCCACATCGGCTCACACCGATGTACTTCAGAAGTCTATGGATCAGATTTCTCAGCACATCAAGCCGTATCATGCGTTGCTCTTGGTGGTGACCCCCGAAGAACTCCTGAAGCAATTGTCGAGCGATTATCGGCGAGCTCTCGAACGATTGATAAAGTGTGCCTCTGCCACGAAGAACATGATCGAGTTAGGGTACGATACCGACATCGTTCTCGACACCGTGTTAGAGCTCGCCTTCCCACTAGTCTATTTCGCTCATGCAATTGTGATTTTCCCGGTAAAACAAACGAATCGATACGTGGTCGCACCAAACGGTCCCACGAAGCTCCAACACCCGCTTGCCGAAGAGTTTTCCGAAAAGTTTCCTCACACCTCGCTGGCCTCAACGTTGGCTGAGTTCTCCTACCCTACGAGTATAAATCAATTGTACAGCCCCCAGCTGCACGAGCCGTCTCATCAGCAAACAATACAAGATATCATTGTGTGGTGTCTCCAGAAACGAATCCTCATGCAGGTCCATCATTATGTCTACTTGGTCCTGCCCGACGATTCGCCGGAGAACGCTCTTGTCTGGCCCAGTGGGTCTTCGACTCTCAGCGATTATCGCGAGAGTTCCTTGAAAGCCGACAAGGAAAAAGAAAAAGTTCCCGAAGACATGTACTCGGAACTACCCCTCATCTGGAGGACGATGAAAGATCGTCAGAGGAAAATGATTGAAGAGCTACCTGCCTTCAAAAATCCTCAGGATCAAGAGACGTTCCTCAAGCTGTTGCCATTCTTCGACGGTAAGAACCATGTCGAGCACATGATGTATTGCGTGAATGTCACACGAACGAGGTTGTACGCCCTGCTGAAGAATTTCCAAGATGTTCTAGTTACCGTTGAGCACGCTGACCCTGCGTTCGAAATATTTTATAGATGAATCCCCCCGGGAAGTTTTGACTCGAATGTACAGAACGGAATGAACTCGCGAAGAATCACGACGAAACTAAGATAATTATAGTAGGATAGCTAATGCTCATTATCATAGTGGTCATCCTGGAAATAAAAATGAGAAAGTGAGCCCGTGACGAGATCTAGATGCAAAATCAAATTTATTCCGTCTCGAGGTAGCGACATGCCGCCTACGGAGCGGGTCGCGACAGCGTCATTGACAGTAAGATCTAAGAAATAATATACATCAACCGCCTTGTTGTTGTTGTTGATTGCCCATGTGTTCAGGCATATCGAGAGGTGAAATCGGTCTGAACTCTTGCGCAGAGAATTGAGTTATCAGTATTGACATTCCCTCGATGAGGCCGAGGAAAACCGCTCCTGTTCGGGGAAAACATGGTCAGATATTCTCTCCGACGCTCACTTCCTATCATCTCTGCTCCCCAAAACAATCAGAATCAGTTTCAGGAACTACTCCTTATTAATTCAATTATTATCGAACTAACCGATGACTCCCGAAGTTATCACAGAAGCTGTTCCCTGACGCATAGCGAGTGTCGCACCGGTGAGTGCACCCGACATGATAGAGTTCCAGGGGTCTTCCTTACCGCGTAGGTGAACGAGAGTACAATCGAATGTTGAGAAGAGGCCACCCCAGACGGCGAAGTGACCACCTAAGCAAATATACGAGAGTCAGCGAACCGCGCGGTCATGAAGGGACCCGTAAGCCTGAGTTGATTGCATCAGAAGTCTTCGAATTGGACTCCCACCCGAAAGTTCCAACGACAGGGTTGATTCATTCCGAGACGGTGCTGTCCGAAGGTCCAGAATGCGACCGTGCGCCATGCGGAATGCGCGAATACCGCTTATGCCAATCATTCATCTCTCAAGTTCAAGGAGCGAAGCGCGCTGTCGCCTCTCACCTGTGATGGGTCCTCGTTCTTTGATCGCCGCCATCGAACCCAACAATCTCTTATTGAGCCCGATAGGCGCGTTTCTGTATCCTTTGATGCCTTGAAAGAGGGATCCCCCGATGAGACCCATCGTGAAAGCTCCTCCACAGTCATCGACGATGCGCCAAGGGCACGGGTTACGCATGTACTCATCCATCGTAACGGTGGAATCAGAGCCTCAATGACGTTGACCCCGCTCGCGAGAACCCCGATCAGAGCGGGAAATGATGCTCGAAACTCTAAGGCTTGCGGCGTTTCTCGCTGGATTTCCCTGAACGAAATTCTCGCGTACCACCACCACACACACCACCGCACGAGGATTTCGCTTTGATGTGTCCCGCATTCTATCCTCGACACACGCTCTTGTCAGAGCCTTGGCAATAAAACTCTCTCTTATCCAGAGGATTGGATCGAGTGCGGGATACGAAAAACTTCTGTCGTTTCCCATCGGAGATCCAGGATCGTGGGCACGGAATTTACTTGGGTTCTCCGTGATTTGAATTCTGATCGAAAGTCGGTCGGAGGAAGCTGATTGTTTTGGAGCTGAGGCCACCGCCGCTTCTCCCCCCGGAACACATCGACGACAGCTCAGAGACCCACTATAGATTCGTTTGGTCCAGAGTCGTGATTGGATGAGGAAGCCTCAACCACCCCGTTCTGATAAACTTCCCGTGTAGTTTCCTCATCGTGTTGTAAAAAGTGAGGTTAGGCACAGACACTCGACCATGGGTCTCTTCGGGAAAGAAAAATCGCCAAAAGATCAGGTGTGTAGACCCCTCTTACGTCATTATGATTCAACTCAAGGAGAAATCAATTCAGGAATCGACCGTTCCGGTGATGGATGCTCCTTCAGGGCCGTACTGTGTATGTCTCAGATCGAAATCGTCTGATCGAACCCAGAGAGGGCATCGCTGTGATCCGCAGGTTCCTGCCCCGTCCGTGGAAATACATACGTGCGGGGGTTCTTGGACCTCATATCGTCTGGGAGTTCCTAGTGCCGTTCAATCCCCTGATCTCGGGCGACGATTCGGCTCGCCATATCCCTGAGGTCTGCTCCCGATGACTCATCTAACCTTGGGACACTGACTCTTTTAATTCCTGGCAGTTCTCTAGACGCGGCGGCTCACACTCCGAAGTCAGCGCAGAAGTGTTTGACATCACCTGCGAGGGTGATTGAGAAGTTCGATACAATTTTGGGGCACAGGGAAATGAGCGAGCTGTCTTGAATCGCTCTGGTCACTTCCAGGTCCGCGGATGGATGTCTAAGCTCCGCAAAGAAACCTATCAGTTGGACAGGCAGATGAAAAGTGAGTGATGTGCATCTCCTCAACTGTATGAGTTCTGCTCCTCGAATGTGAGATGCTTCATGAGTGTAGATCCCTAATTTCCCGGTGTCTCCCACGAACAGACATCCAACGGGAAGAAGAGAAGATAAAGCGGTCGCTCAAAGAAGCTGCGAAGAAGGGAGACAGAGACGTTTGCTTGATTTATGCCAAAGAAATCGTTCGCTCGCGGAAAGCCGTCTCGCGCGTCTGCGCGTCCAAGGCACAGATCAACTCCGTGATGTTGGGCATCAACCACCAGTTGGCCTCCCTCCGCGTGGCAGGCTCCATTCAAAAAAGCACAGAAGTCATGAAGTCCATGCAAGCGCTCGTGAAAGTACCCGAAGTCGCTCAAACGATGCAAGAGCTCTCGAGAGAGATGATGAAAGCCGGAGTGATCGAAGAGGTACGGACGACTTTGGCTCGCCTCGGAATCATTCCAATGAAGCGGAATAATTCTGGTCTTTTCTCCTTCAAATATAATAATGCTGCGATTGAAATCACCCCAGATGATGGAAGACACAATGGACGAGATCTTGGACAACAACGAGGAGCTGGAGGAGCAAGCCCAAGAAGAGATCGACAAAGTTCTGTTTGAAGTCACAGCGGGTACGTGTCATCTCATTGACAGTTTTGATTGGATGGGGCTCAGAATGTCTCCGATCCTAAGCAACTTCGTCGGGTTCCAGGCGCCCTCGGGAACGCTCCAGCCGCAGTCCACGGCGATCTCGAAGAGCCTGGTGCTTCGAAGATCGACGACGAGATGGAATCAATGCGGGAACGACTCCAAGCTCTCAAGAGTTGAGCGGTGCAGAAGCTTTATGATTGGGCTTGACTGTGATGTGCAATGAACTTACTATCATGATGTGACCATCATATGTCTATTCACTACATCGGCGGACAGTTCGCATATATGTACAGATACCCCACGTATAAACGAGTTACCTATTTATGCTACTAAACCTCGCTTCTTAATTCGATACGGAATCCGTCCAGCATCCAGTGCCTGAGCCGAGCTTGAACGGGAGGAGCTCATTTGGAATCGAAAGGAAGACATGTTACTTTTGACCACGACAAAGCGCTCAATTTATTTACGCAGTGTCCATCTGCACGCTCTCTTCGGTGTGCTTGCCCTTGTCTCCTGCGCTGAGGCGGCCCTTGGCCTTCCTCTCAAGGAGATTTTTCCTGTCCTTGTCGATCTTCAATTTGACAATCTGGACATTCGAGGGGTGGATGGGTACGTAAGCGGAGGCTCCGTTGGCCTTCTCTCGCTGAATACGTTCGATGTAGATGCAGTACTTCTTTCGGTAAACCTGCACGACCTTGCCCACCTGCTGGCTCTTGTGATGGCCACGCATGATTTGGACCTGGAATAATGTACGCAAATGACCACGGGTCACCGAGGCATCTTTTTGGATACATTGTCAGCCTGAGGGAATCCTCCGCCACACATGGTGAGAAAAATCTCCAGAGCCGAGAAAATCGGGATGTACCGTACCTCATCATCCTTGCGGATCGGCATCGATCGCACGTTGTACTTCTGACGAAGATCCTTCGACAGAGTCGATGACATGATCTTCCTCCGGATGTGAGAAGGGGCATTGAAATGCCTCCTGCGAGACGTCCTCCTGGACGATGAAACGAACTCGTTCCTTTTCATTATGTGGCTGTGGACATCACAACAATCACTCGTTAGAAAAGTTTCATCATGTGGCAGTTCGGTTTCGATGGAAGATACAGACTTCGGAAAGGAGGACACTCGTCAAGAGTCAGACTCGTCGCGTCGGTGCGTAGAAGGAGGGAAAACTTCAATGGGGAGAAGCCCCATCCATAGAATCTCCAATCGTGGAATCCCCACAATGAGGCGAGACTTCTCGCCGGGCTGTTACCAGCAAAGGCTGAAGCTAGCGTGGCGCCCGGACACTGATCGGGAGAAATGAATGACCGAGTTGCTAAAATTTCCATGGGCATAGCAGGAGCTCAGGAGGAGCAAGGCACTAAGATTTTCTCCCGAAGATGAATTCCGTCGCACCCGAAACGTGTCCCCCTACCCGGATAGTCGGATGTCAAGTCCGAGGGTCGCAGATATCGAATGCTGCTAGAATTTTCACCGAGGAGCCGTCAGAGCCTTGCGAGTTCCGACAGGCCGATTTCACTCGGGAAGATGCTCAGACTCACTGGATTACTGAAGATTTCTAACCACACCAAATAATACCAACCTCACAGCAAGATGGACGCCGGAAAAAGGACTGCCTGAATGTCAACAACAACAATTGTGTCTAGGTTAGCAGACGCTCCTCGCGGACTGCGAGCCCTCCCGAGCTTTTCACAGAATGCTGCCCTGAAGCTCCGCCGCGAGAGGATCTTTCGGATCCACGCTCGGATACCTCGAGTATGTCCATGATTTCCTGTACAAGGGAGCCGCCGAGGTGCCGGGGGCAAGTGTGCAGTAAGATTCTGTCTGCTCCTAAAAGTGAGAGCGCGCGCCAACAGTACACATTCATCGCAGAGAGAGAGAGCGAGGAGCAACAGGAGCGCTCAGTGGTTTCGAAAGAGGAGCAGTCGTCGCCGTCACTCGTATGAGCGATTGATTTCTATCGTAATTCGCCGCCGCTGTTTTCCTCCGGCAGTAGTTTTGTCGCTCTGCTTAGGGCTCTCGCCGAGTCTACACCAGTGCGGGTCCCCTGATCAGACCTCATCGTCGATCTTACGTATTGGGACACGCTTCGTGAGCTTCACTGATTAGCCCCGGTGAGTGACTGGTCACTGCAAAGTTCTATGGAGTGTCGAAGGGAGCGGTTTAATGGACCGATTTGGATCTAGTCAACGCGTTTACTCCCTCCCCGGGACTCTTGTGCTCTTCCATGCGAGACGACGCTGAAATTCGCAGCAATCAATAAAGTTGCGCTGCTCTAGAGATTGCGTGAGACGGGAGAGCACAGAGTACTGTAAGGCCTAAGGTGCTCTACCATCTGTTCCGCAACCTGTAAGATTTCGACTAATTGATCGTATTTCGTTCCTAGACTGAGTTTCGAGCCAATCAGGATGGTGAAGCTGTTCCACGTCGCCGTGCTCTACAAGCACGGATCTCAGGTCTCCGTTTTGACCGGGGCTAGCGATCTCTCCTCTATCGGCTTCTTCCAAAGATCCAGGTGAGTGATCTTAGAGAGCCCTCCATGCCGGAAGTCCCTGTGGAACCTCCCAAATTTCTCTCACTCGGCTTCGTATTTAGGCCGATCAGTTGTACTCGAAAATCAAACTTTCTGGTTACAATGGTGCCCCGAGTTGAAAGGAGTCAATTCCCCCACACAGCGCGGCAGAGTTCATGAGATTCACGTCAAATGTTGTGGTTGAGAGATGTCAGCTTGCCACCCGGACAACAATCAAGGAAGGAGGTTAGTAATTCCCATCATCAGGGAGCAGTCTCATGCATCGTCGCTTTCGTCTCGGCAACATATGGCTGCCCTGTCAGACCGGAGGTTCCAGTCCCTGCTTGTATGTGTGTCCTGGATTGTCGTTCGATACAGTGTCGTCGCGCTTCCCCAAGCATTTCGTCATCGATTACTAATTCCTGAGGGTCACGACGAGAAACCGTCGTGAATTCGGGAGGCTGAACTCGGCCTCAATTTTTCTTGCCCCTGCATTGGATCCAATCATGGACTGGGTTCATCATTCCGTTGTAATTCCAGAATACATGTGCCATTGTTACGCCCGGAGTGACGGTCTCTCTGGCGTTCTAATATCGGACCATGAGTATCCTAATCGGGTAGCTCACACATTCATTAGCAAGGTGGGTATTTGGAGACTATTTCTCAGAAGTCAGAGACATTGAAGGTTTTCCTCAAGTTTCCTTTTCTGAAATCGTTTGACTCGATCCCACTACAGGTTCTCGATGATTTTGCGGCCAAGTATTCGCCTGATACATGGTCGTCCGGAGGAAACAAACCCCTGGCTGGTCTGGAAGCCCAACTAGCCAAGTATCAAAACCCGAATCAAGCCGACGCGATGTCGAAGATCCAATGCGATCTTGATGAGACGAAAATCATTCTGCTGAATACGATCGACGCCGTACTCGAGCGAGGCGAGAAACTAGACGACCTCGTGGCTAAGTCAGATGATTTGAGCGCCCAGAGCAAAATGTTCTACAAGACTGTGAGTACTAGCTCCATAGCTGCACTCCCTATGAGCTATGAGCATTCGATTATCCCGCACAAAAGCTCAAGCCTCCCTCCATTACAATTGCAGGCGAAGAAAACGAATCAGTGTTGTGTTCTCCTGTAGTGAGAATCGAATATGCCAATGACTCGATAGGATACGAATGTATTGGAACCATCTACATGGATATATCGTCAGTGAGGGATGAAAAAAATAGTAGGAGCCCACGTGTAACTCAAATATCTGCGTGACATGTACAGCGGTTGAATATTCGGTCTGAATCGATGAACTCAGGAATCCTATTTTTCTCCACGCGGCAGTCCGACATTCGGACTCGATGATACGGAAGAATAAAATGTTATTTTTCCACGAGAATACGCTGGATCCTTGATCAAAGGCTCACTACTCTAATGTATTGTTTCCTTGTGATCGAAGCGGTAAAATCGCGTATGATCCTGATCGAGTGACCCGTCCTGGGTAAGTCATGGGAGCTTGGCAGACTCCATGGTTTTTCCTAGGCTGGCCATCGTCGCCATTCCAGAACCTTTTCTGGAAGTTCGGACTCTATCTCTATAGGGTCGTAGTAGTCCCAAGGATACGAAATCCTTATTACCTACTTAAGGAAGCGCATGAAAAGCAGAGTAATCCCCTCTCCGCATCAGAGATTGAATTCCCCGCGGAAACGAGGACAGTGAAAATATAAGTTTATTGCGTAGTCTGCTGATTGTAACAGTATTGCCGGGGAATAAATATGTATTGAATTCTCTCGATGTCTTCATATACTCGTATACGTATTCCAATCCATTATGCAATATTCTCACTGGAAACACATCAATTGGAGTCTCTGATTAAACTTGAACTGCTGCACAACGTCTTCCACTTTTTCCCTGTTTGCCTTCATGGTCCCACCTAGCCGGTCCTTGCATGGCTGCAAAACTTCACTGAAAGAAGCATAATATACGGGTTAGGATTGAAATAGGGTAATCCCACTTGTGTTGATATCGTCTATTGGAATTTCGTCGCAAGCTCAATTCTATCGCTGGAATATCCCTGTGAGAATCCAGATCGTCTAGTCTAGGCCATGCCGGAAACTCACAAGGAATTATTTCTGTTGAGGGAGTGCAACGAAACTTCCAGAGCCAAGATGTCAATGAGAATTTGGAGGTTGCCCTGGGAGGACGTTTTGATATGAGCGCAGAGCCGCGCCACCTCCGCGAATAGGGAAGCCACGATCGGTGGGAGCACGCGTTCCACGAGTCCTGGCGAGATGCGATGAATGCGTTGCTGAGTCTCGATGAGTTCGAGCAGTAATTCCTTAACGTAGGTCGACACGTCGGTCGGCGTTCTCTGTGACGTCCATTCGACCTTGTACTGTTCCATGAGGTCCTCCACTGAGTCGACCAAAGGTCGCTGCAGCAAACCAATGACACGTTGCAAAACTCTCTGATCTAGCTGGGTCAGCAATAGATCCCCGTTCGCGATGATATCGGAAATGTCCGGATATTGTTGGTTCAGAAATGCGCTCTGGATACGCGGCAAAACTTGCTCCCTGCTCACAGCGATGTTCGCGAGCGTAATGAGCAATTTATCCTCCAAACCGAGCCCGATACCGCGTTCGACGGACTCCCGTGATATTTTCTCGTGCTCGGGGGACTTCTCGAGAGAATCAACATACGATGACATCATCAATTGCACGTTCTGATTTATGGCTGCTTTGACGTTGGCTTGCTGGAACATTTGACTAGCGGAGGCTTGGAGCACGTTTTCCTGGATGACTTGAAGAGCTTCTATGATTCGATTCTCGAAAAGTAGAGGTAACTGAGATGATCCTGCCGCACCCTCACACGGTGACGCTCTCCATGTCTCGAACTCGTGAAGTTTCGCGATGTCTGTCAGGATGGGAGGAGAATTATCCTCAATTCCGGCAGTTTTTACCCCTCGCAGTGTATTAATGACATCGAGAGCCACAAGGAGCTTACCATGAGCAGCTTGATTGAATAGGGAGATCATAGCGTGCTCTCTCAAATCGGTGATCAGACTTTGCATACGAGCGGAGGCATGGGGCGGATCCAATTTGAGCACGCATGAATAACAGGTTCTGTAAAAGTGCTGCATATTCATCAGGCCTCGCAAACGCGATATTTTCCGGGACAGGTTCCCAAACTTCGGGGCACACAAACCTCACGGAACGTAGACACGTCGGGAGCCATGGGCCTATCGGTTGCCGGGAGGAAGGCCACGCGGCGGTCGGCTTCAAAGTATGAGTTGGCAGGAGCGCGGCGCGAACTTCGAGGCACAGCGTCGATACCAACTTCAACGTCATGTCGCTGCTGCGTTTTTCTTCCTCTTCGAACGCCGTCAACTGCATCCCTTCTATATCTCGGTGCAGATAGGCGTGTTGCAACCTGGAACGATGAATCGAGATTGAGCTCCGACCACATTCACTCGGGTTTCTCTAACAACGACGACCGGCGATCTATTCCCCAGGATTGACTGCTACTCACTTGAAGAAATCCGGAGCATGGGTGCAGAAGAATCGGCTCAGACTGAGCACGAAGTCTACTTGCGGCGGATCCTGAGTGTTGTCAAGCGTTTGCGCCCGCTGCACGTGTCGTGCTTTCAGCTCTTCCATTTGCTGCAGCAGCCACTCATGATTGTACTCGATAGCCTCCCGGCCCGGATTCCTCTCGGAATCCAGTTGAACCAAGTAGCTGTCGCGAAACCGAAAAGCTTAGTCCTCGGCTCGAATCTTTGAAATTCCCCCGCCAAGTGAGAGGAATGTTCATATTCTGCTAACCTGATCAGTTTTTTGCGCTCTTCCAAAGGCGCAGGGAATTTGCGAATCCCTTGATGCAGCTTCTCTTTGAAAACAGCGACTTTTTCCTCGACATCGTTCAAGACTCGTTTGAAGATTCCAACTTCAGTATCGTGGAAGACCGAGCGTGCCCTAGCGTAGTCTCCAATGACCGTATCGTAGTCTCCCTGAGGTTCCGCATGTGGGAATTAAAGAACTGGAAGGGCGCCAAAGCATGACAGGCCACGAAGGACTCCGCAGACGCTTACCATTTTCACGTTGTTCTCGATTTGGGCTGGCAAATTGAACAAGAAACGGAACTTGTGCAGGATTGCCAAGGAAGTTCGCATCGAATCCGAGTTTTCCTTCCTCCTCAGAATGGCCTCGAAGATCGAGGACGCCTCCTCCAAAGTTTCTTAAATAAAGGATAAGATCAGAGACGAGCCTTCCTCGGATCGATTTCGAAGCCTGTCGCATGAAGAATCAAGATGCATCTCCGGCCCCGGAACTCACTTCTGAGGTCCTGACTCAGACCCTCAGTCAGACTCGCTCCCATCTCGGTGCGATCTCTGTTCATCAGACGGTTGAGCTCTTTCAGAACGTCGAGACACTTGACAATTCCGTAGACATTAGACTTGAGGAATGTTGATGGTCCCTCTTGTTGAGCTCCGACTCTTCTCTCCAACTCCTTGAGACCACTCTTCAAGTTTTCAAACCTATACCAAATATCGCTCGGTCACTGATCCGATCGCTTCGGGCTTCAGGATTTCAGAAGAATCGTGTCAATTATACGTACCCGCTGGACATGTGATTCGTGAGGAGGTACAAGTCCGGGCTGAAATTACTCGCGAAGACGTCTGTGCTCTTGTCTTTGAAGTGAGCCTTTATGATGGCTTCATGCTTTGGACTAAGAGCTTTCAGATCGGCTCCCCCGAGCAAGTTGAGCTCCTTCGAAAGCGACGATGATGAAGTTGGTCCTTTCATCGAGGGGAACGGCGTGTGGAAAAGATGGGCTTCATCGACCCAAACGGCAGATTCGACCGTGGGTGATACAGTCTCGTGAATTCCTGAAACAAGCCCGCGAAACGAGCGCTCGTATCCCGAGTCAAAACGCGATGGAATCCTTCGACAAAATTTCTCTCGTCTCGGAGCTCACCCCTGAACTGTACGGTACAGGTTCCTTTGCCACCAGATTTTGTCGTAATGATGACGTCTCCGGATCCGGAGCAGATCCTTGTCCGGGTGACGATTTTGTGCGAGGATTTCCACTCGGAGAACATTGTGCAATCCATTCCGCAGATGGACACCGCTATAAAGGGAAATAATTAGACAGTGAGGCATGTCTCATCCGAACAAGCTTCGATTCAACGCGAAAGCGGACTGGGACGTCAGTACTGTTCCGAGGGAGTTTTCCTTGAAGCGCTTCGAGAGGGGGACGTTACCGCGGAAAGACGGAATCTTGGAACTTCCGGAGAGGAGGAAGCCCTATCGAATACTCACAGACGAGGTCATTTTGTCCTGTGCCGAGGTTTTCTCCTCGGATCGTGACCTTGGTTCCTGGCGACCCCTCGGCAGGGGACAGCCCGGTTACTTTCGGCGAGTAGTCGTCCGCCATGAGGAGTGTTCCTCACTCCTAAAATTGAGCTGTCAAATGAGTCGCCGTGCAAAAGACCCCGACAAGTTCGCGATCGACCGGCATCACCAGTCTCCCATACCAGTCTCCTATGTGATCGTCGCGTGGGAGCCCAGGGAAGTTGAATTACGCGAACGACTTAAGGTCTAGAGATGAGACACAAGGTCTCCTGCGGTTCAGAGAATTTCCGTTCATTGCTTTTTCTTCGAGCTGAGCTCTTATTGAAAACTATTTCTGTGTCCTTCCGCTGCTGCCCTCTTGGAAGGAATCGTCGATATCTGACTCCTTCCCTGTGTTCCCTCCTTCAGCGTCATGTTGAACCATTATTGATAGATTCTCGGCTGCTTGGAAATCTGCTCACCTCTATGAGTAGCAAAAGGAACGCTGCTCCTCAGGGCAATAATAGTTTAAGGGTGATGTCCTCAGGAGGAGGAGTGAATATCTGTCACATCAGAAGTTCCTTGACACTTCACTTCTATTCTGAATCCTAACCTGACACATTCTCTCGATGGGAGCGGGACATCGGTCGATGGTTCGGCGAACCCCACACACGACCCGATTCGCATGGGTGAGTGGTTTCGAACAGACATGAGCTCATCTTCTCCAAACAGCTGATTTGCCGGACTCGGGATCCCGTGACAGCTGTGCCGTGCGAGGGGGTAGACAAAGCCTTTGGGCTGGCTCTATAGCCTCATGACTGTCACAAGAAATTGAACTCCGTCGGACCGCAATCTCGGAGTCAAAAGCTTATCGGGACCACAAAGATTCGTCGCATCGATTGAGGAACGCCAGAAGATAGAAACCAGCATTCATTATGGTTCACGCGGTCTACCTGGCATCCCTAGCCGGTCAAGATGAACCAGTTCTCTTGTATTCACGCTCGTTCGCTGCTGGGCTCCCCACGAAAACCTCAGCACTCGATACCTTTTGTGCTTATAACTCTCAGGGCGTGGACTCGATACCAGCGGAATCCGAAGAGGTGAGTAATTTTATGGATATTTGCGTTGCCTCTGACTCAGCTGTCAGCTCCTATGCCCCTCGGGTCAGTGGTCGCAGGTGGGCGTCTCTAACTTTGCTTAGAAGAAATACCGGAGCTAATCCGGAGGAGTCTCATTCCGAAGGATCCCCATCAATTGATGCGCGTATACGAAGGGAACGACGTCCTGGATGCGATCCTGTCGGAGGGGAAGAACGAGTTCCTGAAAGCGTCGAATCAGAGCACTAGAAAGGAGAAGAAGAAGGATTTCGCCAGCGGAACATTCCCTATCAAGGACACGCGTTTGGTGAGCTCAATTAAGTGTCTCGTCATGAAGACGCTAGACCCAATCGAAGATGCTTGATGATAAGGGAAATAACTTAATGCTCCCAGATGGTTCACTGGATGTCTTCGCTCAAGGGAACAGCCCTGATGATGATTGCGTCGACGAGCGCGAATGCTTCGATCGTCCGCTCGAACATGCGTTCGATCCTGACCTCCTTGGCAGCCCGGATCCGCTTGGATCAACCTCGCGACGTCTTCCTGAAGGCTCACGTCGTGTCGCTGACTCTAAAATATTACCTGCCCTGTGGCCAACTGCTTCTGCACCCCACCGGAATGACGAAACAGATCGACGGAACGATTGCGAAACTGTTGAAGTGAGCAACACAGCCGTCTCGTCCTCAGCTTTATGTAAATATATCAGAACTACGAAATGTCTGCAAATAGAATTTTGAACTCCTCCCTCTGGAGACTCCACTGAGCCCGGGGCTCTCCTGCAGAGGAACGATTGAGCTTGGAGGGAGCGGCCGAAACTCGATCTCGAGTAGAAATATAGGGAAACCAAGAAATTGTCGTTCTCTGCACTTTTTATTCAACCTCACCTTATCAAATCTTATATTCGAGGGAAGGTTCTACGTGATTGGAATATATTAAGGTAGAAAAATGCTCATCCGACAAGGGATATTCCTTTCAAGGCTCCGGAATCTCTCGCGATGTCGGAGCCGCTTCCAAACTCCTATGATTCGTTTCACTGAAGTCATTACATACTTCTTGACTGAGCCCTTGGGGGCCCCTGGCTCATCGCGCAATCTTGTTTTTATGCATTCGATGTACACTGTGTCATCATTCATTGATCTCGTTCGAAGACTTTGGCAAAGCAGAAATGAGAATCATATGAAACTAATGTCAGATCATCATCATAAATAAAGGAGGGGTCGACTAAGTAAGACCTACATGATATACATAGCCTGGTACTGCTAGACTCGATCTAACCGGTGAAATGAAAAATGACTGTACAACTCCATCTCTATATACATTCCTTAGGTCTCGCCTCTCGATCATGGATTGCAACATCAAAATACTTGTCTACCTCGATCTTTCGGTAACCGGAACTGGGCGGACTTCTCAAAACAAGTTGCCGTTCATAAGGAGCTGCCTGTTGAGTTACGTTGAGGAGGCAGCGACTTCTGAAAGCAGAGAAACAATCCATGAAGCGGGAACCTCATCCACACCCGCCGGTGCGCCGAGATCAGCAAGGGGTCGTTCCCGCTAGCCCTGAGTCTGTTCACGGAGGAATCGAAATCATAAGGAGAAGTAATCCCATATTCTTGAACAAAGCTCACCTGCGACTAGATATCACAAATGTCCACCTTGTGCATGGTGGGAGCGAACTGCCTGCTTAAGCTCTGTCGTCGTTTAAGACTCCTTAGGTCTTGTATACTCTCGTAGATCGCGTACGCGTTCTCCGAGCTCTTCTCCGACCGGGGAATGGTTGAATAGGGCGTCGAGTTGACGCTTTTCTTGCGCGCTGTGTGTCGCGAATACGTCGCGTATGGATTCATCTGATAGGCATTGTATTGGTTCATTTTCATTGTCATTCCCGGTAGCCGCGCACCGCCAGGGATGTTCGTGAAGCAGAAATCGTAGTCTGCGTTCACCGGCGGTGGTGGAGGCTGACTTTTCTTGGCGTACATATAGAAGGCCGAAGCAAACACGATCGCGATTATCACCATCAAAAGGCAGACTAGCGGGACGATTGCGTAGAGAACTTCTCGCTCCGTGACGCGATCTGAACCTCCGCCGGCGGTCGTTTGGGGACTTTTGTTCGGGTCGGGGATGCGGACGCTGATGACGTCCGAGGGTTCGGTTTTCCCAGAATTCGTATGACCGATCATGTAGATCTGGTAGTACTCGTTCAAATTCAGACCGGTGAGTTGATACGTGTTCTGGTTCGCTCTGTCGATGAAAGTCTCATCCCAATTGCTCTGCTCTCCCTGACGGCAGTAAATTGTGAAACTCGTGACTTTGGGGGAGGGCGACGCCCAGCGGAGTGTTGCAGACTGTCCGTCAAGCGACTTGAGGTGCAGATGTGGAGGTGCTATGAAGTCTCCGTCCTCGGTATAGAAGGACATCTCGGAGCTCGCGGGCGAATATCCCACGTCGTTGACTGCTTTCACGACGACCCCGTACAGAGTATTCTTCATGAGGCCACGTAAGGTGTACGTGCTCTGATCTGGTCCCACTGTATGGAACGAGTACGGTCTGTTCGAGTCTTGACTGGCGGCTTTGTAGCCCACGAAGTATCCGGTCAAACGCTCCGAATTCCAACCGGACTCGGGAGGCGGCGACCACGAAATGACGGCGTAATTTGGTCCCGATGATATGACTTGAACGTTCGATGGACCGTCCGAAGGCTGTTCCTCTTTAGTTTTCACGGTCACGGTCCGAGATTGCTCGGACGGTCCTACGTCGTTGTGGGCGATCACATACAGCTGGTATTCCGTCGCCGGATGCATTTTAGGGATCTGAACTGTACTGGATGAGCCGGGAACACTGATATTGAGCCTGAAATAAACGTTGCTGACATCAGAAGCGTGATACTGAAACTCGACACTTGCGTTCATGGCCGCTTTGATTCCACGGAAGACAGTGAATCGAAGCGCTCTGCGCTTTAGTCTCAATGCGGCATCGGCGTATTCGATTGATGGTTTCCCGGGCGCATTTCTAGTGCGGAACTGAATCACATGTCCGAATATGATGTACAGTATTCACTTACTTGGATAGGTCGCGACGTGACCAATACCAAACGTCGTATCGCGTCACCACGACTCTCTTTGGTGGGGACCATGTGAGGCGTGCTCCTCTGCTCCATACCCCCGATAGCTCGAGACCCTCTGGAATTTCCGGGGGCTCCCGAACCACGAGTCGTGCCTCGCCCTCGTCTTGTCCGAAGGAGTTTTTCGCAATACACACGTACCGACCGGCATGTTCGGCGTTAGCGTCACGAAGCACCAGATTTGAGAAAAACTGCTCCATTTGCTTATCGTCGATGAGCATTTTGTCCGAAGAGCTCTCAGGTAGTAATTGGCCATCTTTCTTCCATTCAATCGATATAGGGTGGTCCCCAGTCGCAGCGCATGATATATTAGCAGAACCGCCACGCTCTACTTGAATCAGCGTGCGCGGAAGCTTTACTCGAGGTCTGACGAAAATCCGAACTGTGGCTTGTTTTAAGAGTGCGGAACCGATCCCGTTTGATGCTTCGCACGAAAACATGCCAGCATCGATCTTCTTCGCCGAGCTTACAACTAGTGCGCCATCGGCAGTGATATCGTAGCGGCCTCTACTCAAAACCTGGTTTCCTTTCATCCAGCGGTAGGTGGGCTGCGGGGAACCCCCAGCGTGACACGGTAATTTCAACACCTGGCCCTCCTCGACGTCCTGATCGAAGGGCTCTTGCAGCCAGAAAGGTGCTACGTTCACTTGAAGTTTCGCTTGAACGGACGCTTTACCGGCGATATTCATGGCCTCGCATCTGTATTCGCCCGCGTCGTTTTCCGAGAGAGACTTGAACGTCACCGTCGACGTATGCTCGGTTTGGGTAATTATGGTGTTCGTTGTCGAGTACAACCGCACCCCGTTCTTCTGCCATTCGAAGGCTAGAGGCGGGTCTCCGATCGCGACGATGCACGTCAGTCTGTACTCAGTGTCTTTAACGAGATCATCCGGTATCGCTAGCGGCGTCAATTGCGGGGCTTTCACCGCCTCGACACTTTGGAAAATTGAAACAAGCAGGAAAAGCGACATTTTCACTAGTGCTGGGAGTGCCGGTCGACTCATCTCGATGATGCATACGCTCACTGTCACTCTCGGATCGCTTCCACGAAACAACCACTGGTCGAATTTCACTCCATTCGCTTCTCCATGTAGTCAGGAGCTCTATCTGGGAGCGCGGCACTGTCGACGGCGTCGAAAAGTTCTCCACTGGCCGGTCGTCTAAGACTGCGCGCAAACAAAGCTGTCAGATGTGAGCGAGCGAACGAGCCAGCCACCTAACTGATAGCGCTGTACGAACCCCTAGGCAGCCATGTTGAGTTCCCACTCACCCAGCGGCTGCGGTAGCCGCAGCAGCTGAGTGAGTCACAGTTGGAGGGAAAGAGTGGGGAGGGATGGAAAGAACGACTGCCCCACTCGACAGGAGGACCGTGCTTGTATTGGGACTGTCCGGCTTCGTCTCGAGTTCAGATTGAAGTTTCCGTTCGGAGTGGCCTCAGATTCCGACGGAGCATGCTGCTCTGTTCTCGGACATGCGCCGAATCCTCCCCCTGAGGACTCTCATGCTCCGTCATTATTCCTCGGATGATTATTAGATCTCGACTTTCCTCGAGAACCTGAACGAATTCCATCAAAAATCCTGAAATCCCGTTCCTACTCCGACTTGGAATCACATGTCGTTCTGGATGGCGATCGCCTTCTTCGCTCATCCCCACCGCCAGCTTGACATTCAGAAGATTTTCACACACTCGACGTCGACAGCGAAATCATTAAGTGACTCCGCCTACGGAGCGCCAATCAAGATTACGTCACGGACCGCGACTCCCATTGTCATCGCTTTCAGAAACAGAAAAGAGACACTCGCCAAGATATGAACGACAAAGAAAAGCCTCAGTAGCGGTAGCATCAGAACAGAAAATAGACGACGAAAACAAAAAAGAAGATTCAGATTCATCTTGGGGTCAAACAATAGTTTACTGTACAGGGCACGCTCCCTCAACCATGTATGACTGAGGCATGCTCGCCTCGAATGAGGACTATAATAACGGTTTGATCGCTCCGTTGAATTCCCATGGAATGACGGCGACGTAGACCAACATGTTCTTATCCACTCAGTCGCGATTGGCATTCAGTAAATTCTGTGGGGGAGATCTCATTTCTTCTTGCTCAGGGTGCGTTGCTTTTCTCCGTGCTCCACCACGTGTTCGTTCACCTTGAGACCTTTACGTCGACGAACCTGAAACAAGCGGAGACAAATTTCAGTTGTCTGTATGGAAGTTTTCTCCGCGCCTCCCCGTTCACTGTGGTTCGGTCCCGCACTGATTGCGAGGGGTCGGTAGGTGGAAGGGACGAGAGACTCGTCCATTTTCCATCCGAGAGCCAAAAGGAATTTTCGTCTCAGGCAATTAAGAGGGGTTCTGCTAAAAATGAGGAGGATCGCCCCCGGAAAGATGAAATTTTTAGAAACTGCACGCGCATGTACATATGTATGTGTATCTCTCATGGAGCGTTCTTGTTGCGAAGGCCACGCGTTGCAGATCGATAGAACTGTTCTCAGGTCAATCGTGACCGAGAGTTTGTCCAAGACCGATCAACGCTGTTATCAGATGAGGAGAGATTACTCGTTCCCACAACGAGAAGAATCGCTTTCTAAAACAACAAAGCTCGTCCTTTGCTTCCGCTCTGATACCAATCGAGCCGAATTCTCATTCGAATGTCTCGATTTCGTAATCAGGGAGGGAGAGCTGCTCGAGCTCCACGAATGCTTGACTCGGATTGGCACGAAAATTCATAAATATTGCCGTCCATTTGTACCGGGAGGTCCCGACATAAGTTCTGTTACGGAGGCAGTGCCACGCTGAGACAAAGAAGGCTCTCGCTGCGCCACCTCCAATCCCCAAAGTCGAGGTCTGCGGTCTCGCTCTAGGCGATCGGACGGCAGGCCCATCAGATTCTCAAAATTCAGTCAGCAACGGAATATTCTCAGAAGTGGAAGATGAAGGGAGCATCTAATCTGGGAAGGAATGAGGGGGAAGGGGAAGCGGTGACAGCTTCGTCAAGAGAAAGTCAGCCGCCGACGCTACCTCCTTAAACTGCACACTCTTAGAAGATTCAATCACTGTGTCGGACACAAGCCGAACGTTCTCGACAAACGGATCGCCCCTGTTGACATGCAGGACGGAAGGATTCTATGCATCGTCAGCGCGTACATCTCTAATCCCGATAGAGGCCAAAGGAATCGATCGATCTGCGGTCGCCCGGTCTCCAGTTCGAACACCATCCTCAGCAGCTTATGGGCTTATTCTCTGAGAGATGATCCCATTACTGGCCTCGATGACCGACGAACAGTCATCGGATGCATCCCTGAGCTCCATCACTGACCCAAGACGAGGAAAGGAGCACATCCGTTCTCCCGAGAAAGATTTCCGAGACTCTCTCCAGAACGACGCTCAGAGGGAGCCGGAAATTCAAGGAAGTACTCACTTGGTTCATGTATTTCATGGCCCGGTTCTCGGAGTCGGCCTTCTCCCCGAAATGCGAAAGCTCCTCCTGGGTGCGCGGTACCCAGAATGGATCCACGTCGATCACTTCCCAATGACTAAATATGAGTTGCGGCTGTGCGAGTCCACTGGTCTGCTTCCTCATTTCGTTTGCAAGTTGGAAACTTTCCACAACGGGTACAACCGCTGAAACTTCGAAGGACGAGCTACCTTCCACCAAATCACCCGCCACAATACGGCCGTGTCTTCGGTTGACCACCGAATACATTTTCCTCAAAGCGTCCGCTGTCACTTGGATATTGCACTTGTACATCGCTGCCATCAATCTCTGCGGTTGAGCCTGTGGGTCGGTGGAGAACGTTATCTAAAGAAAGTTCATCCGGAACTCTCCATGCGGGGAACCCTTCGGTGTTTGCGGGGATTTATCTCACCTGGAATGCTTTCCTGCAGCAGTCTTTCATTGTGGACATGATCTGTCCTGATAACGGTCCATAAGATGATAATTTATCGTCGCTGTTCATCACTTTCCACTCGCTGACTCTGAAAGCGACTGCTCGCAGAGGTTCTTCGCACAGCGGTCCTGCCAGAGTCGCTAATTGGAAGCCGAAAACCAGGTTGCTCTCGAAGTTGTGCAGATCACCGGAGCTTTTCTCGAGTGCTTGCCAATAATTTACCTGGAAATCAAAACATTCCACATAAACCCAAGGCCCCGATACGAGTCGTAAGCGATGATGATCTCGACTCCGGGGTACGCACCGAGAAATCCTCCATGTCGTTGATGAGGATGTTCGGTCCGCATTTCTTGGGGCCGAAACTCCAGATACGGTCGACATCGAAATCTTTCCATTGCTCCATTTCACTGCGATCGAAAGCTTCCTTCAGATCGGCCCGGAATTTCTGAATCTTCGTTCGGAGCTCATCATCGATCTCGGAATGTTCTTCTCCCTCAGTTTTCTTGGCGAGATCGAAAGCTCTCAGCAGAGTGGCCTCTTTCTCCAGAAGGAGCGCCACATCTTCCGGAAGAGGCGCGGCTCTGATTGTCAGAGAGCTCTGCTTCGATGGGGTGAGGAGAGTAACGCTCCCATCGGCATTCACTGTCCTATCGTTGTCGCAGGCGGAGAGTTTATTTGTGGTGACATCGATGAGTTCGTTCACCATGTCCATTTTCGGGGGTTCGACAACTGTTTCCCTGAATGGCACGATGGGGGCCGACACTGAGATGTCGATCTTCGCGAAACGCTCTCTCAGATCTAGCAGGCATCGTTCCAGATGAACCTCACCCGCAGTAACAAGAACACGCTCCCCTGTCCCCTGGAGTATGACCTGCACGCAAGGGTCTGCCTGATTGAGTAATTTCATACCGTGGATCAATTTTGGCATATCCTGCATCCTCTTAGGTTCAAGAGCCACACGCAGTATGGGGACCACCGGTGAAGTCATGTCTGTGAACGGAGGACACAGCGGACTGCTGCACAGAGTCGAGTACTTGGCCACATGGTGCTCAAGCGCACCGCCAATCCCAAGAATGTTCCCCGCGGGGACTCCGTCAACATCCGCGAGTTCCCGTCCCATCATCAGGTAGAGTTTATCCACTTTCAATTTCGTCACATGTTCGTCTGACTTCAGATCCTTCAGAGTCAATGCGGGGTCGACATCGAGCTCCGGGTGCTGTAATTAGTTCAGACTGTCAAGAGAAGTTCAAGAAATTGTTGCTGATATTTGGGCTTGTGATCGGACGGTGTTTCTATCCCACGAACCTTGGCTTTGAATGATTGAGGGTCGTGCTTCGGTCCCAGGACGAAAACTTCGGCGCCTCGGCGCACAGTGCCGCTGAAAATTCTCGCAAAGCCTACGAATGCTGTCGATGCCTCGTCGATTTCCTCGGCCGCCGTCGCGATCGCTTCAGGTTCAGGTTTCTCGTCTATCGGAATACCATTTTCTGGAATTTGAATGGGAACCTTCAGCCTCGGTTTCGATGCGTTCGTAAGATCGGCTACGTGGCGGAATTTCTGAAGATACATATACGCCACTCTCGACGGAGCGAGTACTCACGGGGATCTGCCTTGTTCTGCGACGCGAGATAGGCCTTCCGGGCCTCTTCTCGACGTTTCGCCAGATCTTCGAAAGTGAAGAGCTCCAGCCGGTTCTCGGGCAGCTGAGAACTCTCCACCGCAAACATCTTGGATACAAAGATGATCACTGGAGCTTCAGTCGAAGGATCCCCTTGCGACAGTGCTGCAAGATATTTCTCAATCAGGGAGCCCGGTCTAAACTATGGCTTTGTCACCGGATTCTCCGGACGTTCCCCGTGTCTCAATCTATCGTCTCTGAGTCTTCGAATAACCGAATGGGTGTACGGTTGCTCGTAACTCACCGCTGGTGATTCTTTCAACTTCTGGATTCTGCTCTCCTCGGACGTTAAGCAAATGATCAGCTCTGCTTTTCGGCATCGTTCGCGGCGAAGGCAGCCTGGTCAACATCTTGAGAACTGCTTGTGAAACAGGTAACCACGAGCCCAACATCGCTGATAGCTTCAGCCGAGGGTCCGATTGACGAAGATCTCTGGCCTGTAGCTTGATACCCAACGAGCCACACATTTTCTCCAAGGCAACATTGTCTCTGCAAATTGGATCTCATTAGAGGAGTTCTGGAACCTTTCTCAGCATTCTCCATTCAATCGATCACGATACGGAAATAACTCTAAAAATCGCGAAAAAGATGATTGCTAATCGTGAACAGGTCGGCTCGATCCGAGAAGTGGGTTCTTATTGAATTCCGCAGCTCCCGGATATAGTGGGTGCTATCCGCTAGGAGGTCGAACATACGTATACACAATATCTGGCCTACGCCATCATAGACTTAGACTGATTCCTGAGGATAACTTACTTATTAACACAAACTGCCTCATATATATCATAGATGCCTTGTAGGACGAGTTGGGCGAATAACGGCTTCTTGGCCTTTGCTTGAGCCCCTTTCTGAATTTTCTTCGCTTTCATATTCAAATAGAAATCCCCCCACAGGGTTCGTCTCAAGACCTCCGGACGCACGCCCAACTTCAGAGAATAAATCCGGGCGAAATCTTCAATCGAGAAACCCCAGCCGTCGGTAGCTGAAGTGAACACGACGTTTCCTCTGATGGGGTCGAAGTAGAGGTTCGAATCATCGATTTCATCGAGTCCCGCATCCCAATCGAAAACCTGATCCTGAATAAGGGGCGGACAAGATTAGGAAATTCAAACGCTGGGGAGTGAAGGGGATAGAGAGGTGCTTACGGGAGAAGATAATTCTTTTCAATCGAGGACTCAGAGTTGCATTTTGCTAACCTCGCTACATTCACATTTAGAATCGGATTCATCGTGTGCAAGATTCATCTTTTGCAGAGCCGTTTTCGTGAACATTTCGCCAGTGACTGCGTTAACCTGCTCAAGAACCTGAGTCAAGTACACATACGCATCCAGAGGAGTCATCTTCTTTTCCACTATGAGTCTGTCGATCTTGTTCAGAACCAGGACCGGATGCAATTGTTCCCGGTAAGCCATTTCTAGGGCGACCTTCGTCTGCGCGCACACACCTGAAATAAAATCATTCAATATCTACTTACATCGTTCGATTCAATCTCTCAGATCACGTCTCCTCGAAAGAAGACCTAGTCGGGTTCGTGTCCGCTTCCCGTCTACACGGACCCCTCCTCACCTTCGACAACATCGACGACAACGATGACGCAATCGCAGAGTCGAATGGCCGTAGTAACTTCGGATGTGAAGTCGACATGTCCGGGCGAATCGATGAGATTTATAAGATAATCTCGATTGTCGGTCTCGAAATGCAGGCTGATCGCAGATGATTTCATAGTGATACCCCGCTCCTGTTCGTCAGCGCGCGAGTCCATATATCGAAGCTGGGGGAACAATCTTATTAGACTTCAGGTTGCATGCGGGGATGTTCCCATCACGAGATCGACGTGCCGCTCATCCTACCTTTCCTGCCATTCTCTGAGAGATGATCCCATTACTGGCGACCAATGAGTCCGCCAGCGTGGTTTTCCCTGTTCGACGGAACATGAAAATTTTAAGCCCTTCTTCCGAAGATTCAATCGTTCGTGACGAGCTATTTCTAAACGGATGCACCGGCTTCCCCTATTGCGGAGGTATGTTTCCAGATAGTCGCACCCCTCCCCCCGGCTTGACCCTCACTTAGACCGTCGACTGTGAAACTCTCAACTCACCATGGTCAACATGTGCAAGGATGCAAACATTCCGGATATTTTCCGTATTTTTCTGAAGCTGCTCCAACAGCTGTACTGAAGTCCTCTGTCTCAGCATGTCCGCGCTGGAATTCGCTCCGGACGCCGGAACAGCACGCAAACAGCACAGTCGGAATTATACGGTCATGGATGCGGGTCTTCGACCCTGAATCAAGAACTGTCACGGAAAATAGGGGAGACTCAGAACTTCATGCCAGACTTCCGTCGGTGTGGTCGACGTTCGAAATTCGAACGGGAGTATGATATAGAACCCAGCGGCGAGAGCTACTTGTGTAAGAGTGAGAGACCGCGTGTTCGTGTTGACGCGCGTGTTTGGGATTTGATGGTGAGAGTTGAGAGTGAGGGTATGGGACCATGGGATGACGAACGACAACTTCTACTTTCGCCGCCTGAGATCGACGATTAATGGTATTCGAGGGACCGTTCGCCCGACTCTTGCTGTTCGGGAGAATGATGATTGAAGAAATCCCGCAGGGTCTCGATTCTGAATCCGAGAGGTCACTGTACTACCCGCCTAGAGCTAAGCCGAGTGATAACAAGAGCTGTTTCTAGTATTCTGCGAACCAGCACCCGAAATCTAATGCGCGGATGCGACCCGAATTCTGAGGATTCCCGGGCATAATCTACTACGGAAAGAATCAGAGAATTGAATGGCTAGTTTCGGACTCCTCTTAGAATCAGCATTTTTTCCCTATGCCCCAGCCCAGAAGATGGGTACGACTCTGTAACTTCAGCTTCCCGATCTGAGGGGCATTTCGAGGAGGTCCAAAAATAGGGACGCAGATCCAGTGGATCGTATACCAGAGCGAGGAAGAAACTCGAATTGCGACGGTCAAAAATTCCGGGCGGCCGGATCTCCCAGAGGCTCATAGGCCATAGGTGCTTAATGTTCCCAATCTTGAGATGAGAGCCCTCTGCCGGAAGTCCGAGAGTGAATCTGCAACATCCGTTCCATCCATTTTTTTATCCGATTGCAGTATCTCCGGAAATATCATTAAGTTCTCAACCAGGCGCGTCCACAGAGGGGGAGGGGCTAGGGGGCTATAGCCCCCTCCGCGATTGAGAGTTCGTAATACTGAGGTTCAGGAGCGGGACGCCCTGTTGGAAATGAGCCCCATGCAAGAACCCGATATAGCCCCCCCCCCAAAAGAATCCTGTGGACGCCTCTCTTCTCAACTCCCAGAGCCGGGCCGTTCTATTGAAGACGGGCTCAGCTCTCGACCATCAGGGAAGGATTCCGATCCGCGTTTTCCGCCATATGTCATTTCCGGGCTGATAATGCACACTTGTTGCTCGAGGTGAATTCCTGCGGTGACAATTATTGCAGCGAGATGTAACATTTCAAATATCTCTCCTGACTTTTGGAGATGAAGCGAGGAATATCAGAGACAAATGGTCATTGCACTCTGGATTGGCAGTCCACGACCTTCCCCGTTTCGCAGACCCCTTGCAAGGCTCGAATAGCTCCGTATTCTGCTAATCCCTTGTGATTTGTCCGATGAGCGGAGCTCAGTTGTCTTCGTTCCATGATGAGCGCACCGAACCATCGTACCAAATGATATCAGATGAAGCTACGTAGCATTCGATCTCTGTGGGATTTCTGATGAGTAGATCAATCTCCAAAAACTCTGGTCCCCCGATCGGCCAGGACTTCGGGAGTATTTAGTGGTCCCTGATCCGCTCCCATTCGCGCTGTCAGCTCCCATCAAATCCATTGTAGATTGTAGCTCTCTCAAGAGGAATCTCGCGGAAGAACGATGCAAAGGAATCTTAGGTAGATCGCTTCGATGCGGATTGGCGGCATCGATCTAGAAATACGCATTCCAATCAGACAATGAAGCTCTTAGCCATAGGCTAGAGAACCGAACCCGGGGTTCACCTCCGGACGCGCGGTGAACCTTTGATCCCGGAATTCTCTCGCTTAGCTAAACGAAGAGGACTTCGGCACTATTCAATCGTAGTAGGTTCCTCTTTCCGACTTAGAGTCTTGACCCTTGATGCGGCGTGTAGCTACAACGAGCGCCGTGAGAAAGGGATCTAACTCAAGTATTCGAGCATCCTCTCGGAAGATGACTCACATCCCTTTGCTAGATATGGACTAACTAAAACCTAGTTAGAAATAAGCGACGTCTATTGCATCTGAAACCCGAGACCGCTGGAGCCCCGCACGTGATCGAAGACCCTGACTGAGTCAGTGGTATCCCAAGTTCCCCCCAAAACCTGCGATCGAGCATCACGGGGTTGACACTTGAGGGACTTGTGGTCGGAATGAGATCTCAATGAACAAAGAGCCATGATGAAGCCATTTTTTCGCGAGATTTGGTTTGAGAAATGCTCTTATTTTGAACGCCGGGTATTTCTCGTACCTACTCAAAGAACAATCATCACAATCATCGCAGGAGTCTCGCCCATGTGATGGAAGATTATAAGCACGCATTGGACGACCGAGAGGGACGAACCTCTTCTGGAAGAATGTTCCGAGCGCAATGAGCTGGGTCGAGTTCGCAACAGCTTGGGAGCGTAGGAGGAAGAAATTCGCGAGACCGCAGATGCGCGAGACATCCATGTGGATTCCCGAATTTCCATCCGGATGTGGAAGAGAGAGCCTGGATCATCTGGCGGTCGTTTCTTCGTTGGCTTAACCGACCACTCAGAGGCTCTAGCGTTGAAGTTCTTGAGTTTCGCAGAGGGGGGCTGAGGTAAACTTCAAAATGACTTAGGACGGCTGGATTAGCGGCATTGCCGATCCATTAGGAGCTATGCCGGGGCGGATGATCGAGGGAATGTATTCCGCAATATTATGATTATCAATGATTATTAATGATTTCCGGGTTCAAGCTCGAAACGTACAGGCGAGCTAAACAATTGAGAAGCGACTTAGGTACATGCGAGAATCAGGAGCAACCGCCTCAATCCGTGACTCCATGCGGAGCCATGAGATCGTCTGACCCAGACGAAAGGTTTCCGCCCAACAATCTCAGCCATCTGACTTCAAGGCTTGTTTACTCGTTACTTCCGGGATTCCTCTAGCTGGTCCTATTCGCGAGCGATACATTTTTAGTGATGGCCGGGGCTCTCGGTCTTTGCTGTGGGGAATTCGTCTTGGGAATCGACTTCAACTCATTCGTGGGTGAAGAGGCATTAGAGTTCTCGCTCGAAAAAAAAACGGATCGGATTGACAATAAGTGCTTGAGGAACGTCATCGGATCGCCTCGTGCGCCATGTCTCCGGCGCTCGACGGCTATCAATAAGCAAAGCTTGCGAATAGTGTCCGAGATATCCGAATCCCGTATTATACTAATCCGTATCGTCGGGCGAATGTGCAACCGACTTAAGCACTGAATGAGGTAGGCAACGATGCCTGGAGGAATAAGTTTACCGCATTTTCCATTTCAGCGCGGCTTCGGGCTCTTCCGAACACTTTTCGTCCATCTCATCCTGCCTTATCGGTCAATCTGAGGCACGAGAGGGTTTCGGACGACTTCTCTCCCATTTCCTAATCGCAAAAACCCGGGTCGATGCCAAGGCTAGGCGTTCGTTCGAGAGCGTCTTGCTGGGAATCCTTGGAAGACGGTGATGGACTCGCCGCGCCGTGGCATCCTGCAATCGTGACTCCAGGCCCGTCACGTGATAGCAACATCTCTAATATCCTAGCGGAACCGGCGAGAGTTACGAAAAGGAGTGCGAAGAAGTCAGAATCGAAATTCTCAGAAATGGAGAATCAACTTGAAATGCCCACTCTGAAAAGTCACCATTATCAACGTTCGGCAGCCGCTGGCTATCTCCCCGCTAATGCCTAGGGCCTAGGGTATGGCTCTCCTGCGGTCACTAGCTGTGGCGTCCCTTATACGTTGCAAGAATGCGGATTGGGTGTCAACGTGACGGATTCTACCTTCTGGAGCGAAATGATTCTCATCTGATACATCAGTCAAATTCTTAAGAAGTCTTCTCAGTTTATACACTTTTTTACAGAAGGTCCTATTCGATGTTGTGACACTACTCCGAAGAGCCCGGTAGCATTGAGTCTCCCAGAGAAGCTAGAGCGGCAAATTGCGGATCTCTATAGGCACTCTGCTCAATCATCTTGAAGTAGGACGTGTCAGTGAATTCGGGGAGTCGGTGCAAGATCTTCCCGGTGTCTTGGAGTAGCCGGCAGAGACGTTCGAGCTCCGCTTGCACGTCCTCTGAGAATGCTCCGCCCTCGTCGGCACTCCGTATGAAGCCAGTTATTTCCTCAGCATGCCCCCGGAAACTTCTCAAGAGGTCTCTGGGAAATTAGACTCGGCTCATTCGAAGTTCTTCTGGCTCTCGTCTGTCAGCCGGATTTCAATCTGTTCCATCTCGCACCGGGAGTCTACTCACATTGGATTCACTCTCTCGTCGTAGAGGAGCTCGACCGGATCTCCCTGAACGCTTCCGATGTACTCGACAATCTGTGCAATAGCTTTCCAAAACTCGTCGAGGTCCGTAAACTCCTTCGCCTCTTTGAGAGGCGCATACATATTTACTGTCATCTCGACCAGCCTAACGTCGAAGAAATGGCGCTTCACAAACTTGATCATCTGGATCCTCTTGAAGACATTCACGAAGAACCTGAGGTTGGGCCGAAATAGAGTTCAGACGGGAGAAGGGCTCGAGATCAAAGCGACGGAGTTCTTGGAATCGAGAGACCCCTTGAATTGAGGGCTGGGCCATCGACGTCTATCGCGAATGCCGAGAGAAAGCTTCGGACGACATCAGAGCGATTTGCGGATTGCAGTTCCAGCTTCACCCCGAGGCGAAGGTACGACTCCTTGAAGTCGTCGCTATCACGGATGAAACTTTGTCGGAAAACGCGGATTGGATCCGAATGGAACTCACCATTCTGGCGTGAACGGGAAGTCTTCATCCGCGTTCTGGAACTGCGTCATGCAACTGTTAAACCCCATGAACGTGAAACACTTCCCAGAACACCGCGTCGAGACGTTGATCAGGAGTAGAATAATCCATGCGGACTGGAATGCGGAGAGGTGCCTCGTGATCTCTCACTGCCGAGGCTTTCAAACTTGAAATTTTCATACATATAGGTCTCCCAGCATTCCGTGTGGAAATGGCGATCTCATTCAGAGTCAGTCCAGCTTGCCCAATTATCAGCGCTCGTTTTGGGACCGAGAGTCAGAATAGGGGAGATCCACCAGTTATGGACCACCCCACCAGTTTTGGACCGGTCACCAGTTATGGACCACCCCCAGTTTTGGACCGGTCACGTCACCAGTTATGGACCACCCCCAGTTTTGGACCGGTCACCAGTCATGGACCCCCAACGGGTTTTGGACCGGTCACCAGTTATGGACCACAGCTCAGAATGTTCTCGCTTTCGGATGACTTGATATTCGCTCGCTTCGGGAATCGGGGAGTCGAATCCAGCCTCTCCAGCTCCAAGCTAGGGGCGGATTCGAGAATCGTTCGAGTATCGGCTTGAGATCGATTTTCTTTCCGAGTTGCCCGCTGTCGATGGGCTCTCTCAGCCATCTATGATCGCGAGAATGAGGATCTCGAAATAATCCCGACATAGATAGAATTCTTCATGACCCGCCACTGATTGTATTCCGACCACTTCGAAAAGAATGGCCCGAAATTCTGACCGGTCCAAAACCGGTTGGTGGTCCATAACTGGTGACCGGTCCAAAACTGGTGGGGCGGTCCATAACTGGTGGATCTCCCCTACCCGAGGAGTCTTCGACCTTCCCGGGCTTCTCGCGGGTCGGCCAGGAGCCTCCGCCGCTCCGGGGCGAGGGTTTCGGACAAAGCATAGCTCTAGACTTTTTTGTTTCGCAATATCCCGGAGATCGTTCACAGAATCCATTTCCCTGATGTAATTATCACGGTCTCTCTGGAGGTATTCCCACAACATCTGATGCTTCAGGAGGGTTATCCCCGTGAGAGTTTCCTCCCCGGAGGCTTCCCGCCGCTCATCCGCGTTGTGACATCGCGTCGAAGTCGGACCGGGACGAGAGGTGAACAGGAGCAGCATCAATGATGCGTGGATTCCTCACAGAATTGGAACTCCCTTCCAGGAGGGGCGGAATTCCCCCTGGTGTTTCGTACACTTACCATCAGGTTTGAGCATCGCATGACGGTCTCCTGTGGAAGAGCAAACTGCCAGACTTTGATCTGAGTATTAATGAACTGTGAGTTCACAGGATAGAACGAAGTTGCTTCGCAGACTGAACTCATCACTTGTTTTTCCTGATACCGATAAGCCACCATCTGTCTTCTGGCAGAGTAGTTTACATTGCAGGGAATAACGACCTCGACTTCGGGACCCCCGTCTGCGCGGCATTGAGCCTAGCTAACCTTGTGAGGAAGAGGTGAAAATCCAAGGCTGAGATAAACTCCTATGATCAAACTGTTCGAGACGAGTTCGAGTTGTGACTGGCCACGGCGTCGGAAGGTATCTGTGTTTCTGGCGACGGCACCCTCTCAATGTGTCTCTTTGTCTCCCTGTCAGCGGATCGATCCGTTCTCCTAATGAGCTCACGGTGCTCGGCGGTCACGGATGCAGCTGATTGTCGGAAAATTTGTTTCCAACTCGGATGTTTTGGTGTTATGTGACGTACAACCTTTCGTTTCAGGTGGAGACTTGACCGCATGCTCCAATGTTCGCTCATTATTAGGCTTATATCTAGCGATGAATGGACTGCAGAGCGTGCGAAGCTGACGCTTGCAATGATTCATACGAATACGTCCATTCTGCAGTCTTCGAGCTTGGTCGCGCCAACTGCGAGCGCTCCGCGATGCCTATGCTCGCGTCGGTTGGCTTGAGAGACTCGGCAAAAATTCTCAAGTCGAGATCGTGGTAGCCTGAGTAGAATTTTCGAAGCATGGAATGGGTATTGGGACACGGACAGAGATCTTGTGAGCGGAGGCTCGGAAAGTAGAGGTGGATCTCGCTGATTGGGTAATGGGATGGGATGACGCACAAATGGAGACTCAGCAACGGATCAATGAATTTATGAGTGCAGTCTGGGTCTGGATTCGAGTCCTCGAGCTGGCACAAACAGGAATATTGTCGAGGAGATATCAATGGAACGAATTCAGTGGAACACGGGAAGGAAACGAGGGTGAAAATTTTCAGCTCTTCAGCTCTCGTCGGAGTTTTCCGAAATGCTCGTTAGAGATCGAAATGTTTCGCCGACTCTCCAAGGTGGGAAAGTCATCTTTTGGATGCTGGACGATGCTGATGTATTTTTTTTCTAGAGCTTTTCACTTTCCTCGGGTGTCTAGCGAAGAGCTGCCGAAGCTTTTTTCAAGTCTCTCCCGATTCCTGCAGAGTATCTGCCGAATTTTCCGCTGTTTTCTCATGTGTACTGACTGGGCATTGCATAAGACCGCAAGTTTCCCTGAGGAACGTGCTTCCTACATGCGTTTCCGTGCGGTCCCTCGCGGCTCCCCATACACGTGCCATGCAAAGCTGTAAGCGCGAATCATCCCGGTTCCGGGAACTTTACAAAGCCTAGTGCTGACTGAAAGACAAATGTGGAGTCGCACACGGATCCAATCGGTGGATGAGCTTTCCTTTGACCCGCCCTTAATTGAGGACAGGAAACACCGACATTCATGTCCTGATGGGGGAATAAGCGCTAGGCAAAGCCTGGCTGAGCATGGCGATTGAGGCGGAGCTCGGACCACGGTCCCCGATGGGCGTCCCAGCACGGTGCTCTCTTCGACGTCGAAGGTTCACCAGGATTTGCATCAAGGATCTGCCGCGAAGAGGAGGAAGACGGAATATTGAATTTCCGTTCCATTTTCGTCAGCAAAGAACTCTCGATTTTTAGGCTCCCAAATGATACCTTATCTCCGAAGATCCATTGTGGAGGATCGATGAAGCTGGCTCGGAAGCGGATAATTTTTGCCGGCAATCGGAAGGATTCCACTCGTAAACATGCCGGGCCATAACAGCACACTGACGGCACCGTCGGGACGACTTGGTAAAACGCGATAAAGCTCAACGAAATCTTTCCCGCTTCGCACAGGTGTTCGGTCAGTTGCGTCTAGATGAATCTTACGGTGACGTTTTCTGACGACTTTGACGCGCGTCGAGTTATTATGTGCGAGAAATACTGCCGAAAATCCTCTTGGAGAAGTTCCGATCGCTCGTAGTTGACATGGAGCGTCCTCGAGACCCGGCGTGTGCCCAGGATTTTCTCGGACAGGGTCCAGGGTTGGAGCCGATGATGATAAGCCTCACTGAGGAGCCCTATGGGCCGAAAAGAGATCGTGGAGGGGGCCATGGCCCTTGCCCCCTCTTGAGGACGCCTTCGCTCGAGACACAATTCGAATGATATCGGCGATCCCTCCGGATCTCCTGCGACCGAACGTCCTCAAAATATAAGCCCTCATCGACCGACGACCGAGCCTGGCCGACAATTCATGTACCCCATGTTGACGAGTCAGAGATGGGCCGAAGCCCTTATAAACATGCAGATTCGGCCCGACTCATAGGCACTCTGATCCCACCCGGACGTACCTAGGAATAGAGTCTTATTGAGGTGATCATAGCCGACTCAGGACGTTGTAGGGGATTGAATCGAGCTCGACGCCCCCGAGACCGAATTGACGTCACAATTGGTCACTTTTTTTTCAGCGTGCATCATTCGACGTTCTCCTGTCCGACTTGTTGATGTCGAACCCGGGAAACATACCCGTCTTGTCGGGCTCCATGGAAAGGTTACACTTGGATGGATATACCCGGAAAGAGGCCATGGTCCACAGCTCATCGGAGTAGGTAAAACACGAAAATTTCGAAAATATCGATCCATTCACCATATAATCTCCTGCCCTCGAAACAAGCCCAGACCGTGCATGATATCTCAATGATCCAGAACGCGTGTAATGCGTGGAAAAAATAATCGTGGCATCGCGGATGACGCCGAAGGGTTCGATCGAGAGTTCAGATACATATCTGAGAAGGACCCCTGCAATTTACGAACTTCTTGCCGTCCGGCTTCCGAAGCGGCCCGGTTCAACACGATCGAGGAAAGTCTTCACGAAGATCCTGAACTTCTATACTTCAATCAAGCCTGACTCACGTTGTAAATTATGTTTTTCGAGCAAAAAAGCTGGTCGTATGCGAGTTCCCTAGCTTCCATGGGCTCATAGGTGTCCGACTCGAATTCGTTTCGAGCTCGAGGCGATGCGCCGATGAATCATGGAGTGTTTTCTACACCGAGTCTGATGATGACGTGGAGAATCGAGCGTTCTCCTGTCAGCGACTTTCAAGTACTCCTCACGACGCCAATTAGCTAATGAGACGATCCTAACCATTGATGACCGAGTCGGCCGACCATCTGCTCCAAGCGCACAGAGACTGATGATTCCGATTGCAGTCCCTGCAGAGGGAGTTATCATTTGGAAACCGGCTCAACCAGAAGCAGGGACGACGATTCTTCTCGGAGTTGTCTGGGAAGTCGTCAGGGTTCGGCGCAAACGTCTCGCTATGATTCTGGAGTCAGCCGACAAACGCGCCACTCGGGAGACGCTCATAGCTTTTTTTTAGAACGAGCTGTCCGCATGGAAGTCGAAGAGTCTCTCTATAAGAGAGCTAAAATATCCTCCGACGTGAGTCCCACGGATTCGAAGCGGGGACCGAAGAATAGATCGGATCCCCCTCTCACTGCGGTCAGCCCACGAGGGACTTGCCGAGAAGGTTCTCCGAGAGCGGGATACACACGGCGGAGAAATCGGTGAGGTACTAAGGTACGTGAGGTACGTGTGAACTTCTCCAGGCTACACCTGATGGCCGAAACTCAGCTATGCATTCGAAAGGCCCGCCTCGATGGCGCGTTCCTCGATGGCGATCGAAGACACAACATCGAGTCGAGGAGCAGAGAAGCAGGCCGAGCTGCGAACGATTTCACCGAGCCGGTCGACTGGAAACTAGCTGGGATGAATTCAATCACAGCAATTTGTGCTGTGAATCTCATCAAGAACAGTGGCGAGTAGATCCAATGAGGATGTTTACAAAGATGAACATCGCGACCGTTTTCTCCAGAGCCAAAACTTAAGTCCGCAATCCCCGCTCCGAATTGTACTGCGCGAATTTCTGTTCCGTGATGTTTCGCTGAATGCTCACCGTTCTTCAGCTCTGGGAGAATTCAACCACCTTGTATTGCATAATAATACGTAGAGGAGCTTTAATTCTCAATTCAATTCCTCCCTGCAGCTCAGCGGAATGTTGTGATCAGCCAGGTTCGTTTCCGTAAGTTCAAATCGCGGAATCCTCCGGAGCCCCACTATGATCGTAAGGCTATGTACGAGGTTTGCAAGCCCATATTATCGAGAGAGGAGCAAATATGCTCCAGCCTCACCTATAAGCCTCCCGAGAAAGAGGTACGCTTCACGATCTCCGGATCACTCCGTCTATACCAGTAGATTTTGTTCTATGACTCCATTTTCTACCACTTCCCTGGTCTATCTGAGAACCCTCTGTAATTCATCGAATTTTTTCCTTTAGCCTCATCCATGGAGTGTTCTGAAAGCGAAGAAGCTTCGACAGGAATTTGAACAAGCCAAAATGATCCTCTTCTTCCACAAGAACCCCATCTCAGCGGAGAAAGACTTCGAAGCCAAGAACAGCTTCTTCAAGATAGACGTCTTCATGAAGGATTACAGCAACACGGTAACGCAAACTTTAACTGATGCTGAGCTCGTTTTGTTGGGAATGCGAATGTTTGTTCATAGAGTATTCCAAATGAAAACCGTGCCGTCGTAAATTCAGGTCACGTCCCTGGCGATTCAAAACGGATTTCTCGCGAACGCTACGCCATTCGTGACATCGAGGAATGCCGTCGCTGTCTCACCTCATCATGATATCAAGTCTTGCCTGCGTTTGTTGAAGAAAATTCCACAGTACATCCTCCTAGGTGAGCCCATTGTGCCGAGTCTATTATTCTCTCGTCGGGCGAGAAACTCGTGCATGGATCTGATGATGAATGATCCTCTTGGTATCCATCATCCTCCCGAACCCCCTTCATTGTAATGGGATTTCCCGCTTCCAGCTGGGGTGATAGATCGGACGTTTCTGGACCGCGCACAACTGAGCTGGTTGGCTACGGAGCCTTCAATCCAGACATTGCAGTCGATCACCGCAGGTCTACTCTCCGCGCACCAGCAACGACTATATGGCAACCTCAACCGGCATCAACAGAGACTATCGATGCTGCTGTCGCAACACTCGCAGGCATCGCAGAGCTCTTCGAAAAGTTCGACAATAGACGCTACGACTGTGGGAGATCGTCCGAGCGAAGAGAATTGAGCTCAATAAAAATCCCGTGTAGATCCCGTGCGCACAGATGTCATTGAATAGTTCATGAGGGCGGTGCGACACCCCGGCTGATGGTTCGAATCATGGAGGAAGTCAGAGCATACCTGACGAGGCTTGTTTCAGAAGATCTCATGCTCCTATCCAGTGGTTCTGCTGGCAGCTTGCGATCCGTCATTAGCAGCGGCGAATTCACGAATTTGCCGCCCCCAGGCTGAATCAGACCCGCCGCCCTGATACAACCCATCTTGATATGAATCCCGATTCTTCCCGGCGCTTGTTTCAGGTTTCTATGATTTCCCTCCTGTTCCACAAAAAGTCCAAGGATCCGTAGCCTTGGAAATGGTCTCCACTTATTCAGTCGATCCCAGAAGAGGAGAAAGAAGAGTTCCTTTCCAAAATAGTTGATCGGGTTTCCAAGGGATAATGTCTCGCTGTTACTTTTTGAGACGGCTCCCCGCCGTTGATCTGGCAGTTCCAAGCTCACGGACGGAGACGACGTCCTCGTCTCGGTCTCGAATGATTTCACTGAGTGAGTTGTCGAGGATCACAGAAACTCCAAGCAGGATTTCGCCGCCCCCCGAAAAGTGCCGCCCCAGTCTATAGCCTACTAACTAAGCCTACTGTGTGAATCCGCCACTGGTCACTAGTAATAATTCATAATTTCCGATCGGATCCGAGGGGGAGGACACAGTCGTTATAGAGGAAAATTAATTTATTCCCAAGGATGAGATGTAGGACTCATAGCTTGAAGCTCACTTCTGAGCGACAACAAGAGCAGCTCCGTGCAGCGGAAGCACGCTCGTTGTGTATCCGGCTACCTCGATGATTCAAATTGGAACGCAGGTGATTCGATGCAATTGCTAACAAACCTATTAGGATCTTCGTATCAATGCTTAACCACTCCGACAACAGCGGGCCGTATGACCCGGTCCTTCAACTTATAGCCCAATTTGCTGACGACGGCGACGGTGTTGACTTCCTTCGATTTATCTTCCGTCATGAAAACGGCCTCGTGCTCATTGGGGTCGAACCTCTCGCCGAGTGGGTTGATTTGTGTGAGACCGTGTCTGAAAGAGAAGATACCGGAATTTATTTATCGATGCGTTCCGGACACATGAGTCGAATTCCATGAGGCGTAAAACGAACGGTGCGTTTATTGATTATTTTTCACTCACCGGCGGAATACCCCTTGCAGCTGTGATTCTGTCATCTTGAGCCCTTCATACAGGTTCTTCAAATGCGCGTTTTTACTCAATTCCTCTTGTGGTACCGCTCCGCAGGCCGTCTGCAGCACATCGGCGACGTCGAGAAGATCTTTGCCGAACTTTTGGATGCCGAAAACTCTAGCATCCTCAATTTGTTTTCCCAAACGCATTCTAGTATTCTCGACTTCGGCCAGGGCTCGCTTGTATTTGTCATCGAGCTCTTTGACGTTCTCTAGAAGAAAGTCTTTCTCCTCCTTAAGTTTGGCGTATTCCTCGGCAGAGACAGCGGACGGAGATTGCTGGCCCTCGCTCGGGGAAGTAGAGGCTGTGGAATTAGCTGAGAAGCATCGCCTGGAAATCGAGGATCACTCATTATTTCATCCTGGAGGACCACACGCAGATTCAAGAAAACCGGTGTCTTGCAGCAGTGGCGCTTCACTGGGTGGACAACCCACGTGATGGTGTGATACTGATGAGGGAACACTCTGAAGGGAGGGTACGTTCATCGAGGAACATAAGGAATTTTGCACTGATCTGTGGGAGCGATCTCGATCTCCAAACGATAGGAATTGGCACATCGTGACCATGCTCGTTCTTATATGACGTAAGCGAGAGAAATAATTGTTATCATCTCGGTTTCACGGAGGCTCACTCTCCGTACAATTGGATCTAGGAAGGATGAGCATCGAATGAGCATGTCGAACCGGAGCTTTCCAGCGATACCCTCAGAGAGAACGTAATCGAAGGTCACTGAGAAAGATCGCGCATGGAGCGCGAGCGCCCCTCGGCAGAACTCAATTTTTTCGCCTCACTGGGGAAGCGTCGCGAAGAGACGAGACCGCCCGAATACGACGTGGAACTTACCCAAAAGCTGTCAAGCCATGCCGACTACGCTGAGATGGGACCCGGCACGCCAATCGGCTCAAGTTAGAGAACACGCTCATCGCGGTCGACGCCATTTTTCACCCGCAGTTGAACGAAATCTCAGAATCCCACACACGCATCGGATCGTGGGCTCTTCAATTTCGATACGGAGAGGAGAGAGAAGTTGGAACTTTCTTCCTGGTTCCGGAATCACGGAGAGCTGCTTTTTGAATTGGACCGAGTTTTCTGTAATTTTCTCGAATTCTTGGGAAATCATGGTAGAGGAGACTCAGAGGACTGCGTGATTACAGAAGCTCTCTTGTTGAGGACTCAAAGAGTTCCGCGGGCTCAAATAAGCCCTCTCTATCTCTGTAATCATCACAGCACTGATTACAGTGCTTTGACAACTCATGGAGTGGATACTGAACTCCGCTAAATACGGAACGCTAGGCGGCATCTTGTACAGGTGAGTTTTTCGGAAAGCACGTAATTCGAGCTTGAGAAGGTCATTGGATGGAGCAGAAGGCACAATCAGGAATCCTTATTCGAATTGCTCCTGATTGTTTGAGCTCCAGAGAACAGACGTTTAGTGGGCGTCCGGTGAGTGACAGACTCGGGCTCAGAGTGACAGCGTCGATATCGATCGCAGGTTATTCATCATGAAAACTTCTCTGCCGCTGCGAGAGCAGCTGACTCCGAGGGTCTATCGAGTCTTAGGCGAGTTACCGAACTCATCCAATTCTGATTCGAATTCGTTCGAAATGCACCCTCGAATATAATGGGTCGTGCTTGCAGGATGCAATCCAGGAATAATGACACTCCAGGGGACTAATACCTATCTCATCGGGACCGGCGAGAGAAGAGTGTTAGTTGATACCGGGTGTGCGGATCATCCAGCGTACGTCGATTCTCTGAGGACGGCTCTACATGAGCTCGGAGCGAAAATAGAAAAGATTATCATCACCCATTGGCACCACGACCACATAGGCGGGGTTATCGACCTGATGCGCGAGGGCATCGTCGAGATATCGACTCCGATCGCGAAGATCCCCTTCAGTGAGAAAGATGACGCAACCGGTGAGTAGAGACGAGCTCAGTGCCCATGGGGAGCATTTTCGACAGGTGTCCATGCTAAACGTCGGTTCCATCCCGTGTTCTACATAGGTCTGAAATTCCTGCCCTTGCACGACGGTCAAGAGATTCGGGTGGAGGGTGCGACCTTGGTGGTACTGGCCACTCCTGGTCATACGAAAGATCACGCGTGTCTCGTGTTGAGAGAGGAGCGCGCCGTGTTCTCCGGCGATTGTATACTCGGTGAAGGCTCCTCTGTGTTCGAGGATTTCGGGCCCTACATGAAGTCCTTGCATGCTATCGAACGGCAGGCCCCAGAGGTTCTTTATCCGGGTCACGGACCAGTGGTTCTGAAGGCTCTGGATAAAGTTAAAGCGTACATCGCTCACAGGTGAGCATTTTGACCTAGATCGAGTCCCGGAGCTGGAGATGTCCGCAGAGCCTATTAGATCCCTCAAAAATCTCGTGGTCTTCTCGGAGGATTGACGTATCGCCGTTCGTTGCAGATTATATCGGGAAGAGCTCATTCTGAAAAGCCTTGCCGAAAACGGTGGCGCGCCTTTGACATCGTGGGAGATCGTTGAGAAAGTTTACGGCGAGGAGATCCCAAGGTTCAAATATCCGGCCGCCCAAATAAATGTAGGGCATCACCTGTCGAAGCTAATCGAAGATGGAAAAGTGATCAAGCGGGATAGACAGGAAGGATTCGTAACTGTGACGGAAGAGTATACCTTGACATGATAGTTGGAGGAAATCAGAGAAGTTGTAGATTCTTCAAATTCATGCGACGATTTCAAGACGTTTTCAGTCTGGCGTCGAGTCGGGAATATTCTTTCAATTATGAATTATGACATAGCCTAGAGGAGGAACTGGAGAGTTTCCCAAGGTCATGCATCAGCCTCCGAACAAAGTGTTGCAAGTCGGTTGCAATAAAGGAGACAAGTATTTTTGAGTGAAACGAGACTATCAACTCTCTCTTCCTATACCTTCAGAAAACAATGTTCCTTCAGAGGCAATTTTCCTCAAACTTCGAGTCGACACCGCTGTCCCGACGACCATCGGGAGAAATTTACATGATTGAATTTATGTACAAGGGTCCTCATGCCATCTGGAGGTCGACATTTTTCCAATGTGTACGACAAATGAAGTCTCAGAGAGACGGTCTCAGAACCACAGACCGTCTTCCTCGTCATCATCATCATTCCTGCTCCCTGGTTCCTCTTGGGCGTCCTGTTGTTCTTCTTGATCCTCGTCACTCTCAGAGATCACTAGGTCGTTGTGTATGGCTTCCCCATTGTCCGAATCCATGGGATCGTCGTTCTGATTATCGTTGAGCCACGGCTGATTGGACTCATCTGTAATTCGAAATTCGACGCTCTCTGTGACGAAATAGAAATGTGTTTGGCACCGGTAAGTGGGCTTTCGGACCGATTCCGACACAGAAGGAGATCTTAACTGTAAGACGTCGGAACCAAAAGTTTAACTTACCGTTCGCGTCGTCGACCTGTTGAGATGTATCTTGGCCGTCGACCTCCATGAGCTGTCTTTCCTCTTGGACCTCCTCGGTCCGCTGGAACTGGAAGTTCCCCTGGAGCAAAAAGTCTGTGGGGTCGTAGTTCTCGTCGATTATCTCTTCGTCCTCTTGATTGGAGTTTTGTTGGAAACCACTCCTGGTCAACAGGACGCCCCGGTTTTCATCGTCGGAATAGTGAGATCCGTTGTCGTCTTGCTCTGACTGATCCGGGGAGTTGTCGGGACTGATTTGAAGGTCCGCACCCAAATTAGGATCATCGTCGTCTTGGCCGACATCTTCCACGTCAACCATTTCTTCCTCGCCTGAAGTTCAAGAGACGGGAGGTCATTTATGGAGCCCGGATAATTATATTATGGAGTTCTAGAAATAATTCTCTAGGAAAAAAATCGCTGCCCCAATCGATCCCAAGACTCACCTCGGGTGCCGTCCCCGGGACCGTAGGCTGCGAGCGAATCAGTTTCCGCTTCTTCGAGCGCACGGTTGATCGCACTCTCAAGATTCGAAATGTGATCGTCTTGGGCGTTGATTAGCTCGACAGCTGTGTCGAAGATCTCTTTGCCTTTCATGCTGAAGGCGGAGTCTTCTCCGTTGAACTGCACGCTGTTCGCGTACATGAGCTCAATGTCGGCTATGAACTCGCGTCTGGAGTGGTATTTGTGCGATTTGATGTTACTCATGACTGTGTCGAGATCGATCGGCTCCTTGATGACATCATAGTAGGCTTTCACCATCTTCTTATTCACAGGTTTGTGGAACGGCCACGATTCGGGAATGGCTTTGAGGCTGACAACTATGTTCTCAAAGATATAGCTCAGCGCAACTTGATCGTCATCGTCCAGGAGCGGGTTGATCGCTTTCTCTAGTCGCATGAGCGTGCTCTCCTGCAGGAGACGAAAAATTCATTATTAATCCTCACTTTTCATCGAAATTAAGGAATTCCACGGAGAAACAAGGAGCACTTTCGAGCGCGAACACCCGGGAGGAACCTACCCTTTCAGCGAACTTCTTGATGCACAACTCTAGCATATTCTTAGCGGATTGCGTCAATTGATGTTGGGCGCCATTGTACAGATTGCTGTTCTCAACAATCTGATTGACATCCACAAGAAATTCCTCTCTGGATTGGTAAGCGTGCTCGTGAACCTTCTCTCGCATCTTCTGCAGATCCATGGGCCGGGCGACGATCGTGTGATAATCAGGAACGGCTTTCGGATTCACCGGATGCGTGAACGGCTGAACGTCCGGTAAATCTCGCATATCGTTCAAGATATCTGTGAACAGCCATTTACGTGAGATTTTCTTTCTTTCGTGAGGCACTCGCTCCGGCGAAGGTGGGTCTTGAACGTGTAATGAATGAAAATCATGTAAATTCCTCAAGACAAGGGGATACTCACGCTCGAGGAGAGATGACAACGTGACGAGCGGATCTGTGCGTCTCCTGTTCGCGGACTGCGCCGGCTTGCGGAGATAGTCGCACTGTGTCGTGGATTCCATTCTGCTCCGCCGTTTCTTCATGTTCGGCAGCTTCAGCACGAGACTTTTTCGACGGAGTTCGTCCGCATGCTGGATGAGTGATTTCGACAGGACAACTCGAGTTTCGTCGACCTTGACGAGGTTATCCTCCTGGAGCAAGCTCGTGTTCTGATCTTCCTCCTCTTCGATTTCGGGTTCTTCTTCCTCCCGAGCGTCTTGGGGACTTCCGTCCTCTGCCAATGGGTCCTGATATTTGGGGCAAGCCTTATTCGTTCGCATATGTCCGACCATGCCACACGCTCCGCATTTGAGTTTCAGCTGAGGGGCATCTTTCTTGAACCGTTTCCGAGATGGGGTCAAAGGAGCATTCGGACCGAGCTTCTCACGCTCTTGGTTTCGCTTCAAGCGACGCAGCTGCTCCTGAATCCTGCGACGTTCCTTCCGCATCTCTTCTTTTTGGTTTTCGTCGAGTGACATCGCGAACTGTTTAATGAAGTCCTTGTCCTTCGTCTCGCGAATTCTGACGTAGGTGTCGATGATTGCTTGCTTACGAACAGTCTCTATACGGACGAATTCTTTGCCTTTGCTGTTTTTGAAGGTTCGGTAGATTTTGAGAATTTTCGGCGCGGTGTCCTTTTCGTCTTCTTTCTTGTCTTTGCCGAGCTTGCCCTTCTTGTCGTCTTCGCCGAGGATCAGCTTCTGCAGCTCTCGTCTTTCGGCTTCCTCCTTCTCGTGGCTCAGCTGGCTGGACGTCTTCTTGTTTGACAGCATCTTCTCAATATTTTTACCCATCTCCTCGATGTCTTCTTCGCTCTCTTCTTCGCCGACGCTGCTCTCCTCGTCCGAAGAGAGGACTTCGTGCGACGACAGGACTCTGTTCTGCAGGTCGAAGAGCCGCTGACATTCCTCCTTGTATCTGAAAGGAATACCAATGAGTCCCTCTGACCATCTCCGCCTGAATGTTCTTTCTAGTCGCTTCCCGAGTTCGGTGGGACCCCTGATGCTCACAACCACGGAAGTCTTGGACGAAAAGCGAGACTGACCTTTCCTGGTGCTCAGCGATCGAAAACCGGTTCCCTCTCGCGAATTTGCTCATTCCGTCCTCGCCAGCCTTGGCTTGTTCCGTGGACAGAGTCCTCACGACGTCAATCACTTCCCAACGCGTGAGCTTCTTGATTTCATCTTCGGGAACCGCGAACTTTCGCAAAAGATTCTTCGCATTTGAAAGTGATAACCGACGTAGATCGGCATCTGTCCCGGTAACAGTTTTCTTGACGGCTTCTTTACGTTCTTCGTCCTTTGACTGCACCGGTTTATTAGGAATGCGGACATACGAAAATCCTTCGCCACAGCCTGTCGGATCGGCTACTCCGGTGAGTTGGAGCAGACATTTGCCCTTCATGGCCTGGATGAAAGCTCTCGTCGTGTTCCACGGAGCTGTTTTCACCTGAAGATCAAGAGAGTGGAGAAATCAGAAATGTCCCGATCGCACGGCTCCGACGTACAAGCGCAGACCCTCCATCCTGCTCACCTCGTCGTCGATCTTGTTCTGAAGATCATCTTCATTTTCTTCATCGGCGGTGAACAGACTCTTCTCTCCGTATCCAGCGTCTTTCAATCTCTGCTCAGCCGCCAACATCGAATAATAACCACAGCATTGCTCCGGGCTGACCATTGCCCTTATTTCGTCTTCTGTCGGTAATCGGAAGTCGGGTTTGAGCACCCACCAATTGGAGTCCATCCCCGTCCGTTTGAAGTCAGCGCATAATTTTAGACGCTTTCGAATCGAGCTCTCTGAGTGATTCGGGAACGCTTTCCGGATGTCCTCCATCTTAATCCGCCTTGGATGATCGAAGGATTTCCAGAAGAGTCGATAAATGAAAACCTGGATTCGGAAAGGAATCTCAATAAATCGGCTCAGCGACGCCTCTAGAACAATCCAAGAATATCTCAGATCTCGCTCACCTGTAGGAAATCTCTTATGAAATTATTAGCGCGCTTGGAATTGGGGCCGGGCACTTCATAGAGCGGCAACTCCTGCCCCACTGTGAAAATGACGTCGACCTCGCGAACGTAGTAGTGCTGCCTCGTCCTGATGATGAGGAAATCGCTCATCGGCAATTGGTGCTCATACATCGGAGCTCTGAACAAATTGTTCTCGAACGCCGGCTGACATTTTCCAGGCGCAAGTTGACCTAGGAAAGGCGACGTGTGCGCGAGCGTCATCTCACCGAAATGTAACTCGGGCGTATTGTCCTTGCCGGGCTTTCGTTTGTAGTAGTTTTTGATCTTGGTTGCCATGCCGATCTGCATCACCAGAGGGGGATGCTCCTCGCTGTACTCGGTCAACACGAGGTCGCCGTCTTTGCCGGAGAGATCCTCAGGCGTACGCATGAAGAACATCTCTCCGCCACCGCTGGCCTGCCGCTCGGCGTCTCGCTCCTTCTGCTTTCGTTTGATGTTTTTCAATAACGAGATGACACCATGCGGTCCGGGAGTCGCCAACGGTCCGTGCGAAAATCGTTTCAGCGATGGTCGATGGATACTCCGGAGCTTCAGAGGACCCATATGAGTCGGGAAGAAGGGCTGTCGCAACTCGATCGCTGGTATCGAATGCTGGATGAGATTCCCACCGACGTTGGGCTTGAGGGCTGAGTCTTGGGCTTGGCGCGGGTTGTAGTATTCATCATTGGAAATGTTGTATGGATCCTGAAAGAATATTTAAACTTCAATGCACTCAACAGTTCCGAAATGGCAATATGTTTCGGTTTCGAATGAATCTCGCCCTATACACAAGTTTCGCTCGAACTCTACTCACTTTCTGGTCCTGTTCTTTGGCAGGCTGCGGGCTCTGTGGTTCGGGCTCTGCGATCACACCCGCTTTGCCCAGAAGGATCCTGGATTTTCTGAGAGGGTCTTTGTTGGGGTTCTTCTTCTCTTTGGTTTGCGTCTGGGGTTCGCGCATTTTCGCAGGATCGGGATCGTCGGGGACGCCTAGGATGATGTTCTCATCGTTTGGGTCCAGCGTAAGCATCTGGGGCGCCGGCACTTTCGTCATAGCCTGAGCGTCCCAGATAATTTCCTCCTCCCAGGGGGAGTAGACCAACTCCTCGTTTTCGACCGGGAAAATCGAATACCACGTCGTGTCTTCCGCAGACTTGACTCCCTTCGCTGCCGCAGCTTTCTGCAAGGCGGACTGCGCTATCTGGTGGGACTTCTGATTTGCGGCGGAGAACTGTCCATTCTTCTCAGGCTGGAGCGGTGTCAAAGTGGGCATGGGTGAGGGTTTGTGTTGTGAAAATGTCCTATTCTGAATCGAGGGTACCCATCCCGCTGCGTGGGCGCCCGTCTTCACCCCCGGCATATTCATCTTGTGCTTGAACTGAGGAAAGAGAAGCAGACGAGATTAACTTAAAGGAAAAAGTCCTGAAAGCGATAGAGCCATGAGCACAGGCCGAGCTCAGATGTAGGATATCGCATCGGAAAAACTCGGACCTCCTCAGCGTTCCAGATGATGTCGTCTTCCCAATGCAATTGAGTCACCATCAGGAAGGCATCTTCTGGCACGTCGTCCTCCCGTCTAGGAATTTCGTATTGCTTCAGATGAGGGTACTTCTCGACGTCTTGCCTCTCGTCCTCCGTGATCAGCTTGAAGCCGTAGTCCAGCGAGTCCCCATTCTCGTTGATAGCGAACATGTCGTACCTGTTAATGAATTTCCTTCATTTTCTGACAAAGGTGCGTTCGCATATAAAATCCGCATTCCTAGGGAAATTTTTTGTTACTCAAAAGAGACTTCCTCACCAGAGCTGTGCCGGCCCGAAACGGAAATCCGCTGCGACGGGCTGGCTCGAGTCCCCAGAAATTTTATCGTCGTCATCCTTACGATCCTTCTTGTCTTTCTCTTTGTCCTGGTTAGATTCCAAGGTCAGGGCTTCTGAAGTCTCCACCGCGTCCGGAGGAACATCCTCGAGGATGTCGAGATCAACATTACGTTTGTCCTGATCGATCGTAGCGTCTGCGAATTCGGGGAACGGAGTCTCGGATCTAATTCCAGCACCGTAATGAATTTTCGAACACCCCCAATAAATCTCGATATCCGCTGGAGACTCTTACGATCGTTCTTTGATGCGATATCTCACCTTCGTATTTGCGTTTCTTCTTCCGACGCTTCACTCCTCGCCATATCTGAGGAAGGCTGTTTGGTTTTCCAGGACCGAAAAGTTTCGAAAACCGCAAAACTTTCCCAGATTTGAAGTGAGGAAATAGTTGAGTAACGTCGACATTGCGATATTTTTCCGGCAGCATCAGAGCAAGCGGAGTGTGGATCTTCGAATCTTGCTGAGGACTTGACGAGCCGGGCTGAATTTCCTGAAGAGGCATTATGGGTTAGTTTCATGTCCACATTCCGTAACTCGGTCAAGAGGCACATCGCGAATTACTCTCTAGGGTGTCCAGTCCACAGGCGATTCATTGACGTTTGGGAATCACCGAGCGCACACTTCGCCCTACAGAACCACAAACATTCGATCGAGTGGAATGGAGTAGATGTCGTCAACCTTCCACCCTGTGAACTCGAATTCAATATTCTCTAAACTTGTTCCGTGGCGTAACACGTTTCCATGTTAACCTCCCGCAGGATGCTAGGTGTAGGATCACGCACCAAGTAATCATGCATAGACAAGAAGCCGGCATCCATGATTGCGGAGAGAACACATCGCACCGTTAAGACTCGAGGAGCCTACAGCTCAGAGGACGACGAAGTCACGACGCCTCGGTCCCTGGTCTGACTTTCATCAGAGTGCGAGGGACCCGCGCGGAGCGGCACATCTCTCCTGGAGCTCGTTCATCTAGCGAAACCTGAATTCCGAATTATCATGAATTGTACAGAGTCTTGGATCCGAGCGCACATCGATCCCCCTCACGCTGGCGAGGCTGCCGGTCATTTGAAACTAACGGTCGTTGTGACGGGCATCAGACTCATGATGCCCAAATCAGGGATGAATCTCGAGGAGTGATGTCTCCGAGAATGTCTGTTCCCATCAGGGAGCACCCGTAGATTCTCAACGTTACCTACTTGACTCAGTGAGCCAGGGTGAAGCTCGAGCGATCGTTGAGATCCTGCTAATTTCGACGGATAGCTGCACGTACAAGGAAAACGACCGTGTACTCCCGCGGAGCCAGGCGCATACTAGGGAATCGAAACTGGCTCGAAATACTCCATTTGAGAAGTATTTCGAATGCGATGCAAAACTTTCAGTAAGGGTGAGTTAACTTCGTCGCTGTGCGTCGCACGTGAGCTGCGCAGGATGCGAAAAGGAGGTGCGATTTTACGAGAATGAATTATTCCTAATCGGATCATCACTGCGGAGGATCTTGTCGGCGGAAAAACGGCATCGACGTACGAGAAGCTCAATACTCTATTATTTCTGTCGGAAGACAGGTGATCTCACAAACTCGTAGATCGATAGAACTACTGAGTTCCCATTATGAGGAGGACACCCTCCTTCCGGCGGAACCGGTTCGGACACGAATACAGAAGAATTTCTTGGAGGCGCGGGTCTTTGCTTGGTGGCTTCCCAGACTTCCCACCAGGTTACTTTAATTAGAAGAGCCTTTTCTCTTCCTCGAGCCTCGGGGCCGACCCCGGACTGGGAAAGCTATGAACAGCACATGAAGGGTATTGGCTCTCTCGGCTGGAGTTGTGCAGCACTTCGATACCTATTCATCGGTTTAGACGGGAAAACGAATTTTCGTGAGCCTTCACTTCAAACAACAAACAAATCAGGACGAATGGATGCGATAAGACGATCACGAGTCAATGAGTGGACACTCACCCGAACTTCCTGGGGCTTCGGTTCTAGATTGTCAAGCGGCGGCTTCATCTCGGCAGTGGATTGACCCTCCTGTTCTTCGGCGAGTTCCGTCTCGTCAGAGTAGTCAATCGCAGCCGCGTCTTTTTCTCCTGGAGTCAGTGAGGGAGAAATTAGATTTGAGCCGCAAGGAAGCGAACAGGAATCGACAGGAAGATCGACTAACCAATTTCGGGAAAATGCATCTTCCCGCTCAGTTTATCCCGCCAAACGACAATCTCACCTTGTTTGTAGTCGGTTTGTTGTTCGTCACTGCATTCTTCGGCGAGCTCACTGACGAGATTCCCCATGCCCAAATGACTGAGTTGATGGAGGCTCTTCCTCGTGGACTCATCGAAAATGTCATCTTCGAGGGCTCCCTCCGCATTGACATTACCGAAGAGCAGGTTGGTTAGGACTCCCGAGTTGTTCACTCCATCACCCTCGTCTTCGTCGGAGGACATATTAACTCAAGGTCCGGAGATCGAGCCGTTCGTAAAATTACCGAATCCGTGTGGAGACCTGGGATGCGTTCCCGATGTCGGTTTTGCACTGAAACTACACAGCCGAACGATCTTCGTTTTCGAACCCCGGCTCGGATACTACTCCGAGCTTCTGGCTCTTACGGACAAGAGTTCGCTGGAGTAATTGATTCCCCCTTGTCTGGGTCAAAGTCCGAGAGAAGTATCCGCTCTCGTTGCCGAGATCGCACTCATTCTTCGAACGTTCGGTAAGTTTGCGGGCTTTCGTCGAGAGGTCCGGTCTCCTGGCCACAATATCAACAAACCTCAGCTGTGTGGAGTGTGGAAGAGCGACCTCTCTCTCTGCCAGCAGCAGCCCGATCAGTCAGTGTCTGGGATTTGTTTTCGCGGGTATATTCGAAAACTCCCGAATCCTGGATGGAAGGTTATCCTCGAAGTTGATTCCGTTTGTAGGGGATGGATTTATCAGAGCCCCGCTGTTCGTGGAGATTCATTCAACGTTCGAACGAGATGCCGTCGTCGAGGCTAGCAGCAGGAGATCCCGTGGGAAAAATCCCCGGGGTGCCCGAGTCAGGGACTCAGGCGGTTTGTGGGCGTAGAACTACGTGAACACGGAACACGTACTTCCGTGAGTTCGAAGATCTGCGGAAGATTTTCGATACTACCCTCCGGTCGACGAGGGGTATCACGAGATTTCCTCTGGCCGTTGTTCAAAAGACGCTTTTTAGTTTGAGGGAGACGAGATCAAAGAACTCAACTGCGGGAACGGGATTCGGTCGGTAGCAACCTTCGAAGACTTCGGCTTTCCTAAACTCAGAAATGTTGACGAATGACATCAAAATCTACTTATTACTCAACCGACAAACTTCAATCGGATATACGGTCCGATATCTGCACCGAGTGCGGCGTCGTTTTCCGCTTGGCAACCCGCAATCCGGACGGCAACCGGTACGTGACCGCGTGCCACACGTCCTCGTGGAGGATATTAGGATTGAAAAACATCGAGACTATGCGTATGAAAGGTACATTAGATTCCATGACCATGTCCGCCCAGGAGAAACGCTGCTACATGATCTGCTCTCTCGATGAGATCTCATATTGCCGATCTCAAGGAACAATCATTGCATGTCCGATGGAGGATTTTTCGAGTATCGCGAGGCCGCGCATCCGCATCTAGACGATGATGGGGATGAATTAGTTGAAGACTAATAAAATGAGGTTCTTAATGGAATGTCGAAACCTTGGAATGATCATGATTCGGCATTGTAAGGATGGCTTCCCTTATCCTCCTTTTCGAGACCATCACTGGGCGGCGGCACTCAAAAAAGAGCTCTTCATTCTGGAATGATTTGTCCCAAGGCGATAGACACACGTTCATTCATTAACAATGCTGCGACAGGACGACAGCACCGTCTAAAAAGTTTATCGTTGGGTGAACCACTCCCTCCCAATCGTCCGCTAAGCCGTACGGCCCGCCGTGGCTAGATTCTCTTAGCACCACGTTGCGTCCTGCCTGATAGGTGATTTCCTGAGGACCACTTCGGTAGAAATGAACTACGACTTCTCGCCCTTGTTTGTTACGGGAATCTGCTTCGTATCGCTTGTCTGAACACTGTTCGTTTTCTTATGTCGGGATTATGGCTGACGATGTATTAGGGGCAACTCGTTCTTTTTTCTTCACGGAGTCCGGCATCCTTAGCTTGCTAGTCAGAAGGTTCTCCGCCGGTGTCCTTCCACGACCATTGACATCGACCAATGAGGGAAGGAAACGCATGAATGTAGTAGCCAAGGCTAGAATGAACGACGAGAGTCCATTCTCATTAGAGGAGATATGAAATGAAGAACGCGCGCACATCGTTTTCCGCTGTCATTATACAACCTCAACCGGAGGTGTTAGTTGTCTTCAGCATCGTCGCAGGGTGGAGGAAGGATTGAGGAAAGTTTCAACTATTAATTCAGCAAAAACTGAGGCGATCCTGAAGAAATAGATCCATCTCTAGCGGAGGAGAGATTCTCCGCCAAATATATATTAAAATCAGAAAGAGGGAATTTCTGGGTCCATCAATCGACATAGCGTTTCCAGAACAGTTGATTAGGACTAATCAAGGTATGCTGAGGGTTTCTTGCCCTCAGATTTTTCAGCCTCCGAGTCTTCGTTCCGACGTTCTGCGAGAACGAGCCTACTTCTTGGCCTGTATTTTATGAAATGATCAAGATAAGGGGGAAATTGACTAGCATAAAAGGTGCCTCATTCTCAGCCGGACATATTCAGCCATCACCATTTTCATTGTCAAACGCTCTGTTTCAGAGAAATAAGCTCGACAAGTTTGTTACACAGGTGACTCGCATAGAGAAAGTGCGTAAGCCTCTGAGAGACGACCCCAGCACATACGCATGCTATCTCCGAGATTCGAATTTTTTCGAGCTTCGGCCCCCCAATACTTCCCATTGAAGTTGGTACCCGTCACCGGGGGCTATAGCGTAGTTCTACGCTAAAAATCAAGGCACAGTCACGCCGTATACCGCTCCCCGGACTGGCGAGATGGATTACCTTCTTGAACTCAGGCATGACCATGGTCTCAGTCGAGGGATCGAATATTTACATGTTCTTCATTTAAAATGATCTAGACCAGTCTCATCATCAGATTGCCCGTGACCATTCTGAGAAGATGATGATTGTGAGCAACGATAACCGCGCTATTCCGTTTCGAGCACACCCGGCGAACATCTCTCCGATGTCGATTTTGTTCCCGGCGGCCCGTTTTCACTCCGAAAAAAATCATGGACTGATGCTTACTCTCAATGTCCGGCTCCAACGTATACGCAGCTATCAGGCGTAGCTAACCCGGGGGAACGAAATCCTGAACCGCGAGAAGGGTGTTGGAAGTTGGAACAAAGAATTTCCGGAAGGGATTTATTGCAAGAGAAAAACTGTTGATCATAACATCTGTGGTACGAAGTGCGTTCATTTGATGACGCATAGGCTGGGTTACGAAAATACGCGTTTTCGGATCCCGCGGGGAGGACTGCTCTCCCTCATCTGATGTTATTGTACCGAGCACGGGCTTTCCGCCAGCGCTCGCCTTTTTCATCGGTGCGGTTCGCATCTTCTGTGCCCAGACCTGCGCGCTCGTTCCTCATCTGAAAGACGAAGAGCTCTTGATCCAATATCTGAGCAGGAGCTTCCTCTGGCTAGAAGGGCGGGAGGCTGAGATAGAGCTCGCGATTCCCAGGTCTCACCTGAACAGCGACCGGCTCTGTTTCTCCTTGCTTGCTCTTCCCTAAACCTTCCCCCTCCTTCCAGCCCATTCCTTGTAGCATCTTGAAGCCACGATTTGTCTGCTCCACGGGTCTGGAAATCCGAGCAAGATTTAGTGAGCAAAATAATGTGCGCTCTCGACTCAGTACAGCCGGAAGAGGGGAAAATAATGGTATGGCATCGGGACGAGAAAAATTGCCAGCTGACTCAAGACGATCAGGTTACACATCTGTTCACGCGTACCTATGCAAATTGACTCTATGGGACTCGCCAACGCCTCACCACATGGCTAGTCAGACGAACGACCAATTCGGAAAGGATACTTTCGAAAATTGCGGATCACCCTCGGAGGAAGTTGGAAAAGAGCCGATAATTGGCAGATTTTCCTGGCTGGCACGCGGAGTCTGTGAAGGGTTGTCGGGTGGCCCCTAGTCGAAGTTTCTCAACGAAAAGTATCATTAGGCCACTTTTTAAACGAAAAGCGGACTTTTGTCCGGCGGACTTCCTAGTGGAAAACGGAGTGAGAAACGGACATGGCCGAAATCGAGCTTCCCTTAGTATAGCAGGCTATCCCAAGCTTCCCAAGTTGGACTGGGACAAGCTCTGTCATCGATCGGCTTTTCGTACACCGAGGAGGAGCGTTCTACTCCGGCGCTTCATAGATAGGTACCACCAGAAGCTCGTGACGAGGAACACGGAAGGACCGACGGAGCTCGTCCGCAGTCGCGAATTCTCGCTACAATGAATGTTTCTCAGCATGATTCCTATGGAGAGGAGACAGAAGGAAGAGATGCATATATCATGCTCGCTGTCTTAGAAATCCATTGTAATGGGTGTCATTGTGAAAAGCTTCTCCTGTATTCGGGAACCATCGGTTCATATCAAGGTACCGCCTCACGCATCGAAAGTCGTGATCGCTCAATCTGTCAACCGGAGAGCTGGATTCCTCGATGTGGAAAAGACGTGGAAATCCATAATAGACCAGCACGAAAGCGGACATTCTGCGGTTGCGAGCGGAAAGCGTACAAAAGGACATGTCCTCATATATCGGAGGTCTCATTGGAAGGATGGAAGGACTTATGTATGTTGCAGTCGTCGCCATGATGGAACTCCCTTAGATAGACCGAAAGCAAAACCCGCGCCGGGTCAGATGAGTACCGATTGCGGAAGGGAAGGGTAGCAGAACAATGCTTCATCCTCGAGGAGCTCATTCCGCGTTGCGCTCGAGGAACGATCGCTGACAAGTAGCAACGGGCGTTGCAGTAAATCAGACTCTACATAGTCGAAAGAGGAGTCGTAGGTTCCCCCCAACGGAGCAAATGATCCTGGTCATATCGAGGCCGAATCAAATAAGTCCGCTCGAAAGCCAGAGCGCACCTACGACGGACTGGAAAAGGCTCAGAAGTCCCAATGCGAACGATACTCTCGGCAGAACATCCTTCGACGAAGACCGATCCATGGTTTCCGCAGCTCTCCCTGATTAAAGGCTTTTTCATTATAGGGATGCCTTCCAGTCTCCAATCCCCAGGAGCAGTTCCGTCATGTTTCCCAAGGTGGCGACTAGCGCTGATCCCGTCAATACGGGATGGATTAGAAAGGCTGAATCACAGGTCTCGAGATCGTTTCTGCTGCGGTAGAGCGCGTTCATTCGCGATGCCAGCGGAGTTTCCCTCAACTGCTTGAAGTTGATTTGCATTGGTCCATAATGAATAATGAATTGATGCAGGAAACTCTCAAGGCTTCCGATGTGGGTTCTCATAGCCCCGAATCGCCTCGTTGACAACCAGCAGGATTGATGGGCATCAAACGGACAGCTGGATGCAGCGGATCGATACTCGACTCTACGCCGAGGGCTCCCGCGCCCGATCTCAGAACGAATCCCAAAAACTCTAGGGGGAATTCGGTCACTTCCCGCTCCCCTTTCCGATGACCGTGACTGAGGGAGAGGCGATCGAATGGCCTATGCGGTCGAGAATCTGTTTGTGCAGATCCGCAGACTCGACACAGCTGTTCGCATAGCCAAGTTGTGCTAGGGATCAGACTGAGAGTGAAATGACACGCTAGGACATTTTGATAATAATAAACTACTTCTGTATTTGTTCGTTTCATACTTTGAAAATACAATTCACCTAGACTCCTAAGTCTCTGAACTCAAGAGAGAATCAGATCTGTAAAAACAGCAACGCTCACAAGGAGCCCGACTTATCACCTATATATAAGCTAACACTTCGCTTGACTTAACAATCCCTCGAAGACATCTCAGACTTTAACGCCTAGGAACTTTCTCGTCCTTAGATTGTTCAGGTCAACAGCTCTGTAACAATAATCGCGGGCTCTTCGGGAGCTTCGAGACGAGCGACTCGAGATCACCCGCTGCCAGAAATCGACTTCTGAGTATACGTGTACTTCTTGGAGGAGCTCGGCGCAGCGACGATGTAGAAGAGTACTGGCTCGTCTAGATCCGGCATACGGTATAAAGAGCAATTCAATCCCGAGAATTTGTATCATCGTTAAAGTTCGTTTGCGATTTCCGCCGCGATCATCGGAACCTCGCGGCGAATCCATTGGACAAGCCTTGAACGGTTGAGGAGTTTAGCCGTCGATGCTCTTGTCTCGCATTCGTGAGTCGAGATAAGAATGTGTCCAGGCCACACTTGCGCCACCCTTCATCTAACGTCGCTCCCTTTCTTCCGCTCTCGTAGCCCCCGTGTCGCAACAGTGTAGAATTAAGGAAATACATAGCATCGCAAGTCTATTGCCAGCCTCACCAATATCAGCTTTCACTCAACGACAGCACGACAACTTTGAACTATGATCGTTGTTGCTTAGGCTTCATCGACTTGCAATTATTGACTAGAATCAATAGTTCGCCCTGGAACCCATATCTAGAGTATCTTCTTGAAGACGCCGTCGCGAATGCTGTGGATCATCGCAAGCAGATATTGCTCGTATAGCCGTTCCGAAAAGAATGGAGGGAAAGGAAGAACTCCTTCCATGAAGCCGATGTGTCCACCTCGGGCCGTGACGAGGAAAGCGAGGTTTTCGTTTTCCTCTGGAATCTGCAATGGCAGTGCGTTGTGCGGTTGGAACATGTCGTCCGCGGCACAGAAACACAGCGTAGGCACTTTGATATTGTGGATTTTGTTTATGAGCTTCGCTTCGTCGTAATAGTGGTCCACGGATTGGAATCCAAACATCTTCGACGTGAACCTCTCGTCAAACTCTTTTATTGTTGTGGATTTCTTCACTTCCTCGAGATCACATTTCTCTTGAAACTCTTTGAACTTATCCTTGTGGGGCTCCACAGTCAACCAGAGCGTGTGAGCGAGGTGTCGGTTCAGGAGTCTGTTCAAACCCGGCAACTCCATCGAGTAGACAGCTTCGCTGATGTTGAAAACCGATGAAACCAGAATAGCGGCGTCGCACAGCGCGTTTTCGCGCGAACGGCACAGGTACTGTCCGAGAATCACACCCCCGAGCGAAATTCCACACGCAACAATCATCGAATTAGGATATCGGTTCTTGATGTGAGTCAGAGCGAGATCCATGTCGTCATGACTGACAGCGCAGTATGTTCTGGGAGTCTTCAAATCGACACCTCCTCGGCCGCGGTTATTCAGCACCGCAACTCGACAGCCATGTTTGGCCGCCGAGGGTATAATTGACTTGATGTATTCCGTCTGAGAATGACCGGTCAGACCGGCCATGAAAAAAGCGATTGGCGCGTCTTGAGGCAAGTCCGACGGGAGCCAGTCTAGTGCCAGCACGCCGCCGTCCGGTGTTTCCAACAAGTCTCTCTGGTACTTGATGTTGGGTAGAAGGCCCCGGATGAAATTCGAAAGCGCTGTCTGACTGTGCGTTCCGAAGCACCACGGCGTCGGATAGAACTTCTCGTTCAGTATTGGAACCATCGTTTCAAGGACTTGCCGGAACTTCCCCGGCTTACAGTAGAATTCCGGTTTCTTGGCGACCGAAGTGAGGTAGTAATATAGGAAGGCGATTCCCATGCTCATGATGAAGGCGATTCGGGGATTGGATTGGTAGAAAAACGTTGTAGACTCGAGTATCCATCCCGAGAGCGTGTTGGTCGTATAATCGTCGGCCATGGCTCACCGCCGTCACCGAGAGATGCGGTCACTCACACCAGACGAGTCCTGTGATTCTGCCGGTGCAGATCACGCTTCGCGTCACGTCGTCCACCCTCGAAGCAGGCAGATCGTGGTGACAGAACGGTCTCCGTAACCTCGGAGGGTACACGCGCAGTTGGCTCCTTGGAGACGGCGTGCACAGGACGACACGGTGTAGAGAACAACTTCCGAGGGCTTGTCCGCCACTCGAGCAACTCTGCTGCTAGCAGCGAGGCAACACCAGAACCACCGCGTACAGCCGATTGGCGAAAGTAAGGGTAAAACGGAAAGGGTAGTAAGACGACACACTTCGCGACTGTGCGGGACCAAGCGCCGTCGCTAGGAGAACTCCACAGATCCCATGAGGGTGCGCGAGCAGTGCCGAGACTCTCGACCCGGGTAGCGTCTCGTCACAGCTTTGCCTCCATGAGTCAAGGGCAGTCGTACGAAAAACATCGACTGATCATGCTGAATCAGAATCGGAGACGACGGCAACTCCACCTTTTGGGCCGGGAGGTGAGGACAGCATTCAGGACCACACTGAGAATTCGTTCGTGTCGAATATCGCATCGGCAAGATTCGACTCGCTGCGATGCTCATCATCTCGTCTCCGAGTGACATATCCCCGATCGCGATAAAACTGAAAAGCTGTCATTCAATCCACCGGATGTAGATGATGCTTGAGAGAAAACATGACCATTCAAGAGGACCGTCCTTGACTCGAACAGTTCCCGACTGCCGGTATCTTGAGAATGATACCCGAATTTCCTTCGACGGAATCTTCCTCGACGCAGGTTCAGTCTCTCGAGAAAATGCTTAATAGGAGCATATCATGGATGGAACTCCCATGTCCCTCAGAGGTCATGGCTTTCGAGGAGAAGCTCCTCCTTTATCCCATGGATCGAGCCACATGCTGAGGCTCATATTAAGATCTTCTAAGATGCGTACACCTCGCGGCATTCCCTCTAATTCCTGGAAATTTTCAGGGGACTTCTCGAAGCCCAAGCTCGGAGCGCCAAGACACGCATTCAACCGTTCGCGTCGAGTGAAGACGACGTGACCACCTATCGTGTCGTGTGCCACACTTTGCGACCCTCAAACTCTTTAGCGAGTGTGGTCGGCTTCGACAGGAAATGTCCGAAATATTCGGGTGCTCCGTATCACGGAGAATCGATGATCACTGGACATTTGCCGGACCATGGGACACCTTGATAGGAATCAGGAGAGAAACTCCGGTCATTGGAGCCGCCTCTTTCTGAACATACAGGATGGGTCCTTCACTGTCCTTCACGCCTTGCAGCTTCGGGAACGGTGATCGGAGAACTCACAGTCTGACCGTTGTGTGTGAACATCGAATTATTCGATGACGTCGCCAAAGGGTACAGTGAGTGGGCGGTCAACACCGGCGGCGTGAGTCTGTGCTTGCCGAGCTCGGGATACCCGCCCCATCTCCGAAATTTGGACTGAGAGCTCACCCCGCTCAATTCTGAGAATGGATTCACTCACATGTTCACGTCAGAAGGTGCTGCATCTCTCTCATGCGGAAAGTCCGATCCCACTTTGGTTCGACGTTCGCCTGCTCGATCCGCGTACTGTTGCGAGTCTAAACGAGGCTCGGCGTATGCATCGTCAACGAGTCCATACTGCTTTTTCAAATCTTTGAGATTTTTCCGGCGTTGGGCCTCGCTATTCACAGATTTTGCCGCGGGATTCGAGATGGGAGCATCTACGGGTTTTGGAAAAGTTTAGCGTCTCGATCAAGGCAAGAATATTGGTATCGACATCTCGAGCAGCTCAGAAACTCGGGAGATCGACTTACCTTCTTCAGCTCTTCTCTGCAGAAGACCCGGCTCACAGTTACCGCAGGTTTCGCCGTTATCGTGGACGTGAGCTTCCAGCAAGGTGGCTTCCCCGAACTCGAAACGATCCATATGCACCAGATCATGAATGTCTCCCTGGGGGGGAAACTCCTTCGATCAGCCGGCCGCGGGTCCAGCGATATGAACCCCTCTCTCCAGATGCTTTCCAATATCACCCCGACTAGTTTTACTTGCCTTCTTGATCGCTTTCCCATTCACTCGTGTACCGTTGTTGCCATCCAGCTGCTCCAGCTTGTATTGTTGAGAATCGGCTTCGAAATAAATGTTACAATGTCGTTTACCGATTCCTTGGTCAGGAACGCAGAGATCACTTTTGAGCGGAGCGCCCAGAATCCCCCCGGGGAATGGGATGATTTGTACAGAGTTGATTTGAAGTTTCTGAGACTTTTTTACAACGAAGCGTATGCATGGAGGGTACGAGGTGGTAATTTCTGTGAAATATGGGCAGATCATCAGTTATCCACATACGCCCCTCAGATATGTGAATCTGTGAGCCCTTTGTGTCTCCAAGAATCAAGGGCTTGCGCACGAAATGCTACGTAGACGGGGACCTCGAACTTACTGGGCCCTTCGTCTTCACTGAGGATAGCCATCTCTATGGATTCGTCTTCTGATAGGAGTTCGCCCTCATCGAGACTATGAGATCGTCTCCTCTTTCTAGAGCTACTCCTGCGTCTGTCTTCCCTAGAAAGGCTTCGGTCACGATCTTTACGGCTTCTGGAGCTGCTGCGTTTTTGTCTCGAGCGACTCCTCCTCCTGCGACGTTCCTAAAGAGCAACAACAAGGCCATGTGAATCATTGTCGCTTCGAGAAACTTGCTTCCCTCCCGCTGACGAAGAATCTCGCATAGATGATCAAGAGCCTCAGCCGGGTGCGATGTCTTCACAACGCTAGAATGACGAACTTTCACTCAGAACCGGAGCTAGATTTCAAGACGTAAAATATTAATTTTCCATCGACACGGCCATATATCGGTATACATCGGCAAGTGTCGGTATATTAGCTCATAAGACTACATTTCATGATAATTCGTATGTATCTCGGGGTTTTTGCAAGCTGTGAGATCTCTCGGTGAGCCATGAGACGATAGGCTCTTTCTCCTCGTCCAGAAGTCCTATCGATAGCTGCTCACCCTGTCCCTGCTCCTCGATCGACTCCTCGATCGTCGTCTTCGTCGATCTCGCGAACGACTCCTTCGCCGACGGTCTTTGTCTTTCGAAAGCGTAGGTGGGTCCACCACAGTGTAACTCTGCGTATCTTCCTCGTATTTGAAGTAGGTCCCAGTTGTGGGTTGGAAGAATAACTTGGTTTTCTGGAAGAAGACATTGTGGTTTGCTCGGACTTCGAGGTGCATCCGAGCGAAGCCTGGCAGGCATTCGCGACTCGACAGATCAGAGGCGAATAGTTTTCCTTACTGGGTCCCAGTAGTAGCCGGTGGATTGCGAGAAATACATGTGGTATTGCTCGTTGTATACATAATCATTGTTCGCTCCTCCGGGACACACGTCTTGCGCGGCTTGCGTCAGCATATCGCCCACGGTCATCTGTCGGGGAGGAATCGCTAAGAACGCTTGGAATAAATCATCTGATCCAGGATTGTGATCTGGGATCGTGATCGAGGCAGCGAAATGTAGGGAAAACCTGCCTGGGATCCCTGTGGAGGCAAGAAATCCGTCGATTGCTGGGCCTCAGTCTGCGTTCCGGCATCTGACGCTCCTCGTTTCCCATTTCGACCATTCGAATGCATCTCTCCATCCTCGTCGTCTTCTGCGTGACATTGACAGCCACACGAGCCTCCGATGAGAGAGTGCTCCAGGCGGAAGCCGCCCGCTCGTTTCAGGTCCGAGAGTATTGTCTTTATCTCCTGTGAATCAGTTCTGGCGTTTGCATGGATTTTCTTCAGAAGCAGAACACGAACACGGTAGCGAAAGATCCGACTGCATTTGCAATGCTCCGACTATTGAAAATCACCTTCGTGTATTGTTTCATCCGGTTTTCGTAGACTAGAGCCATCCCGCACATGCTCTTGAGCAATTCGCTGTTTTTCGAAAATGTCTGAATGAATGTGTCACCCGCAATTTTGCTCTCTAGGTGCGACAATTTCGAGATGTACTCCTCCTGAACTTGACCCGTGCTGTCTGGCATTTTCCCTGAAATATTGAAGGGCCGGGTGGAGATCCATCGCGTCTCTTCAAGTCATTGTGATGAGGGAATTCAATCATCAAGGCAGCCTCGGCAAGGACTCTTGCATCGCGGAGTTTCCCCATAATGGTTCTGTAGAGACAGCATCGAACGGAATTGGACTCCAACGATTAGCCTCGAACTTTTTCCGTATATTACCTGTCAGAGTGAGATGAATATCTCCTTCCTCGGATCAAACTTTGTTTTTTCTCATTCAGCCAGTGCCGTCCTGCCGAGAGTTCCGCTTGGTTGAAGAGAATCCGTGACGCAATTCGATCACCTGATCACTGAGGAACGTTGTCGCCTCGATTCATCCCTCGAAGTAGAAGTCTCCGAGTTTTTCTTCAAGCAATAACATCGGCGGTCTTCAACAACAGAACACACGCACCTGGGATCGATCCGACGGGAGGAGAAGAGCGGACTTCTCTCAGCGGCAACGAGGTATTGGATAAGATACCGTTCGAAGAACGGGTTTGCTACTCAGAGAAAGCTCTGTCCCACGAAACGGAGGGAAAGAAGTTTTCAAATCGAGATCGGTGTAAATCGGTAGGTGGAGACAAGCACGTTGATGATCTTTGCCTGGCGCGGTTCAGAACGCTCAGCCGATGCGCTGGGATGCCAACTGATTCGGATCGCAAGCAACGACGTCCGAAAAATCTTTTCCGTTGGGGACCAAGAGAATGACGAGGCCCAATAATCCTCCCCTGGGTCGGGGTCGGCGCAAGTTCCAACATTTCATCCGTTGGCTCTGTGACCAAGAACTCCGTCGAGGCTTCGATCGAGAGAGCAAACGACTACTCGGACGAATAAGGAAAGTAGGACAATTTTCATGGAGTCTCTGCGTGGAAGCATCGTTTGACGCCACTCTGTGCGGCCTCCATCGTTCTCCGCGTTTTCCTCGGGAACTTGATTCACCAATGCGTCAGAAATCATAGCGTGTTTGCGAGCTGAAAGCTAGGGACAAGGAGACGAACTTTTTGGTTTCTGAACTGATAGTTATTGCATTGTAGGTTTGCTGCATGGAGGTACCTTTCACTCCTCCAGGACCGTTCCAGAATACCTAGAGACTATACCGAGATACTAACGCTTCGCTCAGACCCATCGATTTATCACAAGTCGTAAGCCTTGTCCTCACTATGGAACCTTGGATGGGGCTCGCTGTGTCACTGTGGGTGCGATTCCCAGTCATTCCCCCGCGGAGATGTCCAGTATCTATAGTCTGGTATCAGGCTGGTTCGAACCCCCATATAATCTAAGATCGCGCCAATTTCTTCCCGATGGCGGAGATCGATCACCATAGGTTAGGGACTGAAATCTCCTTCCACAAGGCCATGATTGTATGTATGGGTATTTCATAGAGGCTCCGCGAGAGGAATGGCGGATCCAGAGTTTCCTGAGAGGGGAAGGGGGTTGGGGATAGATGTCTTTTTGATGGTTGTACGGGCGATGCATTACATGGTAGAAGAACACGACGAGCGGTGCAGAGCAATCGTGTCCTGAAATGGTTTTGCTGATGGATGTCAGGAAATTGAATAGATACGATCGCAAATTGAAGGAAGGGCATCGCTTTCTGCAAATTCATAATCGAGGCATTTATTCAGGCCATATACAGGATTTTAATTCAACAGCCAATCGCTGCTTACCTAGAAGATCACAGAATTCACCACACGGCCAATGCAAGTTTACTGATCAGAGGGAACCATCCCAAGAACGTCTTGAGGGTTCACCATTCGATGTTCATCTCTTATCGGGTTCGAAATCAATAAAGATCCCTGTTGAGAGAGGCTACTCAAACTTCCGAGTTTACCAATTGAAATCGGGTTCTTCGTGGGCGAGGCACGAACATGAGCCGTTATCGGTTTGACGGCTTTCAGTTGCGTTAGTTCTTTGGTGAGAACGCTCGTAGCTGTCGTGGCGGCCGCATGAGTCACAGTCTGACACGGTTCTAGAACCGGACTCGTTTTCACACCATGTGTCGACTGACGACTGGGTTTCAGCACGCGAGGTCTGCCCGGTCCTCTTTTATTCGTCGAGTTGTGGAAGAAATAGGAGAAACTGTCTTCGTCGATACTGCGTTCCCGTTTCCGGTTTTTCCGAGGTGCAGAGACCGGCGTCCCGTCGGTTCGCGCAGAAGCCACGGCGGCTTGACTGCTGTTCACCGGTTCGGTTTTCCGTTCGTGAGCACCTCTCGGCGGTATGGGCGACATTGGGGTACAATTGATGTTGACGAGAACTTGGGAGAGGAAAGTGTAAAGCTCTTCGACGATGCAACGGTCGACCATTGCTTGCGTCAATCCCCACATCCTGCGGTGTTTGTTGCTCATGTGGAGATTTGCATCAGCTCCGCCGACCACAACTACTCCGGTCTCGCATTTCATGTACCCCCGGAAATCCTCGAGGTCGTCCAGAGAGCATGACCTATCGAACTGTCCAACGCAGAAGAGGACCGGCGTCCTTGAATCCAGGATTGGGTCGTCAAGCTGCTTGGGACCGAGCAAACCTGCCATTGGGGAACCCATACACACGACGCCAGACACTGACTCGATCAGCGACGTATGGATTGCAACAAGCGCCCCGCTATTCCATCCAATCAGAACGATCGGTCTTCCAGGCAGTTGCAGCTTGACCTCGCAGACTTTGTTCTTCACCACGCCGATCGTGACTTCGAGCTGCTTCGCTACGGTCAGATGGGGTTCGTTTACGATCGGGATGGGTATCGCGATCAATTTTCCGAGATGGGCTAGATGATTATACCAGAACTTTATTCGAGGGAAATTAGGGTTTTGGGTGAGACCGCTCGGCACCACGATGAACACCGGTGGACCGGGCAATTTCTTCGGCCGATTCACACAAAGTAGAGGAGCTATCGGATCCCAGGGTCTTTTGAGAAGAGCCAGCAGCGAATCCACGGCTATCGACTGTTTGAATGTGCCGCCGGAGCAACGGGTGAAAAGCTTCGAGATCAGCGTGGGGATTTTCGAGTTCAGCGTCTGCAGAATCTCGACGTATATCGCACAATAGCTCACGGGTAGATTTTCGATTATCGTCGAGTGCAGCCACTGCAAAAGAACCTGATCCCACATGGTATCGGCGAAGAGTTGCCTCACTCGCCGAGCGGCTTTATCGAGGGACGTCCTCCGTGATATGAATCCAGATGTCTGTCCTGATTGGCTCTCGAAGCAATATCTCGCGATTTTCTCCTGATCGAGAATTTCATACATTCGATCGAACGCGGAACTTTGAGCTCGCGTCCAATTTTCCCTCGAGACTCGATCTTCATCCCAAATTTCGTCCGGGATGCACTTCTGTTGCGTCCGAACGTGTCGTTCGACTTCGTCGATCATATTCTTACATTTGGACTGATCGTAGAAAACTGGCTGGGGCTTGTTGCTGACGGACTCCACATCGACGAGGACCATCGAGTTCTTCCGGTTCCGAGATTCATGGAACTGCTCCTTCGTGACAAATAGAAGGACTGCGGGACGCGCGTGCACGGAGACGGGATGCGAGTTCCACGATCGAGCGTACGCATGATCCAAGGCGACTATGTCCGCCTCCTGGTATTGCTGAGCGGAAGACTCCTCTCCGAGTAGGGACCACAGGAAATTTTTCGACATTCTCGAGCGATCTGTAAGAGAATTTCCCCTGTTACTCGTGAGACTATGAGCAGAGCTCCGGAGGAGGGGGAACTACGTTTTCCTATGAGCCATAAATATTGAATGTCTCCGCAGCAGCATGTTAGCTTAGCCGCACGCTTCATGCATTCGCGGCTCTTCGCACGACGCACGACCACTCATCGGCGACGCAGCTCGGCACGATCGCTGATCGACTATTCGTGCGGTATAGAAACGCAGGCTCTCCAACCCTTTAAATAAAATAGGTACATTCCGCCCAGGGACGTGCCGGCGGGAACGTTGTACTATGTTCCTAGCCCCCTTGACAACCCCAGAGAGAGCTTCGCCCAGACTTGTCTCCCGCTGGCCGCTGGCAAGCCCTGTTCGAACGCTTGGCCCAGACGACACGTCTTCCAGACTGTGAACAAATCGAAAACACAGACAAATTCTCGATCTCCCCACCCGGATACCATCATCAAGGGGAAGCACGAGCTAGTGTCGGAGCAGAAACAAAATGAGTCGTTGATCCTAATCATATGCGAAGCCCTCATGAATGTCAGCAACGATGGCTTAAGGCGCAATACTTCGGAAATGATCCTCTCTATCAAGATCAGATTCGGATCGGAGAACACCCGAGGGCACGCTCGGAGAACGACGCGTCACTCCTGTCCGTGTCCCAATCTCGTTTCGAGACTCAATACCACCGCCTGTGAAGCTAGGTGTTCACATACCCAGAGTCACGTTGTCACTGATCTTCGCAGATGCCGCGCGAGCTCAAGCGCTTCGATGGAAATGGTATCTTCGGGATCGGATCTGCGTCGAAAGAAGTCTGGTCAGTCAGTCCTCCTGCAGGTCCGAAAGAACTTCATCGCCGATCACGGGAGCAGGATCCAGACTCGTCATTAGTCAGTAGCGAGAGACGTTTGGCCAAAGTCCGCCGAAACTCACCGGATCAGCCACCTTAATCGGTTTCAGGTATTCCTCGTTTCCATCGGGAGACGTCACAAGTCACAAGCAATCGCTTTCACATGAAATAACGGTGAACTCTGTTTCTGTTGATGAAAAACATGAATTTCGAAGTCACTGACTCTCGAGGGATGATTAGGGTGACGATCATGATCTTTGCGTCGAAACTCGCATGGGCCCGAGAAGAACGAGGAAGGAGACGCACACACAAACAATCGAGCAAGCGTCCATCTCATTGGCTCGCGGTTCAGCGGGTTGTTTACAAACACTCGATCGGCGAAACAACTGCAGCACCACCACGCGTCGGTCTGCTAAGAGCAAGCAGTGAGTTTTTCCGAGCTCCGAATTCTCTTCATTCGCAGTCGAATCCGCGACATATCTTGTAGGAGACTTATTCTTATCCTCGGGTCACGCTCTGTTTCTTGGGACGATCGCTCGACGGCGGTACGATCAGTGAAACCTCACGCCGAGGTAAGTCAAGCCATTCGATGCAGTGCGTCCGACGTACATTCGCGGGGAAAACTCGCTATTCATAGGGAGCAGTACGAGGCCCGAGCTGGGTCTCTCCTGGAAGCCAGCTCAGGCGTACCTAGTATCATGATTTAATGGGGTATTTTTTTTTCTAATATACCGTCGATCGTTCTGTGCCCGAGAGGGGAGCGAGCGATTTGTTCGCTCAACGGAGGCTTTTGACATCCGCATGAGGGCGATCTGATACCGCTTGGGATCCAAGTCCGGAGCTTCTTAGCATAATTCGAGGCTCCAAGATTGTCGCTACCCCATTCCGTGCTCGGTGCGATGGAATTCGAATTGTCGTCTTTCCGCCTGATGATGAACTGTAGACAGATTCGTCTGCAAAACGAAACTACCCATCTGTCACCATATTGCGCTCCTGTGTGAGTGTTGTTGCGAGTGTGCGGTGTGTTGCTCTCATGAGAGAACCTCTCACGGACGATACTCCCGATCGAGTGCCTCGCTTTCGGTCGGCTCGGAGCTTCGCTTTCCCGCACCGGTCTCGAGGAATCTCGGCGCAGAGCTCGAGACTGTGAGCGGCGGCGTAAACAAGCTCTTCCAAAAATGGATACGACTCCCTGAGGCGGAAGTGTATGCTGACGGCTTTCGACTCTTGTTGACGTTCGTCGGAGAAACATGACTTCGGTGAGGTTCAGCAAAGGAGGCGGCTCGTTTATTTCGTACATAAACTTCGAAGAGAAGAAAGCGCCGCTCCCCAGCCAGCAATTGCCGGAGGAAATGGCAGGCGGCAACGGACTCGAAGATTGCTGCAAGCCCCGCATATCGTCCAAGGAGGTGGTGCTCAACACAGTCACAAGAGTTTTGAAGTTTAGTACTTTCGGTGATTTGAATTCAGGAGTGCCCGGCGCGCTGTACTGCACCAATCTCAAGCTGAGTTTCGTTCCAATGAAAAATCTGGCCGAACTCTTGGACGTGGGCACCGACGAATCGTGGCCGCTGGGGGCGTTTGATGTTTGTTTGACAAACATCGAGTCCGTCGAACAGCTCAGTGGGGGGAAGCGGAAGAGACTCGGGCCGTCATCTGGTCTGGCATCACCTGTTGAAATGATACAGATATTCTGTAAGGACTTCAGAGTGTTCACGTTTTCGTTTCGTTTCTCGCCGTCGGAAGATGTCGTCAAAGCACTCGACTACCTCGGACGACATCCTTTCGTCAATTCTCCCGATCGATTATTCGGATTCGAAGAACCGCCTCAGCAGAACTCATCCACCAGCGTCCAGATCTCGAAAATCAAGGAGCATGATTTTCTATCGCCGTATGATACCGGCGCCGAGTGGGGAGCGGAACTGAAGAGGTGTGGTGCTAGTGAGTGTTTTCGAACGACCGACGTCAACAAAATATTCGCGTTCAGCGAAAGCCTGCCGCGGAGGTTTGTGATACCCGCGAAAGTGACGGATCATAAGCTGGATGTCGAGTCGAAACACTACAAAGATCACCGAGTGATGTCGTGGAGTTATACCAAAGGCCGGACACATCTTCTCCGAGGATCTTCGCCGGACGCTTCCAGCTCGAAGGATTCTCGTTACCTTACATTATTGGACTGTCAACGAACGGATTTCGAGGAGTTCGATATCGAACTTTCGTGTCCGGGAATTCGGGAAACCCATCAGAGTTTTGTGCGTCTCATGGCGATTTGCACTCCGAGCAACGTGCAGGAGTTCGACGATGTCGATGCCCATTTCCTCTCGAAGGTAGAAGAGACCCGGTGGCTAGCGAACGTGTCGCTGTGTCTGAAGGAGGCTGTCAAAGTTGCCAAGGTCTTGGCTGGCCAGACCAAGCAATACATCCTCGTTCGAGAGAAAACAGGCGTGGACATGTGTTCGGTCATATGTTCATTAGTTCAGGTCATCCTAGATCCGTTCTGCAGGACTTTACGCGGTCTAGAAAACCTCGTCTGCAAGGAATGGGTCTCGATGGGTCATCCCTTCGCCGAGCGTCTTGGCCACATACGCGGGATCAGTTGTAATAACGTTCAGCTAGAGCCGGCACCGATGTACCTTCTGTTCCTCGATTGTGTTTGGCAACTACTGCAACAATTCCCAGCGAGCTTTGAATTTTCCGAAACATATCTCTGTCGAATGTGGGACCATAGTCTCGTAGGGTTATACGACGCCTTCGTGTTCAGTAACAACAAAGAACGCAGTAAAGCCAAGCAAAACGGCTCGGTTTATCGAAAGCTGTTCGATTGGGCCGATTGGCTGAGTGCACAAGATCTAGAACTTTTGAAGAATCCTCTCTACCTGCTCGTGGACAGTCGGAACGAACCGCTCACGGACCTCGATTATACGATCAAGGGTCTAGATGTTTGGGCTCAGTGTTATTTCCGTTGGATTCCCAAATCAGAAATTGTGAATGGTGATCCGGCCATGTTGTTCACATTCTACGCTCGTGTGGCCAAAGACATCAGAGCGCTCCAGAGACAGCTGGAGACTCTGCGCTGCTCGGACTCGGAGCAAGTTACGCTTCGCCAGAAAGAACGCCTTCCCTCCGATGAGTTCCTCGCAAACTCCAAGCGGACATCTCGCCTATTGAAACCTGGTTCTGATCTGAAGATTAACGTGATAACGTCGTCGTTCCCGTTCGCTCCCCCTGGGCCGATAGACTGGGGCTCATTTCATGGAAGTTGTCACACATCACAGATTTCCGCCGTATTGGGAGACATCAGAGAAGATTCGACCGAGTGATCGGCATAGCCGTCAAAGTCATACAGCATGGAACGCCTGGAGCTGCTTGGAGCCTTGATGTCGGATTCGTGTTGTGTTGCTGCCGATGGTGGTGGAGCTGCGGCGGTGGCGGCGGCGATGAAGAACCAGGGCATTGTGAAGTGCAATTTGAATACGAATTCGCGAACTATTTAGCTGGTAGCGTGGGACGTTTGCGAACATGGGAGGATAATCTTAGTCATGTCTCCAGGAGACACCTGTGAATGGAGTTACCGGGTAGACTTCGGTAGGATCTAATATAGCTTTGGTTCGATGGTGCCGGTGATGTTTATACCTGTAGTTATCCAATTAGACCATGGAGTTTCCTATCAGCGGCGAGTGTACGATTCGCTCCTGATTCAACGATTATATTCCATTATCATTATTATTTTTCTTTTCATCCCTTGGTGGATCACTGACTCAGGTCCCGATCCTGAGTTATTTGTAGACGAATTGTCGTCTGGACTGCCGAGACTTCCGGAGGTATCATGGAATTTAGAGAACGTTGCATAATACCGCCGTTGATAGTAATGTAATCGATCACGCGAGGGAAACCAGCATGCTGGATGATTCCGTGTTGAGGGGTTCTGCTGCGAGATGATGAAGTCATGTTGCTGTTCTGACCGGGAATCGCCCTGTGTGACTTCGAGAGTCCGCAAGAAAGAGTTAAAATGATTAGGCTTCGCTTCAAACAATTCTGCTCGTAAATCATGCGCCGATCCTTTCGACGCGCGAACGACGATGACGGCGCGCCAGCGGCGGTGTAGGAATGTAGCTCGATTCATTGTATACAAAGTACGAAGAAACGGTGGACGATCCGATGTTTCGCAATAAACCTGGGCATTTTCCCCATGTGTATCGTATTGATTTGAGTTTATAGATCACTCGAGTCTCTGAAGGAGGGGAGCTCGACAAGGAACTCCTCCTCCCGGAGACACAGCCTTGAACGTCAGTCGCCGATACATCCTGGATCACCTGTTCGGCGAAACTCTGAACAAGGTGTTTCCCGATCGATCGTGTTGAGAATTCTCTCGCAACCGCATATTTTCAATCGAAACAGAGAAACCGCGGAAACTGAAACGGACTCCCGGATCGAAGTGCCCAACAGTCGAGATGACCCGCTGGGCGAGAGTTCAGTCGACACATCGTACGCAGAAGAAACCCGAGGACGCCACGCCTTGGGAGGAATTCCAGAAACAGCGGAATCAGCTGAAACAACCTTCGACGTCGGATGGCGACTCCGGTACAAAGGTGAGCCGCGACCATTGTTAAGGTGTCTTTGGACAGCCGCGCCGTCATTGCAAGCTAGTATTCCCTCGGTCGGGTGCCGCGACAACAACGCGTGAGTTCCCTTCGCAGGCAGGCACCGCAGCCAGCACCCAGAAAGGAATACATCGAGAGCCTGACAAAAAAAGGCGAATCACTGATGAAGAGCGGAAGCGCTTAAAAAAAGAGAAAATCATCAAGAAAATGCGCGAAGAGCGCGAAAAAAAGGGTTTGGTTCTACTTCCTGAGAAAATTGAGAAGAAAATATACCGCATGAAGAAGGCTATGCGAGCGAAAGGCAAAACCCCGCAAGAGATCAAAGACGAAATACGACAGTTCCGACGGAAAGAGGAGCTCACGTATCGGAAGCAATGTGCCAAGGTCAGTAGTCGCTATCCTTGAGAATGCGGACGAACGAGGACTCCCGTGGAGCTCTCGGAACAGATTTCATGAGTCCGCAGGGGCAGTGCAGAGGCTCTCGAATCCTTTCAGGTCATACACCATATACCTACGTACAATACGATCGATGATGCCGCCATTCACGACGAGGGAGTTTTTCCTCTCAATTACCTCCTCCCTGCATACGATCAGGAGAATAGACCTCATCGCTGGCGTATAGAGCCGAGAAAAGTCTCTCAAGGTCCCGTCGATTCCAGGCCTGTCTACATTGTCGCGAGCCCGGTCATAAGGTAGCAGACTGCCCGAAAGCCCCAAAGTGTGGTATCTGCTACAAGTGCGGTGCATCGGATCACACCTCGTCAAGCTGCTTGAAAGCTCCCGGGGAAGGATACAAGTTTGCCGCTTGTTTTGTGTGCGGAGAACAGGGTCATATATCACGAGAATGTCCGAAGAACGACAAAGGAGCCTATCCCAAGGGCGGTGGCTGCAGGTGGGACCGACAGCGTTTTAATAGTTCCGTCCCTGAACGAATCTCGAGTATGCATAGCTATCTCCTGAGCAGTTCCACTTTATGCCCTCCATAACCCTTGCAGATTTTGTGGATCGAACAAGCATAAGAGACAAGAGTGTCCCGAGCGGAAGGCCAAGCTCCAAAACGGGGAAGAAGAGATCGTCGCCGAGGTAGTGACTGATGTGAAACTGAACGTGGACAGAGAGCCCCGGGAAATCCAGGTTCCTTCGACATCGAGCCCTACGAAGCCTAAACTCATTCGCTTCTAGTGCTCTGGTTGATTTATTTCTCTAGTTGTTGAGTCTGTTGTGATATGTTTAGAATAAAGCTCGGACAAGCCCTTCGACCCGAGCTGGTTCCACAAGAGAAAGCCCTCGAAAGGCCTAGAAAGATTTCTTTCGATGGATTTGGTTTCGAATTCCTGTATCTTCGCTTCCGAGAATAGAATGGTATTCCCAAGCAGCGAGCCGTCTGAAGCCTCCGATCTTGACGCGGGAATTTTGGATTTCCGATCCATTCGACTTCGCGGATCTAACGTTCTGCTCATCTGTTGCGGTCTGGTCCCTCTTGAAGCCCGCCAAGCCTCCGCTAGAATAAATTCCTAGCGAATTGGTAGCCCTCTAGGCAGCGCTGAAGTAAGGAGTTCCCTGGTCGAATCATGGTGAGTTTCGACTGGAATCGGCGCGGGGTATGCTTCGCTCAATCATCTCTGGGCCCTTCACCGAACCACGACGGAGATTTGCGAGCGGCGAGTCGAATCGGAGGTAAGAACAATTGCTTGACGAGAATCGCGAATTCAAGCGCTACGCGGTCCGATCGCGAGCGGGTCCTGTGGTTTGCTCCGGGCGACAACCAGGACACTCTCACCAGATTGAGAATGTCCAGAGAAAAGATCTCGGTGTACAATGAGGACTATGAGTAATGGTATGGGCTAGCAGGATTAGATTTTATTCCCAATGACGAGGTTTCCCCGATTCCCATCCCCCGGAAGCAAAAAATCGAGACCCCCATTCGGGTCAAGGGTACATCGATTGCAGTACAACTGACGTTCCACCATGATCGACAGTGATACTCGAATTGAGAAGAAGGTGGAGCCCGTTCTGATATAAGACAAACGGGAGATTATGAGGTGGGGTAGAAGTCGCCGCCTCGCACTGCGGCAGCCAGGTGGGAGTATACACATACATATCAATGCACGTCCGTGGAATATTCCGAGCAGCCTCAAACAGTTTGATAACGTTCATTGATCGCGCTTCGCAGACAGCAAGCGAAGATTATTCCGGCCACCTGGAATGAGAACGAATGTCGTGTATAATCTCAGGCTGCTGATGTCATATCGCGGAGCCTATCGCCACGAACTATCCAATAAACGACACGAAGACGTACTTCGATGAAAGCTATGATGATGGCTGTCACTCCGATTGCGAGCGAGTTGCGTTCGATGATCTGCCTAATCCTCGGGAGGCAACCAGTGTTCTGCAGATTAGGATTTCTCCTGTCACACGGCGTTCCTCGTTCGGAGCCCTTGCAACAGCTCTCGGGTAACGGGATCTTGAGAGCTTCGTAGTCCTTGGGGCCGTGCACACCGCAGCATTTTCCCTGTGGGACAAGTGAATTTCAATGTTCGCCTCCTCTTATGATCGACGACAGCTATGAAGACGGATGCGTACTCCCTCGAGTACCTACCGTCAGTTGGAGATCATCCCAGTACTGCTTCAGCATTTTCGAATCGCCAGATGCGGTTCGATTCAATGATTTCATGGCTGCCTCCTCGATGGTGCTCTCTACTTGGCCCTTATTCGTGAAGGCGAGGTATCCCACGGCGATTTCGGCGATCAGGATCAAGAGCAGAAGTCCCAGGAATGCGTTCAGCATGCATGAGTTCTCTTTGAGAGCCCCGCAACAGCCGAGGAAAGAGATGATCACGATTACAGCTCCGACGGCAATCACGAGGATGTTCACGCCTGGAAACGAAGCTGAGCTCAGGAAAATCGCCATGCCGATTTTTCTGTCCCGGGTTCCGAGACGCTGCGGACCGCAGGTCAAATCCCCTATGACGATCTCACGCGTGATTTCCATAGTCTCCCACATTAATGCCACAGGAGTTCTGATAATGCAAGTCATAAAGGATATTCGTTTAGTCGATCAGGATGGTATACGAATGAATCGCGAAGAGGTACTCACTATTCAGATCGTCGAGGATTGCTTCAACTGACCTCACATCCTTCAGGTCGACTAGTCCGACGGTCAGGAGGGCGATACCGCATACCTGAATAAGAAAAATCAATGAAATACAATAGAAAATATCCGCACGGCGCAGGTCTGGATTCTATCGTAATCTTTTGGTCCCTCTGCGACCCTCGCTCAGTGAGTTGAGCATCGCTGATCAATGACTCAAGTGTTATTACCATCAAAGCCAAAGGATGCGGATGATTTCGAAAAAAATCATCTGCGCGTCTCCCAGCCCATTGGCCTCCCTCAAAATCAGAACCGACGCAAATTCAGGCGAACTCTCCCGACGAAAGCAACAGTCGCTGGCATAGCCAACATTCATTTCCGCCCTCGTGATTATAAGGCCCCTCTAATTTCCGACTAAAGGTTGTTCGATATACGATTCTGCGGATTCCGATTTCTTTATTTTAGCTCTCAAGCCGAATTGATGACAGACATATACGCACACGCCGGATTATCTCATCTTGCGAGACATATGATAGGGTTGAAAACTTTTAGATCGGAGTCGATTGTTCTCATGATTTATTTGTTCCAATTGAACTCGCTCATCGAGGATGTACCGCAACCGTATTTCTGACGTTTTATCTCGTCTGTTCCGCTCGATTACAATCATTCAACCATCAATAACCGATTCTTGATCCTCGAGTGAACAGATAAAATCCCATTCTTCTTTCGATATCGGAATCACGCTCAGACGGGACCGCTTGATTAGACGCAACTCGCTCAATGGACCCTGGGTCATCGAGTGGACTTTCTGCCAATGCTTGAGCTCTTCGAGACTTATGCAACGTTTGAGCTTCCGCTTCAGTTTGACGTCCACCAGAAACCACTTCGGATTGTCTACAGTTGCGCGCGCATCGTAGTAGTAACTCTTCTTGTCGAACTGAGTGGGGTCGGGATGGCTCTCTTTGGTAACTTCGACCAATCCGACGATTCCCGGAATTTTGACGTTGCTGTGATAGAAAAAAGCCTCGTCCCCGACTTTCATGTAGTCCTTCATGAAATTGCGAGCCTCATAGTTTCGTACGCCATCCCAAGAGGTCGTTTGATCCTTGCAAGCTTCCAAATCCTCGATCGAGAACTTGAAATCGTAGCCCTTCTCGATTCGAGAAGCACCTTCCGATTTGAAAAGCCAATTGTTGAACGACGAATAATCGGGCTTCTCAGCTGGCGGAGCCATTCGTCACCTAGAAGGAAACGCTTCGGGTGGGATTCTGGATAAGGCCGATTGCTTTTCTGGACGCGAGCGGCGCTATCGATGCCATAATTGCCAGGAGCCTTCATCGATTCGCTTTCCGATGTAGACGAGGGCGAACTGTAGGATTCTGTAATCTGATACCATCCGTCCTAAAGTGTGATCCCGAATCGAGACCATCGGAAGGCGTAAATAGAGCCACCGAACTGTGGACGTCCCGGGAGAATCACGGACCGAGCGGAGATTCGATGACGCTCTGACCCTAAAGATAGGAGCGCAGGTTTACGACAAACAAGCTTCGCGTGAGTCATCCCGCTGATTGACTGAAGTGACGTTATAGCGATGCTTGCACTAGATGCGGCTCCGATCGTTTCACGGGGACAGAATCCGTCGCGTCTGAGGATGATGCCCAATTCATTCGCCGCCGCCGCTCGGGCGTTCGGCAATTGGCACACATATTTGCCCCTTTTTGCATATTTCAACAGACGCGCGCATGTTTTCCGCGTTCGCGGTGCGGGATACCTTACACCCTTCGACAGCTTACAAATGGAGTTTCAGTTCTCCTCTTGGCGGAAAATGATGTTCCATATCTGCGGATCGATGGTATCGTGCGCAGCTTTCCGTTCACTGTGTACATTCATGGTTACAATTTACTGCATCGGTCTTGAATGCTCCGCACTGGTTGCTAGGCGGGCGCCTGCGTCAGAACTCGGATGACCCGAGCGCTAGCGTGTGAACCTATCAGGATTGTATTACTCTCCATACGATCATGCTAATCCCGTGCCGCCGACTCGGAGCCGGAAGTAACACGGCAGCGTTGCCGAAACAGCGTTCGTTCGATTAAAACAGATTTCAAACAAGCGAAACTTAAAACGCCAACAGGCTCGCTACAATTGAACGACTACCGCCAAAAAACTCCTGATTCGATCTATCCTCCGATTGAAGGAAAAGCCTCCACGGTTTATGTTTGAAAAACCCGCGACCGCATCCGGTTATTTTTGCCTCGCGCTCATGCAGATCGCTCTCGAGACTCCGAGCGCTGTGTGTGGCTCAAGTTGAACATCCTCGTCGCTCCGGAGATCTAGCAGCTGACGCAAAGCCCACGGAGCTTTGACTAGCGATTCGAGTAGGTCGCTTGGCGTCGGGGAAAAACTCGACAGTTCTACTCACCAAGAACAGCGCGTTGAAAACAACCAAGAGCAGCTTGGCCATTTTATCGCTACACCTGCGCACCATTTTGCAACTTCTCACCGATTCTGCGAACTATTCAAATCCAAAACTTGTCGGCTGTTGTATCACTCGCTTCGAGTTGGATTTAGTGGGATCTGGGAAGGTGAGCAACGCACTTATAGAGCTGAGCGCCCGAGCAACACACTCGCTTACAGGAGTTGCTTGCAGCGACTCACCGCGGTGACGGGATAAGTTTGGTTCCACCAATGCGCGCGCATGCTTGAACCAGAGAGCAGTGTCAGCGGCGCGGCGGTGCGCGGCGTGGTCCGTCCAGTGGCTGGGTGCATCCAGAGAGATTGAAAATAATAAACAACACGCCTACCGACACCGAACCATCTCGACACCACTGACGCTGTCAACAGGCGGCGTCTTCCGCTTCAGGCCGCATCGGCCGAAAATCTCATCGATTCGACCGGCCCCCCCCGTATTACTCACTCCGTGATCACACGACCTTGCCGAAACGCGCTCCGAATCCTACGAAATTCGACAACGCAACGCTCGACCTACCGTAGAACGCCTAATCCGCTTCTTTGAAGCCCAAATTGGAGATCGTTGGAGTGCTCCCTTCTTCTGGAGTCTCGGTAGAACAGTTCTGTTTTTTTCAACCCCCGATGCACGCGCTCTCACGATCGATCTGCGCAGATTCAGCCGATGGCACGGTGGCGCGCATCACGAGGGCGGGAAACGGTCCCTACCACAGGAAGTCTCACACTCGTAGGAGACGAATGCATCGCCCGAATTTCCTAAGAATAGTTGGAAGTGGGACTCGATCCGACTGGGAGTGAATAGGGGAAAACATCCTAAGCCGCTCCTGAGAGACAGGTCCCTCAAAGGGGAACTTTCTCTCTAAAAGTGCATCGCTCTTCGGAGTCGGCGCACCACAAAGTCAGATCCGAATTTCTCGTCTCGGAACTTCGAGCTGTCAGATATAATCAGGGAACTCCCGAAAATCGTCTGATGATAAGACGGTAATTCCTACGCGAGTTTGAGATCGCAAACTCGGAACGGAAGCGAAGTGTGGGCAATGGTAGTCCTAGGATCATGGGGGACCGAATAAACAGGATGAGCGACTCTCATCTATCATCGTGTCTGACTCGTGATTGTTCTCCGGGAGATCCAGTCAGAGCCAGACGATTTTGTCAAGCTGTCGAGCTACCCTCCCTTCCGGATTCCGCCACTCGACTCAGCTGGTAGCCAACTCCGAATGACAGACACACCTTTTCCCCCTACAATATTGTTCCTCCCATTGTTAAAAGGGGTCGCTATGCGCGGGAGGAGGGTTCCGAATGATCACACTGTTTGTGAATAGACCATATCCATAAGGAGAAATTCGTGAGGTGATCCCCGTCGGAAACAATCTTTCCCGGATCCGAGGGACTCAGACCAACGGATTCGTGAAGTGGAGCGATTCCGTATCTGGGATCGACTGACCTTTGTTGGATCGAGCTCGAAGGATCTAGAGTTCTGTGGCATACAGGGAGCGCGTATACTCCGAGCATCTGAAATGATTCCTCTCACTCAGAGATAGCTGAAGGGACCTCGAGCCCTCAACTTTCGACCCGAGGATAGATTCTACACTTAGAAAACAATCTTGTCAGGAACCCATTCCGACTCGACTTTCGAACATTTCTCACTCGCGAAATATTCCGCGAAATAAAACCCGAGAGCGAATGTCGGAACGCTGATTCACTCATTATTCTCCCGGAGCATCGCTCTCATGTCCAAGAAGCACTAATTGTGGGCTTCGTCAGATCCACATCGCTTTTAGATCCCGCGTATGATCGCTTTGAGTGGCGGACAATATCGTACCCGAACATCTACGTGAATCATTGGACGATTTCGTCATCAATCCTAGGATTACAGATTACGGCGCGGTTCCGCCCTCCTCCCGGCCAGCCATTTGTTGATGGGAGCGACATTGTGAACAATGAGACGGCTTCCTGCAGAGCACGCCGACCTCAGGGAAGGAGAACGAGGCGATTCTGCGAGCGTTCCTCTCGACTTGCGTAAACAGAGGAGACTTCAGACATGTCCAACTCTTTTGGCACGGCTCGGTCGGTTCATGAGTCACTCAGATAATAAAATCTCCATATGTTCGACCTTGGAGCCTGGACGAAGATGACAGGAGGGGCCGGAGATGAGGCTCAATGATTTCAAGTTATCGTTCGGCTAAATGTGTTTTTCCTTGTTTAGCTTTCGAGTTCCCCGCGGTCGATGAAAATTTCCCTGATTCGAAGCAAAGTTCAAGTGCTAGAGGGTATCATGGGTATGGCTGTATTCTAAGCTACGGCGATAGATGGAAGTCAGCTTTTCGCGGCTTGATCACATGAGCCGAATCGCCTCGTAGGCATACAGACTCATCCCACACTGGGCTGAGAACAATCCCATCACTTTTTGAGCAAAAACAAGGAACCGCCGCGCCGGCTCTGTGATTCCGTGCATCGTGTTTGCCCGATAGGACTTCGGAAAGTCTGGTATCATTGATGACTCATCTTTTGTACGGGAGAAATCTCTACTCTCTGGACGTCTCTGGAAGGGAATATGGAATGACTCATTGGGTCGTCAGACAGCCATGACGAGCCTTTCGAATGTAGAGATCATGACGTGAGGGGATTTGTGCGTGATGAGAGCTCATTCATCTACGTACCGGATGATGGCGGAACTGACTGAGAATCGTCCTTTACAGCGAACGAGGGAAGATCGTGATTTATATAACTCCGAAGCTATGATGAATCTTTACGACGCCTCCGCTCAACTTTCCCGAAATTTCCCTCATTCGAGAGCGAATCGCAGCGTGGTCTCTCACGTCCAGCACTCATTCCGTTTATTGGGAAAATATTGCACAGTTGGGGAAATGGCATCCACGCCTGTTCCATGACGAAAAATTGTTTCGAACCGAAACTCTATATAACGCTCGGTATACACAGCGTGGTACAATCACATCCAACGATCACAACATTAAACTTGAGCCAACCGAGGGAATACTTATTTACAACGAAACTGAGCTAGATCTCGAGCACTCGCCGCTCAAGGGCGTAAGGTCGTGCACATTGATCATTCATCATTGTTTTTGTCGAGCTTGAGTTTTTCTAACTTTTCGTCTATGAGAGGAATCTCCTCGTGCGCTGTTCTTCCGTTCATTCGTAGTCCTGAGGAGGAAGGGCGAGATTCCCAGTCCGAAGTTGCTTCCACAAATTTCCATGGTTCCTGATTCCCTGTTCCTTCATAGTAAGATCCCCTGGGCGCCCAGTTTTCCCGCGCCTGATGATAACCTTCAGCCACATCGATATCGTATGGTTCAGCTAGAATCTGAGAGCAGCCATACGGTAGCCGGTATGCCTTCCACAAAGTGCAGACTCCTTCTGTCTTGGTGGCTTTGTGATATTCGCACGCAAGAAAGTCAAGTCCCTAGTCAGGAAGAGCTTCTTGGTTAGTGGGCATCTCGAGACTTCAGTGCTTTACAGCAATGACCAACCATTCTGCTCATCTCTCGCGGACCCCGTCGCGGAGAAAGAGCATCCGACTCACCGCTCTGCCTGAACAAGCGTCCCTGACTTGAGAAATTTTGGCGTTTCGACGGTCTGTGGAGCGTTCCCACAACATCTGGATCAACTCTTCTCCGTCGAGAGGAACCAAATCTCCTTAAAATACAGCACCGATTTCAGCAGTCCGATTGTAGATCCAAATGTTCCCCAATGAGCGGAACCCTCGAGAATTCTCTCGGACTTACGACTGCCTGGGCTGAGTTTCCGGAGGTCGCAGAAGCATTTGATGGCGGCTTCGATCTCGTTTGAATGCACGTAGAAGTGACCCCCACAGAAATCGTGGATCGCTTTCAGGACCTCTCGGAGATTGTCATCGGAACCCGGAGTGCCTAGGTAAGGGGACTGTGGTTCAGCAGTCGCTAGCGAAGGGGTCCGGGAGCTTCCCAGGGGCAATTGAGAGCTCGGATAGCTTACCTTCTATGGGAACAACCGTTATCTGTTTTTTCATTTTTTCCTTGACGAGCGAGAATCGCTCAAATCGGACCTCTGGGTTGAACAAAAAATGGAGGAAATGTTCGGCGCCGCGATCCAGGCTGAAACGCACAATCGATATCTCGCTCGGAAGCCTCGTGGTCGACTGTCGGAAGAGAATTCATCGCGTTAGTAACTCTCAAAAGGCTCGCGGTGCGAACCGAGGTTGAACGAAATTCTTCATTTAGACGGGGCCTATGCATTACGATTGCATGGTCGTCACTTCTAGGCGACAAATAAATTTAAATAGGCGAAGGTGAATCCTTGTGAGAATATCCAATAGGGGAACGCTCAAACCTCTCGGTGGAAAGAAAGAGAGTGGAAGAAATGGGTCTTGACGTCCGCCTCGGTCGGGAACACTCTCTCTATGAAGCCGCGCATTTTTTGACGGAATCTGCAGCCGAAAAAAATCTATGGTTCCTATCGGAGTTTTTCTTCCCGAATCTATTACTACTTATCAAGGAGATCACTCACGGTGACATTGTGGTGTTACCGCCTGGTCGTTGGAACACCCGAGGGGGTCGTTGCGGTTGACAACGCGACTTTGCTTCAGCCCTGCGGAAAATAAGTTGAGGAGCTTACTCGTAGGGTCACTCTCCACGAGACGAATCGACGACGAAGATCATTGGCTTCTTCCCCGGAATCATTGCAGCCATCGGAGGTCCATACTCCCGGGAAACCAGTACTCACATCTCGACGAAGCGCTCTTTCTCAGATGGTGAGAATCTCAACCATATGGGATCGGCCTCGATTCTGGCTTCATCCAAGCTCAGATGACGCCCCTTGCGTCTGGAAATATGTAGGTATTGAATCTTAGGTCTCATTAGAGAGGGTGGACCGGGGTCGGTCTCTGCAGATCTTCCAATCTCTCTCGAAGAGTGTTCGTGGAGACAGCAGCCTCCTCCAGATGACACAACGTACTTTTCTCCGTCTCGATAACAACGCACGAAGGTGAAGAACGGCGATTGTCTCGGCATAGTGATTTCCGCAATGGATAGCAGCTGATCGCGAGAGGTCCCGACGCACTCCAACTCTCTGAAAATTTATGTATGCTGTCCATCGTTGCCGAGCACGGGACTCCGCTCCTTGACGGTGGGGTGGATTTGATCTCGATCGAAGAAAATTTGAGACGTCATATGCATACCGCGCAGAAAATCTTCGCGAAAGATCGGCCTTGTTGCGGATCCACTCCCAGACAGAGCTCCTAACTCCTAACGACTTGAGGCAAGAAGTCCCAAGTTCCAAACCCTCGGCCTGAAGAAAATATTCACATTTCGCGAGCGCAAGCCGACAATGGAGTTAGCTTGGCGGTATTCAGGCGCTGTGCAGAAGAGGGCAGAAGATTCAATGCCCTTCAACAGAGCGCGGTGAATAACTCCAGTGCGGGCAAACGATCTTCGATTTTCTGATTTCTGAGTGGCTCGTCTACACAGGCGCGATGGTTCCGCTGATCTTTGTCTGCTGCATTGCGGGCATCGGGCCCTTCGTTCAGGTCTTACTGACTGAGCTCTTTTCTCGTCGTCACAGCACCTACCAATAATTTCGGTTTTCCCGACAGGCCGGCAAAGGAACGTCTGGGAGCTCGCCATTACCAGCAATCAGACTGGAGCCCGCTCGCATTCACCACTATACAATCATCTTCGCTAGAATTTCCCTCGGCTTAGGAAGCTCGTCCACAGCTGGCCCCGCTCCAGGTTGCCTCACTCGTTGACGAGAAGTTACTCGGGATAGCTCAGAGATATTTTGTCCCTTCGACCTGTTTGAAGTCTACGCGTCCTTGGTGCGGAAGGTATCGACGGTCAAACACAAGGATCGGGCCTTGGTCGTCGACCCCCGAGACGAGAGCTCGGGAGATTCGGGACCAGGTGTGGTGAATTCACGGCAGCTTGACCGATGGAATTCCCGAGTCTTCATCCCATTTCTTGTTCAGTTCTCGGTGAATTGGGTTCGATGGGAAGGATCGTTTTGAGGCGGGGGCACATCCGGAGAAAAACCAAAGATTCGATCAGTGCGAGAATCAACAACCCTGGAAGTTGAAAGTATATCCTCGCGCAGATCTCGATCTCGTTTTTCGAAAAATCAGGTCTGGAGCTTCGACCACCATCGGCTTGGCTCGAAGGTGACTCCCGGGGTGCCAGTCCATCTACAGTTCCTCGCAGGGGGTGCTCATCTTTCTTCCACTCTCAGGGTCTCGGTCTCGATGCGTTACAGATCACCGGCTTGGACTGGCATCGCCTTAGGAATACACATAATTCCAACTACGATCAGGAATCCAATTTGTGGATCTCGATAGAATCCAACTTCCCAATCGACAATTTTTTCCCGATTCAGCTCACACACGCACTCTGTCAGGATACGCTAGATGTGCGATACCGGTAGAAGAGAAAGGGCCTCGCCGCTGCAATTTTCCGCACCGTTCCGCATCACTGTTGAAAATTCCTGTCCCACGGCGATCGTAATTCAGGATGCATCGGAACTCAGATCCAGGTCCCGGCGTTGATCGCCCCGCTTCCGGAGGCGCAACCGCTTGACGCGGCTCGTGGAGCAGTCTCGAAAGATCACTCGGGAGAAGGAGTGACCGGATCTCAAATGCGAGGCGTGATGAAGACCCGACTCATGGGTTCGATATATTATTTTATTAATAAATAGGTCAGATTCATCCCTTAAAAATTCCAAATGAGGTCGATTCGAGGAGCACCTCTCCTCCGTGTATGAACCTGTCCTCGATCAGAGTAGTCGAAGTTTCCGAGGCGTTTCCCGCTCGTGTATCGTGAGCCAATGTTTCGGTATCAGGCCTGAGCGGGCCGGAATCCCGTACAACGGCTTGACTACTCTCAGCAAACGGACGATAAGAACTCGATTCCGATTTCTTTCTTCAGTACTTCGATCAAGTCATCCAATTCACTCTGAGAGTCGAAGTAGTGTTTCTTGTAGGGCTTGTTCAATTGCTGTAGATAGAGGTCCAGAGTGACCACATCAACTTTCGATCGGTACTTCGGTAGCCCCTTGCAGCAAAGTTGTTCAGCATAGAAATGTAAACTGTCTTTCTCACGCGACAACGCTTTATAAACGCCAACCTTCGCGTCTGCACTGTACCTAGGATTGACATCGGCGCCGAAAAGCTCCCAGTTCACGCTCGCCAAGTATCTCATGAAGTAACGTTGAAAATCATCCCGCAGTCTCACGGAAGAGAATCTGGCAACGATTCTCTTCTTCTCGTAGTATTTACTTTCCCATGCGCATTGTTCGATCATATAATCTGCGAACTCATGATAACCGCTCATACGGGCGATTGAGCGCAGAATCTCAATGGTTTCATCATCGTTGCCTTCAGGGAAATCCATGAGACAGAGACTTCTAGAAACCCATTCTGGCGCTTTATCCCCCGATTCGAAATACGTTGGGAGCGATTCCGGGTATTCATAGAGGATTTCCCGTCTGTGACTCAATATAAATGGTTTTAAAGTCGCTCGGAAATTCTTAACCTCGTTCGAATACTCATTGACGACTCTTTCGACTTTCTCCAGAGGGAACTTCGTGTTAACGTACAGAAGAGAGCAATGGAGATCATAAGGTTTGGCGAACTCGAAGTTTTGGAACCTCCGAAAACGAGAGATGACCATATCCTGAAGTTGCAGCAGGACTTCTTGGCTATCGAAATGCAGTTGCAACCCAACGTAGATTCTTTCTCCGATGACTTTGCACTTCAGCCTCGTGAACTTCACTTCAATGGCATCCAAACTGTCAGCCTCCTCTTTGGTGAATCTCTCGAATGTTTCCCCGAGATCTCCAACCTCGGAGTTTTCGACGCTGGCAGACCATAGGTTTATATGCTTGAAACGCTGGTTAAACTTGGTACGATGAACTTCGGGGTACTGTTTCTCGTCGGACCACAGGCCTTTTTTGATTTTTTCGAAGAGCAAACGCATGGAATCCAAAACGGATTGTTCCGATACCTTGAGTCCCAGGTAATATACCCCGTATCCTGAACTCAGCTGATTATGACAGTTCCCCTTTATGATCATGATTCACTCTGCAAAAAAGAAAAAGATGTTATCGTTGAGGGCCTATTCATAATCGATATCATTAGGTTGATGCGAAGCGTCACCACATCCTCACAACTTTGCTCGACCATGGATGGTACTAACGACACTTGGGAGATTTCTAAGGCGATCAAGCAAGAATGCTCCCGGGGCAATCGCTGCGATTGACCTCGATCAAGAGCAGTTTTCGTCTTTCAGCTCAAAATATCCTCCCGGCGAAACCGGTCGTACAAGGTTTAGAGGCTTCTGAACTTTGTTGTATAGGTCGTCGGAGAAAAAACGATTTCTAATTCTCAGTCTATGCGAGAGGATGATGAAGATGTCTCTCACAATTCAGAAACGGCGGGGCGACACAATCGATGGAGAGCACAGCGCGTCGCTCATCGATCCCTCAAGTCTTCCGCCCGAGCTTAGATCCTGATGCATTTCGCGCCCCCGGAAAACGACAAGGAGGATGTCGGAAGCTCTGACAGAAATCTCTCGGGTACGCCGTACACATATATTCGTGAACCCCCGCTTAGCTGTTCAGCGTATGATCGGCTTCCTTTCACGAGCGCGTTCTGATATCCAGCATTTTCTTGTGTTCTCACTCACCACGGTCGCTATTCGTGTAGTGCGACGGTCCAGTTCAGTGCGAATCTTCGATGCTTGCTCATATGTCAGCGCAGTCTCCATTCACGATGCCGAAAACAGCTGTTGAAGCTTCCGTATAAAAGAGGGAGAGTCTCACATTCACGACATCTCCGAGCATGCACACGCGCCTTCTAAAACAAACAAGCATGAACTGCGTAGAAAAGTTGAATAATCGTAGCTCTGATTCATCAGTGGAGAGCCATGATCTTGCTTAAAGATTAGCAAGGCGTTGATGCACGGCGACCGAACGATTTCTGTTTATAACCGTCGAAACTGACCGCGTACGCCAGCGGAGAGATGATCGTGAGCCCCGATAGGAACTCGCCCTCGGTCTCGGAAACCTGCAACCGAAAGCGCAAAATACATAGATGAAGACTTCGTGATGTTGCGGAGCCAAAGACCGACCATATACCCGAGCGAGCTCAAATACCTATTGCATTCATGATTCTGATTTGAGCGGAGAAGATTCTTTTCTGGTCTGACGTGAGCTGTGAAAAGGTACCACATGAGTGCAGCGAGAGAGATCCTTCGGGTCGTGGCGGCCTTGGCTATCGGCTTGTTTGCCCGGTCCGCTCTCAATCGGGAGATCTCAAACGGATCGATACCGAATGTAGAATCCTCGCGCGACGCTCTCGGAGGCTAGCGGAACCTCATTTTCGCGTCGCGGCAGATCTCTGGCAGCCTACGAGTCGGACAAACCTCTCCATGAATTGCACATCGCGAGCAATCGAGCTCGAACGTCATTGATTCGACGAAGGGAGGAGAATCTGCTGTGCTCTCAGTAAACTCTGGTAGAGAGAAGATCGGGCCCCTGTAGGCGCCTATTTTCATTGCTGCGGGAGTTCCCTGGATTCCCTGAGTTGCGGGAGGAACATTCCACCAAAGGAAAAGTGAAGAGACTGCTCCGGCTGATTCATCGATCTTCTACGGAACTGTCCCGCTTCTTCTTCTGTATGATCGATTATGAGCTCGTGACTGAATTAGACGTGAACGCAAGTGGAGGAAGCAAGGATCGGCGCTACATACAGAGAGTCAGAGAAACAAAAGTGACCTGAGACCCGGATGAACGGATGAATATGAAGGGCTCTCGATCTCACCGACTCGACGATGCAGGCATTGGGCTCGATTCCGTGGGTGTCAAACTCTCGGCCCAAATACGAGATCTGAGGAATCCGGACACGAGTCGACATTCGAGAAGGAAGTTAGTCCCGAGCTCTCGTCGCGCGTATGAAATTTCGACAGCTGTATTGCCGCACGGGTTCGGAATCGTTTAAGCTGACTTCCGAGCATATTTGAGTATCGCAAGACGGGGACTCCTGACGCGCCTACCGTTCTATGTAATGATGGTCAGCATTTCAGCGACTCGAGGAATCTCAACTTGCCACCTAGCCCCGCGCAGCATGGTCCGCGTAGACGAGAAAACTTCCCTTAGTGAAGCGGGACCGCATCTCGCTTGATTACACAGCAGAGGTTCATGTGTGGACGAAGTAGACTCAGGTCGAAGATTAAACCACTGGTCTTGAGCTGCATCTGGACTTTCGATACAAGATAATTTTCATTCACCTCCGAAGAGAGTTTTATTTGCGACGCGCGAGATCACGACTGCAGGAAGTCCACTGCCCACCAGACACGGTCAGGATATTCGGTACGCCACCGGAGGACCGATGAGAGTGACGGACCCCTCGTGATGTTACGGAATCTCCGCCGTCGGAGTCGGTAGCGAAGCCAGCATGTGTCTGCATGGATGCCGGTCAGCGCTGAGCCCGTAACTGTCTGCCGTCAGTAAGACGCTCAGGCCTGAGTGCGTGTCCAATCGGATTCCGAGTCACGCACGAGCTCTGGTAGTCGTGACAGCTTGCGAGCTCTCTTCGAGAGAATGGCGGGATTCGACTCCTCGCCCGCTTTAAGGAGCATTTCCTCCGCGCAGCACAAGGAATCCGGCGGAAAACTAAATCCGAGGCCAATATATGCTCATCGAGTATGCCGGAACGGGATGAAGGACGATAACCGTACAAATAGCTCCTGAGGGTATGCTTTCGATTTCTCGATCTCTTCAAGAGCTCGTCGGATGGGCAGCTGACTTGGGTCGCGTTCAGCTCAGGGGCAAGCGTGAAGACCGTCTCCGCTACGGAGAGGCCTCATTCCTGTGTTCTCCCTCCAAAACCCAAACGAGCGTCGTTGGATCGAGCTGAATTCGAAAGCTCACATGGAATCGTGGAGTAATTCGAGGAATCGGTGCAAACGTTGAAAAAGTGTCGTCCAACCCCTCCGTCGATGATGCATTGACCTTTTCCAGCAACGCAATCGCACAATGAGATGAGACAGGCGAAAAATGCTCTGCCCGGATCGATCCTCGGTCCTATGAGCCCTTTTTCCGGAGAGGAGATCCATTGATGAATACGCCCGAGACTCTCTACTCGTACCTCTCCAGATTTGCTTCGATGATTACGAGAGGATCTGACGGGTCATTCAATCGCCATTGTCAGGATCCACCCTGACAAATCAATGAAGATCGATACTGACATCATATTCAGCGGGGGAGCGAGTATTATTAATCGGTTCCGATCGACCTCATCGTCAGAAGAGAAACGAGAAGGCCTGGGAGCACAGAGACTGCTGAATCTCGCGCATTTCGAAAGGAGAGCAGCCCGGAGAGATTGCGGATCATGGGCGAGTTCGAAATTCCACCAAGATTTCGAGCAGAAAACAATAGAGGGAGGACGAGGCTGAAGGTTCTCTCTCTCTTCGCTGAAGGTCCCGATCTCATCCAGCTCGAAGGCGGACCATCGCCCGTCTTGATTACTCTTCCGACTTTCACCTGCCAGGTCGAAGGGGCATCTGGAGACGACCCCCTCCGGTCAGGATGATGAAGACTGCAGAGGCCATCAACATGGGATACATGCTGGAAGGGTTCCGAACTTGAGTAGCAGGAGATTCAGGATCGAAATTTCATTCATTTCCTTCGTGATATTATATATATATATATATATTATATATATCAGTATATATACATTCATCTTCCCTACCTATGCGTAGATCCCGATAGACATATTGTATGAACGGATGGCCTTGCGGATACCGATGGGAGAAATGTGACCAATTATTTACATGGGTGAACTAGATCGCTGTGATAGAGGGTCGCCGCTTTCCCGCGACCCGCCAAGAGTTCGAGCCACACAACGCCCGCCAAGCCCGCAACTCGCGCAATTCGATAGATCATAGGGGGGGGGGCATGCTCTCCGGCATCAGAAGTGCGATATCGGGGTGAACTTGGCGCAGTGCCGCAGGATCTTGATGAAATTTGGCTCCATCTTCTCGAGGTCGAATCGGCCATTCGAGTAAGATGGGCCGCCCCAAGGAGGACGCATCGATCGGGTCAGATGATGGCGTCAATCGGGTTTTCGAATAGATCCTCCACCAAGCAGAAGAAGTTGCTGACTTTGAAGGAGATATTCCCCTCCGGGACGCCGTAAAGTCTCGCCATCCGACGCGCGCTGTTGACTTCGTACTCGTTGATGTCAGAGGCGAAGACTCTCGAGACCTCGTCCATGACGGCCGCCTGAACGAGGAAGCCTCCGGCGCCACAGAAGGGATCGAAGACCCGGATCTTCCTCCCCAGTCTCCGGCTGGGAGCGATGACTCTCCTAGCGATGTGCTTGGAGATCTCATCCGGAGACACCGAGAACCAGGTGGTTTGGCTCAGTCCGAAGCTTGCGTGGTACCTCGAAATCAGGCGGAAGCGTTGGGAGAAATACTTCCGCATTCCGTCCTCTGAGCTGACCTGGCGGGCCGGAGCCGTGGCCATCTTCGAGAGGGACTTTGTCTCCTTGGCCAGTTCGACTCCTTAGATGCCGCAACGACCCTTGCTCACCGTGAAGCTGGTCCTCGCGGCCTTGACAGCGAAGAGTAGGTTTCAAGATGCTCCACCCGAAGGGATGTCGTAACGTGCTCTCGGTCCTCGCAACAACAGCTCTGACCTGAGCGAGTGGACCGAGCCCGGAGATTCTCCCGGGGCTTCTTCAGGAACACACTCTCACAGTCAGCTGCATAAGAGCGACTAACCACGACAGGTGTTCCGTCCGATTCCGCTCGAAGGAGAACTCGGTACACTGGTCCTCTCTCGGAGCCGCAGAGGAAATTCGCATATCCAGCTGCGAAGGAGCCGCGATGACCCTGGTGTCTGGGCTCGTACTGCAGGAGATGGGCCAGGCATCGTACTCCTTCGATTCCCACTCCGAAATGGCCGGTGTGCTCGGTCGACACCAAGAAGGTCGAACTCGAAACCGCGGTGATGGATGCTGATCCGCGGGGGATGATCCGTTCCACCTGTAAGCGGCTCAGCACGGATCTCGCTGAGACATGGCCTCCCGGAACAATGTGAAGGATTTTCGTGCGTCCCGGGAGAGGAGCAGGGTAAACGATTCAGTAACACGCTTCCACGACGTTCGTCTCACCAGGACCGTCCAGCGCGGACACTCTAGCGATCACGTCCCGCTTCTGATGCTCGTTGACTTGACTCTCGAATTCTTGTTTGTTGAACTTCTGTGCGGCGATGAGCTCAGATTCCCGACGTTCCTTCAATTCCTCGTGAGTCTTGAGCATTGATCGGAGCTCGGACCGTACGCGATGACCCTGGTGTCTGGGCTCGCACTCCAGAAGATGGGCCAGACATCGTACCCCTTCGATTTCCATTCCGAAATGGCCGGTGTGCTTGGTCGACACCAAGAAAGGCGAGTTCGAAACCGCGGTGATGGATGCTGATCCGCGGGGGATGACACGTTCGCCTTTGAATGGCTCAGCACGGAACTAGTTCCGACATGGCTCTCAGGACAATGAGTGGGATCTTGGTGCGTTCGGGGATCCTGCTCTCGCTGCCCCTGGAATGGAAAATTCGATCTCTGATTCTCGATGCTGTGAGCGGCAATGAGCTGTGTCTGAGAATTCCGTCGTTCCTCCAACTCCTCGAGAGTCTTGAAGAATCGATCGGAGCTCGTATCGTACAAGACATCGTATCGTACATCTCGCCCGAGGCCGTGTCGCTTCCATTCATTAATTTCGGCGATGCGAACAACACTCCGGAAAACTTTGTCTCGGAAGAGCGTCCTGCTGAGGCCATGATCCGAAAGACGTTTGCTCCGATCTCACGGCACGAACTGTGTCACAGGATGACTGCCGTCTCAGGCATCCTGAGTGATCTCAGATACAGATTAGAAATGAGCAAGGCGTCCGACCTCAGCAATCATTCCCAAAAGCCCCGAGAATTTCTTGGATAATTCGAATCCCTAGGGGTTGAGGCCTCTCTTCGGCTTGAATAAGGGGGCGAACGCATTTTGCGGAATGACATGGAAGGATTATAGCTTCTGGGAACCTGTATCATGACGGACCCAATCGAATGCCTCGCGAATCTCGAAATTGCATTCCGAACTTGTATTCATACTTGCAAGAGGTGTTCTCGGTTCAGTACTGGTCGAACATCACTGGGTTCCTCTTTCTCCCGGATGTTGCCCTAGGCGAACCTCTTCACAATCCCGCACCACAAAACTTCCGATAAAATAGTTTCTTTTTTGGTCAGATCCTGAGCCTCCGGAATCTTTCCCCTTCCTCGTCTGCTTTCGCGCGCTAAATGATGCTAATGATTCCTGATTGCGCGTTATGATCCGATACTCCTCCCTGACACTTCATCTAATCAGATATCAGGTCAAGAACTCGAAATCGCATTTCCGGGAGGGAATTCAGAGAGGAGCGCTTTGCGTTCCTGGACGGTTTGCGTTTCGACTCTACATTCGAGACTCGCATCCCACTTCGTCTCAGGGGGCCCCGCGATTCCTCGTACCTTTCGTTTAATCTTATCATCTAGAGACCAGGTTTTCGGTCACGTTTTATTCGGAAACCCCATTTCGGAACAGCTCGTTGCTATCGGAAACGTTACGTCTCAAGTGGACTGGATTGAACATCGATGTCGAAGACGTCGTCCGAGAATATCAGAAGCAAGCCCGTCCCCCTCATGTACTCGACCCCTTCCCTCGATCCCCCGCCCTTTGAAACTTTACAATGATTCCATGGAGCCTTAAATATTCCACAAATCGCACAAGACTCAAGCCATTGTCTACAGGCACAATCTCCAGAACCCGTGTCCCCGCTTAGAGAGTTCATCCGAGCTCCGGAGGACAACCCCATGAAGCGGACTTCGGTAAAAAAGGTCACGATTCACTACAGGATCCCTTCCCCTATCCGCCCTATCGGCAGCTTACCGCTCCATAGCTGCCCACCGAATTTTCCCCTTCCTGCTCATCGTAAGGCAATCTCTCAATTACGGAACCATTCCGTTTCGAGTGGAAGGAATACGCAATGTACAACATACACCGCCAGTCCCGACTAAACTCCTTGAATGAAGCTCGAGTCCCAGTGCAGTCCCATAAATGGTAGGATCACACACTTTTCGAAGGAGAAGATCCATACGAACGTCGGTCCAGACGAATCATATCACAGCCGTCACTATATCTGCCACGATTCTCCTTTACAAATGAGGTCCTCATGTTTAGCGTGGAGGCCGATTGACCTCATCGGCAAGCAAGAAACGAGCGAACCCATAAACACGGAGACGGCTGAATTCAGAGAATTCAAGAGGGGAGCAAACCCGTATAGATCGTGTGTTTCGGAAAAGAGGAGCCCTATTGGAAGCCTTTCGAGATGTCGAGGAGAGAACGATGGAGGGACGATGACGGTAAATCTTCCCCGAACCCCTCGATCTCATCCAGCTTAAAGGCGGAACATCGTCCCCTCAATGATTTTTCTCTCTCTCTTAGCTTTCTATGTCAATGCAGCAAGCTGGCAGTGGCCTCCCCCCCTCTTCCCCCGCCTCGCTATAATTTCATTATAAATTTATGATATACTGATTTACTACTTCGCTAACATATAATTAATGAATGGAGCGTCGAAAACCACCTAGCAGGAGATTCGAAAATGAGCAGACGAAGAAACAGATTCTCAATTTCATTTCTTCCCGTCGTTGTTAGCAACCGAGACCGCCAAATCACGAATCACGAGTCACGATTGACCGAGAGCTTATCTGACTGGATGAATTCTTGCGTCAAAAAAAATTCTCCGGAACTAGCGTCGGGAGGGGATTCGCGCAATCGCAGACTCTTGTTATCAAGGGCGGACCTCAATGCACTTAAGATTGAATGTCCAATTGACTATACTTCGATTACAGAGGCAAAATTCAAAAATTTATTTACACCTATAGATCTATGCATGCATCCATCCAACTACCTCCTGCGACCATCCTACCTATGCGGGGAGCTCGATTGACTAGACATTCTTGGGCGGACGGCCTTGTGGGTACTGATGGGATAGAGGCGAACAATTATTCACAAGTGTTGATCAAGTCGCCGTAATAGAGGGTGGCCGTTTTTTCCCGACCCGCCAAAAAATTGAGTTCAAGCTCCACACCGCCCCTCAAGCCCGCAACTCTCGCGCTCTGATGGATCTGATCCAGGGCCATGTTTTTCGGCATCAGAAGTGCGATGTTCGGGGTGAACTTGGCGCAGTGCCGCAGGATCTTGATGAAATTCGGCTCCATATTCTCGAGATCAAATAGGCCATTCGAGTAAGATGGGCCGCCCCAAGGGGGGCCGCAGATGATCGCGTCGATCGGGCTTCTGAACAGATTCTCCTCCAGGTCGAAAAAGTTGCTGACTCTGAAGGATATCTTCTCCTCCGGAACGCCGTAAAGTCTCGCCATCCGACGCGCGCTGTTGACTTCGTACTCGTTGATGTCAGAGGCGAAGACTTTCGAGACCTCGTCCATGACGGCTGCCTGAACGATGAAGCCTCCGGCGCCACAGAAGGGATCGAAGACCCGGATCTTCCTCCCCAGTCTCCGGCTGAGAGCGATGACTCTCCTCGCGATGTGCTTGGAGATCTCTTCCGGAGACACCGAGAACCAGGCGGTTTGGCTAAGTCCGAGGCTTGCGTGGTACCTCGAAATCAGGCGGAAGCGTTGGGAGAAATACTTCCGCATTCCGTCCTCTGAGCTGACCTGGCGGGCCGGAGCTGTGGCCATCTTCGAGAGGAACTTCGTCTCCTTGGCCAGTTCAACTCCACAGATGCCGCAAGGAGCCTTGCTCACCGTGAAGTTGGTCCTCGCGGCCTTGTCAGCGAAGAGTAGGCCGGAGGTTTCAAGGTGCTCCGCCCGAAGGACTGTCGTACCGAGCTTTTGGTCCTCGCAACAACAGCTCTGACCTGAGCGAGTGAACCGAGCCCGCAGATTCTCCCGGGGCTTCTTCAGGAACACACTCTCACAGTCAGCCGCATAAGAGCGACTAACCACGACAGGTGTTCCGTCCGATTCCGCTCGAAGGAGAACTCGGTACACTGGTCCTCTCTCGGAGCCGCAGAGGAAATTCGCATATCCAGCTGCGAAGGAGCCGCGATGACCCTTGTGTCTGGGCTCGTACTGCAGGAGATGGGCCAGGCATCGTACTCCTTCGATTTCCACTCCGAAATGGCCGGTGTGCTCGGTCGACACCAAGAAGGTCGAACTCGAAACCGCGGTGATGGACGCTGATCCGCGGGGGATGATCCGTTCGTCTTGTAATCGGCTCAGCACGGATCTCGCTGAGACATGGCCTCCCGGAACAATGTGAAGGATTTTCGTGCGTCCCGGGAGAGGAGCAGGGTAAACGATCGGGGAACACGCTTCCACGACGTTCGTCTCACCAGGACCGTCCAGCGCGGACACCCTAGCGATCACGTTCCGCTTCTGATGCTCGTTGACTGGACTCTCGAATTCTCCTTTGATGAACTTCTCTGCGGCGATGAGCTCGGGTTCCCGACGTTCCTTCAATTCCTCGAGAGTCTTTAACATTGATCGGAGTTCGGACCGTACAACTCGCCTGACGCTGTATCGTCGAATCGCATTTTTTTCGGACGGCGACGTGAACAACACTGCACCGAACTTTTTCTCGGATGAACGCTCAGTTGAAGCCATGATTCGGAAGATTTCTGCCACAGAAAACCTTTGTTCCGAGCTCACAGCATGAACTCTGCCACGGAATGACTGCCATCATCTTACATTTCTGGCTTTTTAAATGATCTCAAACACATATTGGGAGAGAGCGAGGGGAAGAATGAGTGCGACCTCACCAATCATTCTCGGGCGCCCCGTCAATCGCTTGGATGATTCAAATTCTTTGGGGTTGGGGCTCTTCTCCGCTCTGAATGCGGGGTCGACCGCACTTTGTGGAATGGCATGGGGGGGTGATAGCTTCTAGGCACCCGGATTATGACGGACCATCGAATAGCACGCGAATTTCGAAATGCAATTCGGCCTCGTACTCTCACATGCGAGGGGTGATTCTTCGACGATGCTCGATGAAACTCTAAGGAGTTCTGCCTCTTCCGGGTGCTGTTCCGGGAGGACCTCTCCACGGGCCGGGATCACGAAAGTCGCGGTGGAACAACGTTCTTTTCGTTCTGACTACGAGTTCCTTGAATCTTTTCCGCCCCGGGTTGCTTTCGCGGCAGCTGATGCTGATGAATACTAATTGCGTGCTATTATCCGATGTTTCGCTTTCACGTTGCACTTCGCATCTAATCATATATCCGATCGAGTACTTAGAGATCGAATTTTCGAACGGGCATACACCGATTGGTATCGACGGTCAAAGTTTACGCGTTCCCGGATGCCGAGTGAGGCACTGAGAATCGTATGCAAGTTCGGTCAGGGTCGAAATCGGGCACACAGTCTCTCGCCATGCGATTCGCGGCTTGAAGAATCCTATGAATCACGTCTCGATCGGATGTTCCGAGAATGACCCCACCAATCGAATGGAAATTGAAGAGACATCAGATGAGGGATCTGCCGAAGAGGAAGTTTCCGCGAATCCCTGGGAGCCGCCGCGGGACCTTGAAGCTACCGACACTGATGCGACAGAAGCGAGCGTGCTCCAGCGCGCGAAAATCGCAGAAATTCGGAGGGAGAAACACCGAATACTCGCCGACACAGGACTCGAGAGTCTCGAGTCGAGACCCGACCATCGGTTAAGCTGGGCTCGGCCTTGAAAAACCTGCTCCTCGGTTCGCCAAATTTGAATGCCTTGGCCAAGCGAGAATCATCTCGAATCCTCCGATACCCACTCTCAATGACGACTGAGGAGGCTTCAAAGGCGCGGTGCGAGGATTATGATTGAATTCCATGTGAGCTGCGACATGGTACCACATGGGTTAAGCGAGGAAATTCTGACGACACACTGAGCCGATCGCCCTCGATGATGGATGACCTTCCCATTTCAGAGGACACGTCTTCCACCTCCCTTCCGTCCGCTTTTCGCGAGCATCTGGAGGATGTCCGCTTCGCCGTTCAAGCGAGTCAACCATGTTTTGGTATACATTTTCCGCCAAAAAATCGATATTTTCGGCCAACAGAGCGGAGAACGGCTTAGAGCCGTGTTTTTCGATTCTTAGCATCCGGGTTACTGCGGCTCCCCAGATAGAGCAACGTCGGCGTCGCGGCCCCCCTGGTCGAGGCAGAGGGAAGAGACACGATTGATCTTCGAGAATTGCATGCGAGGTGTCCCCCTTTGCAAAGCTAAGAGTCAGAAGTCGAGATCGCAATTCCCTACATCGCAGTGGTGAAGAGATCATACTCATTGTATGAAAATCTGTTGTCCTACAAGCGACATCGGGTGACTCAAGGATTTTCGATAGATTCATGCCGATCCAATCTAACTAATGCTCTCATTCCAATACCCCCATGTTGTGTTTCTTTTGGAATATGTAATAACTCCAGTCATGTCCGCTTTCTTCGTCCGCTTTTTCTTCAAGCGGTCCTCCGGACAAGTGACCTTTTTCCGCCGGAAAAAGCTTTCATCATTGGGAAGTCTCGTGATGGATCATGGTCACTGAGCAGATCCTCAAGGATGGATATATATTGAGGTATATACTTATATACGAGCCGTGTGGCTATGAGATACCTGGGGTCGGATATACACAGTAGAACCTCCTCGTATCGCACTCGAAGGTACTGGCCAGAACGGTCCGTCAATCCGGAGATTCGTCTTGAATCGGAATGAACCGTGGAAAGCATCGGGAAGCCCACTGCAGCCTTTCTCACGACGCTCACCAGGACGACAAACCCTGCAAATCGGCCACTAGGCTAGAGTTTCCGAACTTCCCGCGCGCAAGAATAGGCCCGGCTCTGGGAAGCAGCAGCTCCGCTGCCTTTCTCTCGTTCCAGAGCTCGAGTCCCGGTCTCTCTGCGAGGGATGGTTGTTTCGATGCAGATCGGGGAATGAGCGTTTCGGCCCCTTTCCTAGAGATGATAACCCGTTCCAATCGTCGATATCGTGCGCAATCTATTTGAAGGGGTCCAGTCCTCGACGCCCCCATGCTTGTGACGTTGGAGGCTCATTCCCTCGACATTTATCCAGCCGGAGATACACCGATGAGGACGTCAAGAGCCCCAGCGATCAAGCTCGGCCCATTGTAACCCCACCCACCAGGAGAACTGGACGAAGATTTCTCCCGGACCGGATTTTTCCGGAAGGGATGGGTGCTCCGCAGTGCCCGGAGTTACTGAAACTCGAAGAGGTCTGTTTGGGTTGGAGCAGTAGCAATGGAAAAGATTGCATCCGGCAAAGTTCGCGAGCTCTTGTTCCGAAGGCCTCGAGGCTGTGGCGAACTAATCATCACTCATCCGTTACATTCAGTATCCTCATCCAGAACTGAGGAATCTGTCGTGGCTCGCCAACGTGAATTCTTATCTCACGGCTCTTCCTTGTCGCATGTGTGCCGCATGAATCACGGACGCTATTATCGACGGCGAGATAAACGGTGAATTTCTGACAGTCTTCGTCCAGTGAATCGAGACTTGGCGGCAGAGCGACACGCGCGCGTGGATTGTGCTACGGAACGCACGGACGTTCTGGGTTGTTTAGCTTATCGACACCGGAGTCGCTGACCATGTTCAGCTCTCGCGCTCTATCAAACATGGACTGCAGAGCGATAATCTTGGATTTTCGAATCCCATTGTCTCCGATGACAGCGAGTTCAAGCACGAGCGAGGTGAGCTCCCACCCAAAAGAGGTCGACTCGAAGCAGGGGAAGGCTGCTGCCGCTGCGGCGCTTCTGTCGTATTGATGTAGCCGGAGGGAGAATACTTCTTAGAACAAGACCAGCACCTTCTCATCTCCGAGCTTCTCCTCCGTCTCACCTTCGCTTCTGTCGTGCGTGCGCTCGCTCGCCCTTCCTCCAGGTGCCTCGGCCGAGCAGCACGGGGAGCTAACCATGCTCCAGCGCAAGCCGCATAGAATTATGCAGATTCTCCCGCCGGAAAAAGGAAGATCCCCCAAGGACACTTAATCATTTTACAACATCCTAATTCCAGCGGCCGCGGCACCTCGAAGATCCGCACGAAGAAAACGAGCGGACGAGCGGGCGACAGAAGCGGGACAGCTCACCATCCACCGATTCACCACCGAAAGTGCGACAGCGACCCGAGCTCGAGTCAGGCTAGAGGGATCGGGAGAAAGGCCCGCCACGGGTCTTTCCTCTCCGGTTCGGAGACTCCGTCTAGGAGTGTTCTGATCAAAACCCAATTTCCTATAGTGTCGCATGAGAAAGCTTTGTGAAAGCGAGCGAGGGCAGGACGAGACGATCCTCGCAAGAGCAGTCAAAAATCATTTCACGCTAATCGCGGCTTCGATCCACGTCTCGAGGTCGACGCTCCCGCCGCGCCGTCGACGTCGCCCCCATTCCTTTTTTGAACGGACGCTCTTTTCATTGCCCGAACGCGTACCCGGCTGAGTTCCAATCGGATTCCACGTTTGGAATAAGCCGATTGTATCCAGGTATTCCTCTGCCTCAAGAGGGGGTGTCAGTGCTTTGCTTCGTGCTATAATGACGACGCACACGCGCGGAAGGCGACGACCCCTAACGACACAGACCGTCATTCCCGTATGTGCGATTGTTTCTGCCTTTCGACTAGTTTCCAGTATTTGCCCACTCTACATACGTCGGCTTCCCAGTGCTCCGCAGTGTCTGCGGAATGAGGCTTCGGTCAGACCCTCTTCCCGCATGCCCTCCTATTGGTCTCGCGAAAATTCAGCTGGTCGAGCAGACAAGCGCCCCCATTCTCCACAAGAACAGAGGGGCAGTAAATTAATGTCCATTGTGTCTCAGTTTCGTGTGTGGGTTTTGTGCGACTCACTCGCACGACTACGGCGCCGGTAATGGAAGCGACGCGCGAGACATGTTCCGTCAAAGGAGAAACGCTTCGGCTGTTTCGGAGGCTGTCCATGAAACTAATACGCACTCCTTCATATATGATGGATGACGAGCGCTATTCTGAGGATTCCGTCTAAGTGCTTGGTATTTATACGAGAACCCAGCTCCTCAATCACGTCGTATGCCGGAGCCAGCTCGGAAAGATTCTCGGATGAAGAACCTACCGGCTACCGGTGAGAATCATTCTCCCATCGATCCCATATGTTCACAAGCTTCTAATGGAATCAAGCATACTCTACCAGGACCAACGGAAGCTCACGATCCCCCATGGGAGGAGAGGTTTATGATTATCATCAATGACCTATAACATCGCGAACTTCAAAGACTTTCTCGGTCGACAATTATCGCTAACAATTGAGCTTGCGTGATGGGGAGGCGAGCTCCAAAAATTAGGTAACCTTTTGATAATTTGACCTTGTTGTCAAGAGTTTGACCTTCTCGTGAATTCGACTAGCTGTATCCTGGAATGACATTACGAATGGGCATTATTGCGGGGAACTCGGTGTGACAGGAGCTATATCCCCGCGTCTGGCACATCTGTGACGCATACATGGTGGATGTCCGGTGTGACAGGATCCTGCA